GACGAAGAGAAGCAATTTTAACAACATGTGTTCTTTAATGTACAGACTAAGATGATCAAGCACGTGAATACGAAGTACTGTCTTGCTAAGCCTCGATCACACGAGATAACACAGCCTATACTGGAGCCGTGCGATGTGGATTCGGCAACGCAAAAGTGGATAATGCAGAGTAAATTCAAATGGCAGGCAAGCTAATAGCCAATTATCTAGGCCGTAGGACGAGCCAAAGTCAACGTATGAAAACACGACGTGAAAAGCCTTTTGATGCCTAATGAAAAATCGATTGGCCGGATGCACACAAACATGCACGTCAGCACTGCGCCTGTTTCAAGGATGACAACTGTTCTGATTCAAACATCTCTCGACGTATCCCCCGAATAAAATAACAGGACTCCGTTATTTATCGCTAACAAGTGAATTGTGCAGTTGCAATAAGTGACTATTTTTCTTCGAGACATTTTTTATGCAACAAACGGGTAATACGAATTGAACATGTAACATTCTACAGTTATATGTGAAGCACAAAAACTCTTTTGTTATATATATAGGAAAAAAGCATATCAGAAAAAATACTGTTATTAATAATTATTATTGTTAATCCCTTTCTAGGAAAAACGAAGTGAGATTATGACTGACTGTAAATCAGGACTAATAACAACACGTGAGTGGTGCGAGAGAGTGCGTTTGTTTTAGTATGGGATGAGTGCAATTACGAGTTTGAATAAAGAAAACTGTAATTACTAGTGGTCTGAATGTTAGTGCGAACTAGAAATAAACCTCTGATTCCACATAGTGGTACACGCAGATATAAAATATTGTGTAAATTGTACAGTTGCTAATAATGAGTCACTGAAAAGCTCTTACAGAGCAAAAGTATGGTTATTTATTAACAGTGTTTGGATATCAAAATAAAAAAAAAACTCGATTCAAAAAGCGGAACGTGGGACGATTGCATCTTTTATACTGTTAACATAGTTCCTTGCTTTGCTTTTGCGAAGATATTAGCTATACATATGTATGCATATTTATATATGAAGACCCTAAGAGATTATTTGCATTTTATATTTTTATGATCCGTTAATATAATTGGAAATTCCATTCATTTTTTCAAGTTTTTCGCAGCGATGTCTTCCATAATTTAACCTGCTACCTTTAGTATTTTGGACGAATAAGTTTGTATAAATGTATGTACCGCTACTAATCTTTTCGCAATAAAAAAAAAATAAAAATCAATATTTTGTTATATTAGATCACGTGACAATGTACTTTATACAGTTATTTGAGCGGCGTTAACATTCTCATATCGAGTGTTTACTCTTAATAATATAATGAACGAAAAGACTCGACGAATTATGTCAAATCTTAAGAAGTAATCATGGTGATGGTACACGTTGAATTATTCTTTACAGCTTCAATATATTTGATTATTCAATTTAAATAATTGTTTATTTTTGCATAAAACCCACTAATGAATGATAAGAGAAATCACTGGAAACATAGTATTTGTTGACATAGTTTATGCATTTGTCGACCTATGAATACGCACCAAAATGATTTCACAATTTAACCAACATTATTAATAAACAATTTTTAAAAAAATAGTTAAAAATTAGTTAAATTTATTTTTTATAAACGTACCTTCATTTTTATGTTACCAGAGATTTCCATTGTAGATGTTCAATGTAAAAAAAACAATTTTCTTCCTTTTATAAGTTAGTCAGAGATAGATTCATTTATAAAAAAACAAAATAAAAATATAAAATATAAAATAACGTTTTAACAAACTGAAAAAAAATTAATTCTGTGACATTTTATTTAATATTATAATGCTAATCTTTTCAGTAAATTTAATAAGACGATTGCCATCAATTGATAAATTACGTAATAGATTATTATTATTAGTATTGGTATCAGTATTAGTATTAGTTTAACGAAAGTGGCAGGGTACTAATTGAATACACTTATTTAAAGTTGTATTATAAAATTATATTAATGCATTTACATCTATTAACAAATTCTTCTATTAATCTTCCTCGTCATTTTTCAATCCTCCAAACACTTGGTTGGGTATGAGCTGTTTTTCAACCGGAACATCTAAAACATTTTATTTAGTAAAAGATAACAAAGTTTTATGATAATGTACAAAAGAATAGTTAATTTTTAATGAATTTTACCTTCTTCTATGTCTTCACCATTTTCACTTGCGTTTTCATTGTCTTCGTTGTCAATATCCATATCGATATCAATCTCATCCGGATTAACAACGCGTCCGTCTGTTTTTGCCCCTCCTTCGGTGACTCCCCGTACAAAATTGATTGTTTGAGTTGGGCGGATGACATCATTTGCTGCAAATAGAATTTTCATATTAGATTTTTTGATGTTTGATACAAAACAATGACATAAAATAAAGCACGATGTACGCACGTATTGCTTCTCCAGCTTTGCTATCGAGAATTTTCATAGCATCTATCGGATCTTGCGCCTGACTAATAGAGCTATTCAACATTTGAGCACTCATCATATTGACTTGCGTATTGTACATTGCTTGGACACTTCGCTTTATTCTTAACATTTCTCGCATTGTATCTTCGTTACCATGGCTCACTTCGAACTCCTTCCATATTTGCCAAAACTTATTAGTCACCTAAAATGACAAATCAATAATTCAATTAATTACATAAACTTAATTTTCAACATTTTGTCATGCTCACTCTAGGATCACTAATTTGAGAACAATGCACGTAGATAGCCCTCGCGCGATCGATTTCACCTAGCTTTGTTTCCATCTCCGCGAAGCGCAGACACATTTCGCGAGTGCTATCCTCATTGAGAACTTCTATTGCTTTCTCGTAAATCTGTCTCGTCTTGATAACACCGTAAATTTCGGCGGCTTTCTTAATATAAATATTGAACATCTGCAAAAAATATTACAGTAAATATTAATAGGAATAATAAATATTTTGATTTCACAAAATTATTTCATATTTATAGCATATGTACTTCAAAACGTTCTTCTGGTAAAACTGCATTTGTTGCACGTTGATACACAGCCATTGCGTGCCTAGCCAGACCGTGGTCCTCTTCCAATTTAGCGTATAGGAGGTACAATGCTAAAAAAAAAAATAAAAGCGAACATTTTAGCACGCTAACTTTTTTACTTAAGGACGTTTTCTTGCTATTGGTGGCTCCGTGCAATGAAAATAGCACTTTTCATATTCGATTCGCTATTATTAAAAAAATTATTGAAAAATGCATTGAAGTAAAAAAATTTGGAGATACTCTTCTTATTACTTAGTTTCTTATAGTCTTATCCAATTTGTATTTAGAACATTTGTTTATTTATAAAATATCAGAACCTCAAAAGTTAGAAAATATGTAACTTTGATCCACAAAAGTCTGTTCCGTTTTTTCGAAATTTCAAATTTTTTCATTATTGCATTGTTTGTCAACGTTCCAAGTATGTATATATAAAATACAAAGTTTTAATATTTATTAAATAAATTGTAGAAGTGATTTAATGATACGGCATTGCACCTTGGCGCTGATTTTTAACAATATTATTGTTAATAACTTTTGAAAAAGGATCGCTACCTTGATTTTTTAAAACATCAATTGCTTTCTAACAGAATATGTGAAAGTTTTACGAAATTCTAAAGTTTTCTATATTGTTTCTCAAAAGTAAATAAGAAAATTTCACTTCTTATAGAAAAATACATAGAAACCAATATTTTTCGATTTTCTAACTTATAAACAATATGCAAAGCTTCATTAAAATTTCACAAAACTTTCATAAAATAGAGCTTATTCAATTCTGAAGTAATTGATGTTTTAACAAATATAGATAGCGGTCTTTTTTTAAAGTTATTAACAATAACATCTTTAAAAATCGGTGCCACAGCACGAAACCGTATTACAAAATCACTTCTACAATTTTTGTTCATGAATATGAACAAAAATTGATATATACATACTTGAGACAAACCATGTAATAAAAAAATTTGAAATTTCGAAAATTCGTAAAACTTATCGATCAAAGTTACATATTTCCTAACTTTCGAGGTTATAATTTTTTATAAATAAACAAATATACTTAGCAAAAATCGAATAAGATTACAAGAAACTAGACCATAACATCTTCACATTTTTTTACTTCAATATATCAATAACTGTTATAATAATGGCGAAATTAATTTAAAAAGTGCTCTTTTCGTTGCGCGGATTCACCACTGGGAACCACCATTCAGCAAGAGAATATCCTTAATGCTCCATCGCAATTAAAGAAAATTTACCTTTGGCATATTTGGGCGGACAATTTTCAAGACATTGTTCAAATAGATCACGAGTTCTCTCCAATTTCGATCCACCATATCGTTGCAAAAACTTTGTTAGATATGTGTTCCAAATATCAAAAACGTTGGGCCACTTAAATAACGCAATGCCTTTTTCATACGCCTAGGTTGAACAATTTTTATTGTAATTATTTTAAATATAGCTTGAAAATTATTATTTCTTACCCGAAACGCTTCTTCGAAATAGTTATTTTCTTCCAAAAACAAGCCATAATTGATAATAATTTGAGGCGTTGCAATCTTCAAATCGATTATTTTATCATACACAGCTTTAGCAGTCTGAACAATAGTTAAATAATAAGAGAATTATATCTATTAATTTTCATTGAAACCAAAAAATTTTAGCCACTTTAATTGTTAAAGTTTACTTACCTTAAAGGTGCCTCTACTCTCTTCAAGGTCAGCATATAAACTCCAAACTTTTAATGATTTATATACTCTCATTTGAACAGATTCAGTTTCATCGTGATAAGCAACTTTTCGCGATGGCATTGCAGTGGCTCGGTGCATAAGTCTCAATGCTTCTGTAAAGTTTCTGAAAAATAAAAATATATTCACAATAAAATAAACTTTCATAGAATTACATATTTTTATCAATAACTGAATAATAATATCGCAAGTTCAAAGAAAATTATAGTTTACAAAAAAGTAAAAGTAAAATTAGGCCCTTACTCATGTCTAATTTCCATTTCTGCCCACTCACACCAAACCTGAGCTAAATCATCTACTTTCAGATAAGGTACTAAAACTGCTTTTTCAAATACAGTTCTGGCATCTGCTATTTGATCATTTTTCTCATAGAACTTTGCAAATGCCACCCACAAGCTATGCAATTTTCCCACAGCTAAATGTGGCTGTACTGTTTGAACAGCTTCTGTATATGTGTTAATAATCTAAAAAAATAATTGTAAGTTAGTAACAATTTATTCCAATCATGAATTAAATTTTCGTTAACTATTTGGCAAAAATAATTTGTTAAAACAACTGATAAATTTTATGACTTGAAAAAGCTTACCTCATGAGGTTGACCCTCATATAACTCAACTCTTGTGTGCCAGTCTACAACATTATGAGGATTTTGTCTCAATGACACTGAATTCAACAACAATAACCGCCTCTCCATCAAATACTCAAATCTTGCCAAACGTAATTCTAAATCTATGTCATCTGCAAAAAAAGAATAAAAAATTAACTTAAAGTTATTGGATAATTGTGATAAAAAAGTATTAAATGAAAAATGAATCATACCATCTTCTTTAGGATCTGCTGCAGCTTCATCCATTCGCTTTTTCAGACTTAATTCTTCAAATTGTGCATAAGCATCAAAAACTTGAGAAAAATCTCTCACTGTTGTAACTGTTTGAATGGCCTCTTCATAAATGTCTCTTGCCTATAAATAAAACAGTTAGTTCATAATCAGTTGCTGAAGAGTTTTATTTTTTTATTATAAACAATGAAACAAAATGGATGATATACCCTTTCAAAAAGACCACTACGAACATAGTAATCAGCTAGAGCATTCCAAAGAGGTCCAGCTTGGTCTGTATATCGTCTCAATCCTCCTCTGATAATAGCATCAACATTAAGAGATTTTATTTTTGTAGGATTTTTAGAAATCAACTCACAAAGTTCATTCCATAACTGATGCTTGGACTTTCCATGTTTCGATACAAAGTCTTCTTCATTAACAATAAAAGCAAGTTTCACTGCTGCTTCATCTAGCCTATCAATTGAAATTAAATATTCAATATACTCTTCGGTTTCTTCTGGTGCAAGCTGCAACAAATTAGAACATTTTAGAAAAATCTTTCATAATTTGTTTAGGCTGTCACAAGACTCAATTACCTTCAAATATCTTCTAAATACTCTAATTGCAGTTTCATGCACATTATGTTTTTTTACAAATTCTATGTATAATGGCCATATTCTATGATGCTGTGTAATTGGAAGCGCTCTGAGGGAACGATCAAAGATGTGACGAGTACGAGTAATGCATCCTTGATCAGCCATTAGAGTACAATATTCTATCCATATGCGAGGCATTTTATGCATAAATACAAGGGCTCTTTCAAAAGCATTATTGACAACTTCATACAGAGGATCTGTGATACAACGATCTTTCACTTGATTTACCCTATGCTTCAAATATTGGTACCATAGTTTATAACTGAAAAAATATATAATTATCATTAACAATACCCTAATTAATGATATAGGAAACAATAAAAATAGTTATGTACTAATTTATTACCTTCCAGGTAGTTCTTTGAGAGCACGTTCATAAACTACATTTAAATTTGGACTATTTGTATTTTTCAAGTGGTCAATGTATCGCTGCCAATGTTTGACGGAGTATGGATTCCGAAGTATTTCTTCCTCGTAAGGTAAGTCTTCTTCATTCTAAAAATCAACAATTAATCTCATTAAATACCAAATGTTGCTCCAAACAACGAAAATGGACCAGCTAAACTTACAAATATATAATGCTGATCAGCCATTTTCAAGCAACCGAGTTGGTTTTCACAGGAAACAACCATTGGGTTGACTTATTAACTTTAATTGACGATAATTCAATTGTACATGTTCTTTTACTGTAAACAAACAATAATTGTAGACTTCTTCAAGTAATAATTTTAAGGCTAGAAACAACTGTGTAATGTTATGGTCAACATATGCATACATCAGCATACATAGATATGGAACTGCGATGGCAGCCTAGCGGCCACAATATGAACTGCATGCCGGATCGCGACTCGGGCGGCAAAGACAAGGAGGGGGAAAATCCGCGACCCTCGCATCTGTGAATCAACGAATGTAATGCTTTAAACCGATTAATCTTTACATCGCTATAAGGAAATTAAAAAAAATTCTGATTCAGAAGAGAATGTAACCCCATTGTTATTCCCATTCTAATTGAGTAATATACATGTAGGAGAGGAAGCTAGAAGTTCTCCAAGTGGCCATTTCATTATTTTACACATAATTTACAAATAAACGCATTTAATGGTATATCTAGTTGTACAACATTTAATTATATTTCGATCTTTCATCGTATTATTACATTTTGATTACAAGTAAAGTGCTGTTATCATCCAAAGAAGTGGGAAGGAAATTCAGCGCAGCACTCACCATATTGCTTATATATACTAAATTGCATCAGTCGAAAGAATCGCACTGTCGAGAATAGACGTTAATTTCTTCCATAAACTCGCAGTAATAATAGTGATTTGATATTATTTTTTGCAATGGATCTGTTAACGGTTAGTTTAATCATTGTTGCAGCGTGTGCGTTACGTTATTACATAAAGAAGAAACTAGCTTATTTCAAAGATCAAAATGTCCCTTTCGCACCATGGTCTACAATCATTAAGAACATAATCGACGTGGTGTTACAAAGAAAACATGGCACTGAATTGATTCTCGATCTTTACAAAGAATTTCCCGAAGCTAAATATTTTGGCATGTTTGGGGCGACCATGACACCGTCGATATTCATACGCGATCCAGAGTTGATCAAAGCAATTGGTATAAAAAATTTTGAGAGTTTCCAAAATCACAACGTCATCTTCGATGGTAAATCAGATCCACTTCTCGGTGGGAATTTGGCAAGTCTAGTTGACGATCATTGGCGAGAAACTCGAAGTATGCTCAGTCCATCATTCACTTCAAGTAAAATAAAGTCGATGTACCCGTTAATGGTTGAAATCGCCAACAATCTTGTCGAATACATGTCTGGATTGACGAGAGATAATGACACGATGGTTGATATAAAAGATTTGTTCACAAAGTATACCAACGATGTTATCGCTATTTGCGCTTTTGGCCTTGATGTAGATTCGTTCAAAAATCCAAATAACGAGTTCTACGTTTATGGAAGAAAAATTAGTAATTTTGAAAACCAGAAGTTATTAGTAAGGATAAAAATATACATGGCAGCGCTATTCCCGAAACTTGTAAAGATATTCAAGATAAAATTTGTCGACGAGAACGTAGCCAATTTTTTCAAGAGTACAATAGCAGATGTGGTAAAAACTCGAGACGATAAGGGAATCAATCGACCGGATATGATCCAATTGATGATGAATGCACGAAACACGGACAAGAAGCACCTCAAATTAGATATTGACGAGATGTCCGCACAAGCTTTCATCTTTTTCCTTGCTGGCTTCGAAACTACTTCGACGCAAATGTGTCTTTTAGCTTATCAACTTGCTATATATCCCGACATCCAGAAACGACTTCAAAATGAAATCGATCAAGTTATGGAGAAGACGGCAGGTGATCCTTCGTACGAAGCGATTCAAGAAATGCAGTACCTCGATGCTGTTTTCAACGAGTCCTTGAGAAGGGATACTCAAGCTACTTGCATAGACCGAGTATGCAATAAACCCTTCGAGCTACCTCCGGCGCTGCCAGGAGCAAAACCGTTCGTCATTTCGAAAGATATGATCGTTGGGTTTTCAGGTAGGTGCACACATTGGGATTCAAAGTATTACGAGGATCCCGAAAAATTTGATCCAGATCGTTACTACCGGAAAAAAGTCAGTATTAACGATGAACTAAATCTTGGCTTTGGAATAGGACCGAGAATGTGTATTGGCAATCGATTTGCCATTGTGGAAACGAAAATTTTGTTATTCCACGTACTAAAGAAATTTAGAATAATTCCTACTGCAGCAACACGTTCACCCTTAAAGTATGATAAATCGAAATGGGGCATAGTCCCGGAAGGCGGATATTGGTTAAAGATAAAACCCCGTGTTTAGTGACAATATTTTTATGATCTCTTCTTATTTTTTAATACACTAAGATACATGCACGTTTGCTATGAAAAATGTATAGAATTAAATTAAATATTTATTTTGGTGGTGGTCGTTCTTTCACTATTTAATATTACTGAACGAGTTAATTTTCACTTTTGTCATACATTTTTCGGAATATCACAGTTGTATGCATACTTTTTAAGCTCGGCAATAGTCATTGTAATAAATAAAACAAAATAATATTTTTAGACCAATTAGTATTTCATTATTGCTATTGAGTTTGAACATTCAAAAATATAATCATTATTTCCATGATTATGGATATGTTTTTAGTGGGTAGTAGATATTTAGGAGATAAAAATATGATATCAATTTTTTAAATATTATACCTGTGTAAATGACAAAAAAATCATTGTTTCTTGATGACGCTAAAAACAAAGGCCTTAAATTTTTAATTATTTGTACAATTAAATCAAATTACATTATAGAAAAGCATCTTGTTATCGAATAATTATAAAAGTAAATAATTGTATAAATGTATTAAATAGATAAAGATGACCCTTTGTCATTTAAAATCTGAAATAAAATGTCGCGATAAGAACACGGTTAAGAAGATTTTATCATGTATTTCCAACTAAAGAGTAAAGTTTGATAACTTAATAAAAAAATATTTTGCTTGATATTTAGAATGAAATGATACAAATAAGTAGAAAAAGCGTAATAAATATTTAACGATATTACCAGCGAGTGACTGACTGGAAGTTTTAAAAAATGCTAGCGCTGCATCACACGCGCGATCAGATTCGAAGAAAAGAAGGGAAATCACGTGTACCGATCACGAGAGGGGACTTCAGCGCTTGTATAAAATGATGTTTAGTGTCGTTTAGTCAGTAGTGCGAGCAGTACCGGTGTTACATTGGCTAGTTTCTGCAATACTTGAATCGAGCGTGCAGTGCACAATGGAACTCATAGCCTGTTCCTTGATAGTGGTTATCATTTGCGCGTTGTATTATTACGCAGAAAAAAAGCTCAACTATTTCAAAGATCGAAATGTGCCTTACGCACCGGGATTGCCAATACTCGGCAACATGGCAAAATTTCTGTTTCGTCGACAACACTTTACCGAAATGATGCTCGATATTTACAGAATGTATCCAGAAGCTAAGTACGTCGGAGCATTTGATTTCGGCATGCGACCGGTGATTCTGCTCCGAGATCCAGAGTTGATCAAAACTGTGACTATCAAAAACTTTGATTCTTTTCCAAATCATTATGTGGTATTCGATGAAAAATTGGATCCGCTTTTCGGTGGAAATTTGCTAAATATGGTGGACGATCAATGGCGAGAAGCCAGGAATTTACTGAGTCCTGCCTTCACTTCTAGCAAAATGAAGAGTATGTTTCAGCTGATGCTTGAATGTGCTAAGAATTTCAGCAATCACTTGAGCGAATTAGCAGAAAAGAGCAGGCAAGTAATAGACATGAAAAATCTTTTCACGAGATATACCAACGACGTGATTGCCACTTGTGCTTTTGGCATCAGCGTGGATTCACTGAAAAATCCGAAAAACGATTTCTATTTGTTTGGAAAGAAAGCTATTAACTTTGAAAATTTTAGCATGTGGAAATTTTTCATCGCCAATACATTTCCGAAACTCCTGAAAGTACTCGGTATAAGATTTATTGACAAAGGTACTGCTAAATTTTTCACGAATGTCATAGATGAAATGGTGCGTACGCGCGACGAACACGGAATCAGCAGACCAGACATGATTCAATTAATGATGAACGCTCGAGAGACGGAAAAAAAATATCTCAAGCTGGACATTAACGAGATGACTGCTCAAGCTTTTATTTTCTTTCTTGCTGGTTTTGAAACTACCTCAACGCAGATGTGCCTCTTGACGCATCAATTAGCCATCAATCCTGATATTCAAGACCGTCTGCAAAACGAGATCGATCAAGTTTTGGAAGAAACTGGAGGCAATCCATCGTACGACGCAATCCAGGGGATGCCATACCTAGATGCAGTTTTTAATGAATCGATACGACGAGACACTCAAGCTCTCTTGTTAGATCGAGTGTGTATTAAGCCGTTTGAATTACCACCAGCTTTACCGGGTACCGAACCCTTCGTTATTCCAAAAGGCATGAGGATTTGGATTTCAGGAACGGGCATTCACTTAGATCCAAAATACTACGAGAATCCCGAAAAATTCGATCCAGAACGTTATTATCAGAAAAAAGTGAGCATCAACGATGAGATGAATCTTGGTTTTGGAATTGGACCGAGGATGTGTATTGGCAATCGATTTGCCATTTTGGAAACGAAAATTTTATTGTTCTATGTACTCAGTAAATTTAGTTTAATACCCACTGCAACAACGTGTTCACCTTTGAAATATGATAAATCCAAGTTGGGTATGGTTGCAGAAGGAGGATATCGTTTGGAAATAAGGCCTCGTTCTCAATAGCAGCTCTTTCGTCATTTTTTGTAGGAATTTTTACATGCAAAGATTATTTTAATTACATTACAATGTTCCAAAATTACCTTTGTAAGGGCGGCAATGAAAAGGCCAGGATTAAATTATTCTATTAAATTTGGTTGCATTGTTAATTTTCGCGAATTGTTCGACGCATTTCCAGGCAGACATCTCTATAACCGACCGTCCGATCCATCGATCGGCGGTCGGGACGAAAGATAAACGTCATTCGCGGCAAGAATTTTGTGAGCCCCACTAGGAGCGTGGAAAGAAAAAGTTATCGAGAGGGAGGGGATTGGAGCATATGATCTTCAAATATCACCTGTGTCTTTGATGAGTAAACCAGTCATAACTCCGTGCTCGCAAAGCGTTGAGTCATTTAATCTTTGCGCATTCAATATAGCACTCTAAGCTCTGTACTTGCTACTCTCGAGGTCATTCAGCAATGGATCTGTTGACATTGGCCTTAGCGCTGATTGTCATTGCTGCCGTATATTATTATTTCAAAAAGAAACTCTCGTATTTTGAGGAGCGGCAGGTGCCTTACGTGCCAGGATGGCCCTTATTAGGAAACATGGCAAGCTCGGTTTTCCGAATCAAACACTTTTCCACAATGATGTGCGACTTTTATAATTCGCATCCAGACGCCAAGTACATTGGCATATTCGACTTTGGCAATCGGCCAATGATTTTCTTGCGAGATCCCGAGTTAATCAAATCGGTGACAATCAAGAATTTCGACCATTTCCAGAATCACAATGTGGTTTTCGACGAGCAGTTGGATCCACTTTTTGGTGGGAATTTACTGAGTATGCTGAATGAACGCTGGCGCGAAGCGCGTAACTTGTTGAGCCCAGCGTTCACGTCCAGTAAAATGAAAGGTATGTTTGAATTTATGGTTGAATGTACGAATAACTTCATCAATTATCTATCCGAGCTTCCGGACAATAAAAGGAGAGCTATGGATACCAAAGATCTATTTACGAAATACACCAACGACGTAATTGCCACTTGTGCCTTTGGTATCAATATTGATTCTTTGAAAAATCCAAATAATGAATTTTACGTTCTCGGAAGAAGGGTTACTAATTTTGATGGTATCGCTATGCTAAAGTTTTTCTTGGCAAGACTGTCGCCGCAACTGTGTAAACTGTTGAACATCAAGTTTATTGACGACGCTGCTGCGAAATTTTTCAAAAATATCATATCCGATATGGTAAAGACAAGAGATGAAAAAGGAATTAATAGACCAGATATGATTCAATTGATGATGAATGCAAGAAACACGGATAAAAAATATCTCAAACTCGACCTCAACGAGATGACAGCGCAAGCATTTATTTTCTTTTTCGGTGGTTTTGAAACAACTTCCTCGCACATGTGCGTCATGGCTCACGAATTAGCAATCAATCCAGACATTCAAAAAAAATTACAAGATGAAATTGATAGTGTCATGGCCAAAAGCAAAGGAAACCCTTCATATGAAGATATTTTGGAAATGCAGTATCTAGATGCAGTTTTCAATGAGGCACTGCGGAGACATTCGCAAGCATCGGTTTTGGACAGAGTCTGTCAAAAACCGTTTGAGTTACCACCAGCATATTTAGGAGGAAAACCGTTTGTCATACAACCGGGTACAAATATTTGGTTTTCAGCATCCGCTATTCATATGGATCCAAAATACTACGAGGATCCGTACAAATTCGATCCTGAACGCTATTTTCAAAAAAAAGTGACCATCAACGATGTGTTGAATCTTGGATTTGGGATAGGCCCAAGAAGTTGCATTGGAAACCGCTTTGCCATTTTAGAGACCAAAGTTTTATTTGTCTACTTGTTAAGCAAATTCAATCTGGTTGCTAATGAAAAAACGTGTTCACCTTTAAAGTACAATACGTCAACGTTTGCTATAAAACCAGATGGAGGATTTTCTCTGTCGATTGAACTACGAAATCGAAAGATATAAAAAAACTAACGGAATTTACAACAACGATGATTTTCCAACGTTAAAAATATCATTTTAAGTAATTTAACATATAACCACTGTTACAAAGTTTATAAGTATTGATACTTCCGTTTCTACAGAACTACGCCATCAGATGTTTTTCAAGTGTCAATAACAATAATTTTTTAATATTATTAAAAAAAACATGTCTCATTTCCCATATTGTAATGTCTTGATTGAGATCGGTTTACTGTTCAAATTTTTGGAAAAATTAAATTTAAAGTTATATATTCTGTAATTTTATTAAAAAATGTTGTTATTAATAATGTGAAAATGTTACTTTGAAAAATCTCTGATTCCAAATTTCTTTTTCCGGAGATAATAAAATGTGTCTACATTCCGTAAACTGTCATACCAATTGGTAGGCTAGGAAATCATACATTTATTTACCACCAATTATACGATGGATAGCCAATTATATTTTTAGTGTAGCTGTTGATTTTTTGAAGAACATAAAAAAAGACTGTTACATCTTTGGAATTAAAAGTGTAGTTTTTGATGGTTTTAAAGCGACCAAGTTCTATTTTGTTCAATAATCTCGTTGACTACTCATACGACTATTCAAAATAAAGACATCATTAGAGTTTTTAAAGCACAATACACAGTTTGGTTGAAAGAAGAAATAAAAAAGAAGGCATTAGTGGACCAGATATCAACACAAGAGCTGTAAAACTTACTATGACAACATTGCAAGCATTTGCTTTTTTCATTGGTGGCTTTGATACTACTTCCACGCAGATCTGTATTATAGTTTATGAATTTGTAATAAATCCAGATATCCAAAAGAAATTACAAGATAATATCGACAAAATTATGGATAAGACAAGAATTTAGTTTATTGATTAAACGCAAAAATAAAATAATCTGTAGTACTGGTACTATTGAAATCTTTGTAAATTTATGTAAGGGGTAAATACAAAAAGTTATTATTTATTAATAAAATTATACAATATTGATATTAATATTTATTGTTTATAGTTAATAAGTTTGAGTGAATAATCAAGTATAAAAAAAAATGTTAAAAGTTGTATTATTTATCTATGAAAAAGGAATTAAAACATTTTAATTTTTCACAAAATATCCGAACGATGATCTTTCCTTATAAAGTATTTCAGGTTTGTCTGAATCATAGCTTGACTCATTGCGATTAGATAATAAAGTTGATCATTCAAGTGTTTTTCAGAAGTTATAATTGATTGATAAAATTGTGCGATATTTATATTCATATTTATTGTCTACAGTAAATGATGGAATTATTATCAAGAAGTAAGTGTATGATAAAATAACTTCGTAAGCCCCTTTCGTATTGAAGAAAATAATAGCGATAGCGAAGTTGATAATATTGATTAATATAAGATTTTTTGCGTGAATCATACTCGGATATCGCACCAAGATTAAAAGGAACGAACGTTGTTTTTTTTTTTTTTTTTTTAATTTGTAGCTTTATTAACTTCCAATTACAAAGTTATTTAGCTCGTTACTTAAGTAAATAGAGATAAATATATATATAAAGTATGTGAATACATATGTATGAATTATTTAATGTGTAAACCATGTGATTTTACCTTAGATTTTAACGTTACATTTTGTGAGAAATTTAAGCACTAATTGCATAACATGGATATTCGGTTTGACTAGAAAGGAACTAATATCAAGCGGAGGGAATTGTTTAGCGCGTCGTAGGTCTCTCATTAAGTGTTTTCGCTCGTTGTCAAACAGTGGACATTGCCATATGAGATGGTTCAAATCTTGTACCCCCCATTCGCAGTCACATATAGCATCACTAACAACATTTATTCTATGTAGAGATTCTTTGAGGCTGTGGTGATTACTGCGGCAACGGCATATAAAGACTATAAGGTCTCTACCAAGAGAAGGATCAATGAACCAAGGCTTAGGGCTGTTTTGGTAGTAGTTCGAAAAAAATTTTTTACCTTTGATTTTAGCTTCGTTTTGAATTCTATTTAGTGTTTGATTACTTATAAACTTTTTAAAGTGTTGTTTGTGATCGCTATATGGTATATGTTTTACGGTAGGAGCATAATTGGTAGCGAGTTTAGCGTGTTCGTCTGCTAGTTCATTGCCGAGTATGCCTACATGAGAGGGAACCCAGTAAATAGTGATTGACGATTCACCCGATGATTTTTTTAGAAACGTTAGATACTTATGTCGGATTTCTAGGACGTGAAAATTGATGTCAGTTTTGTTTTTCGGGCTATTCAGAGCCAGTACGAGACTTAATGAGTCGGTGAAAATATCTACGTTGCGATCGCTGTATTCAAGAGCAATGTCCAAGGCATCCGACAGAGCTATGCATTCAGCTGTGAAGATAGATGCCTTGTTAATAATGCTTTTAGTTTTGATAACATTAAGTTCAGGGCATACACATGCAGAACCAACAGACTTACTTGCTGAATTTTTGCTTCCATCAGTGTAGATTTTAATGGATTGGACGTTTGAGAATTCTTTGTTAAAAGCATCATTAGGATTGTTGCTGTTTCTTAATGTGTACCCGAGGTCAATGTTAGTGTTCAGTGGAATTTTCATGATTTCGTAGTCATAATTATACAAACTAGGGAGGTTGTATGTATGGATTAGATGTTCTATACAGATTACATGTTTAATACATTCATTTAGGACGTTGATTTTTTTCTTTCTGCTATTTATAATGCTCATGCTGTACTTGTTTATGGTAGAACGAGTATTAGATTGCGTGACGCTAAACTTTTTGAGTAAAAAATTAGTACATAAAATCTTTGTTCTGTGTTCTAGCAGTGTCAGCTTAGATTCGCCTAGGAGGATATTGGTGGGAGTGCTCATCCTCAAACCCAGAGCCATTCTTATGGCCGAGTACTGAATCTTTTCTAGTGTTTCTTTTTTGGTTTTTTGAGTAGGGTAATAGATAAAGGAACCATAATCGATTATGGGCCTGACATAACTTTTATAGAAGGTGATCAGTGTATTGGGATGAGCTCCCCACCACACACCTCTGAGAAATTTAACAATGTTTAACGCTCGGTTGGTTTTTTCGTGTACATGTCTCAGATGTCTTTCAAAATTTAGCTCATAGTCAAAAAACAATCCGAGGAATTTGACGTGACTCTGTGATGGCAAACTTGTATCGTTAATAGTGATCTCGGTTTCACCAGGGAGGTAACCTTGTTTGTTAAAGTGTACATAACTTGTTTTTGCTAGAGATATGTCAAGACCGTTTAGTCTCAAATTATTAATGATCTTGGTAAGCTCTTTTTCTAATAAAGGTATTGCTGTGTCTGGAATCTCAGTTTTAATGTACAGAGCTAGGTCGTCTGCGAACTGTGAGCTAAGAATGTTAATATCTACGTCCGTAAGTATACCATGTACGTAGAGTATATAGAGAAGAGGGCTCAGAACTCCGCCCTGTGGAAGACCTTTGTAGGAATTTTTTGGGTTGTCAATGTTGATTTCTGTATATATGAATCTATGGTAAGTTAAGAATTTGACTAGTTTTATTATTTTTGCTGAACACCCGATATTTGCAAGTATAGACAATAAAATATCACTATGTACATCATTAAACGCGTTACTGACGTCGAGGAAAACTGCCAATACGTGTTGTTGGTTGTTTAACGCGTTTTCTACGTCTAATTTGAAGGAAGTGAGGTTGTCGCAACATGACAAACCTTTTCGAAAACCGGTTTGAGTTGGGGGAAGGATGTTTTGAGTTTCGGCCCACCAGCGTATTCTGTATGAGATCATCAGTTCAAAAATCTTACATATGCAAGAAGTTAATGCTAAAGGGCGGAGGCCTTTTCCGTTCGGTTTTTCAGTAAAGTGTATGTAGGTGTGGAGCCAACTATCGGGATATGTGTCAGTGGAATAAATTTCATTGAGTATGTCGAGTAGTATTAAATGGATTTTTATTGGTAGTTTGTGGAGAATTTCGTAATTAATACCATCCATACCAGGAGCTGATTTGTCACCTCGGGAATTTAACGCGGTATTGAATTCGGTGAAGCTGAAGGCTTCATCTAGGAAGTGATTAGTTTCAGTATGGGAAAAGAGAGAGGGGTCCGTTGGAACCCATATCGGGCATAAAGTGTTGAGTGCAGTTTCGATTTGTATAGTTTTGTCGAGAACTTCTTCTTTACTTAGAGGGTTTATTTTTATCCACTTTTTTTTAAATAGTTTTGCTTTGTCCCATGTATATTTCAGATTGTAGTTGAAGTTGATAGTTGCAGCGAAATTACGAAAACATTCTCTCTTTTTGTTTTTGAAAGTTTTTTTAGCCAATGCTATTAGTCTCTTGTAATTAATGAGATCTGCAATATTATTTGTAAATTGCCAGCGTTTAAATGCGGCTTGCCTTAGGCGTTTAATTTTATCGCATTCACTGTCCCACCACGGTACCGGATTTCTATGGCTGCTGTTATTATGTTTCCTTCGTTTAGGGGTACATTTTCCGATAGATTCTTTAATTACTTGGGTAAACATCTCGTATTTTACCAGCGTAGGAAGATTATCGTAATCAGGATCTAAGAATTTATGGTAATTGTCGTTTATTATTTCGTAAAATTTATTCCAATCAGTGCGCATGGATTGGGTTTTGAAAGTGCGTTTTTGATAGTAAGATTTCTCGGTATGAAGTGTCGCATGGATGGGGAAGTGATCAGAACCATAGGAGTTGTCTAGTACTTTAACCTTAAGTAGGTGAGCTAAATTGATAGTTGAGAAAAGTAAGTCAATGTTCGATTTAGTGTTGTTATGTGTGTTGATGTGAGTGTAGGTATTATTATTGTGCAGAAACAAGTTATGTTTTTCGACTTGTTCGTGTAGAAGTTCGCCATCAGTGTCAGTGCAGTCTGAATTCCACGCAGTGTTATGTGAGTTGAAATCACCTAGTAAAATACAGTTATCGTTACTGGTTTGAGTGTAACACAATAATGTGTTCCATTGTTGTTCATTTAGAGAAACATGCGGAGGTTTGTAACAAGCAATAATTGTAATAGGGTATTTAAGATTGGTGATTTCGACGGCACATACTTCCACAAGCAAGTTAATATTTTGAATATTTTTTTTCAAGACATAATTGAATTTATTGCGGATTAGGTATACAATGCCTCCTCCAGTTGTATGTTCCCTATCTTTACGCAAAGTGTTGAAACCCGAGAAGAGAAATTTATCTTTTTTCTTTAACCATGATTCTACACAAACGAATATATCGATGTCTTGGATAAGTTCAGGTAATTCATCGATTTTATTGCAAATACTTCTAGGGTTCCAGTACAAAATTTTTAATTCAGAGTGTACATAAATTTTATTACGCGGAGCGTAAACTGTCTGGTTACTCTTTTGCATATTGAATATTAGATAGTAATTGAAAGGGTGATATAAATAAGAAACACGATAAATACAACCTATACAAGTTATTTATCATTGGCTTTCGTTGTTGGAGTATTCGTCGTCTTCTGTTGTTTCTACTTCCATGCTCAACTGAGTGGCTTTGAGTTGCTTGATAATGCTTGTAATTCTGCGTTTTATTGTTCTCCCATTAATGTTGGTGTGTACGTCGTTTAGCATAACTATCAAGCCGTTGTAATTATTAGTAAATGTGTCCGCTAAGGCTGGTATGATCTTATACTCATAATTGTAAGAATCTTTCAAGAAATTATATAGTTGTGCGAATGTTATAGGATAGGTTTCGAGTGAGAGCACGGCAGTCTTTTCTGCTACCGCGGTTATCTTAGATTCCAAATCACTGGGTGGCTCTTTCGGGGTCGTCAACTTTTTTCTTTTCTCTACGTGGGCAGTAGTGCCGAGAGTTTTTCGAGTGGTATCTTCTTGATTATTTGAGGCTTGAGTACTGATGGATAGAGCGCATTTGGCGAAAACCGTATTGTCAGGTGTCTTAATCTTGTTAAATAATTGTTGTCCGTTGAATTCGGGCTCGAATGATTGTTGGTTTGTAGGTTGGGTAAGAGCAGTGTTATGGAGAGAGTTTCCGTTCGTATTGTCGAAAGCTTGTAGTATATCATTCGATGTATTATTCACCTGTTCCGTCGTGTTTGAGCACGACTGTGTATTACTCTCGTATGTATACTCGTCTTTGTTTTTAGAACAGTACCTGGCAGTGTGTCCTTCTTGATTACAAAGAAAACATGTGATCTTATCTGTGGAAATATAAATGTGGTGAATGGATTCATCGTAGTTGAGAGTCAGCTCCTTGGGGAGTTTGTTGACATCTTCCGGATCGATGTATAGTTGTCGGCGAAAACTAAGTATGTGTGAGAAGCCAGTTTCAGCAAAGCCCAATCTTATCCAGCTCATGTTAGATTTAGGCTCTATGCCTCTTGTCTTTAATTGAGTAATAATTTCGTCGTGAGGAATACTCGGATGGACATTGGAAAGAATGACTCTACGTGATTTTGCAACATATGGTCTCATTTTGAATATTTGATTGTTGATTACAAAGGTGTTGTTTCCTTCGCTAGTCAATTGATCTACTAGCTTTTCGTCGTTGAGATAACAGCAAAATCGATTTTGAGAAATTTTGGAAGCAGCGATGATGTTAGCTGGAGACGTTTCAGTTGCTATACCTCTGAGATAGTCTTTAATTTCAATACCGTCTGCTGTGTCAATAATTATGGCTAAATTCTTTTTTGGGAACATGCTGTTGCTGACGATTTTCGAGAACGATGGAGTTGGTGATGGATTCATTTTACTAGGAGTTAGAGTTGGCACTTTTTCTTGCGGATTAACACTTGCACTTTTCAGCGGTTGTGTGAGGGGGGAAGATTCGGTTTGCATTGTGTTGGTGAACGTTTGAAAGGATAACTAATTCAAGTGTATATAAACGACAAGAATTTGTGAAGGCACTAAGCACATACGTCGCGGGCAAGCCGCGACGTACAAGAATACACAAATGTAGAACTAGCCGAAGCGATTTGTATACACGTGTAACTCGCACGACTGCTAAAACCGAACTGTAACGAACGTTGTTAAGTTGAAAATTTTTCATTTTCTTTTTTAACTTAAACTTTCGCTACAAGCAGCATTTATAATCCAATATACATTTTAATGTCCAAAAGAAATGAATATTTAGATGACCATAAAAAAGTAATTCGAAACTAATTTTGGTATTATGCTGTAAGTGTGCGCGAACATCACAAGACGTATATTCTTCTGAGTAAAGGTCACGTATATTGCCAGCATTAGTGTTATATATGATCGGTGCTGATGGAATGAGAAATAGCATGTGCCGCCGTTGCAGTTGGTGGGGAGTATACGTCAAACCAGGAAATTTTGTTAGACTGCTTTTGAAAACACAGCTTGCGAGTGATATAGTCTAGTCGACTGACGGCACTGCTGAGCGGTGGCAGTATATTTAGCAATCTTCTCGCTCCGCATTGGACTGTTGTTTAAATGCCAGGATGGATTCGTTAACGTTGGCCTTGATAATTGTGGCGACTTGCGCAGTGTATTTTTATTTTAAAAAGAAGCTGCTGTACTTCGAGGAGCGTGGAGTGCCTTACGCACCAGGATGGCCGATTTTAGGCAACATGGCGAGCTCGTTTTTTCGAAGGAAACACTTTTCCGAGATGATGCTCGACATTTACAACGTCAATCCTGAGGCTAAGTACGTGGGAGCTTTTGACTTTGGTCGTCCAGTAATATTACTGCGTGACCCAGAGCTCATCAAAGCAATCACAATCAAGAATTTTGACAGCTTCCAAAATCACTTTATCGTGTTCGACGAACAATTAGATCCGCTTTTTGCTGGAAATCTCTTTAGCATGGCCGGCGAACGGTGGCGAGAAGCTCGGAACCTTTTAAGTCCAGCGTTCACGTCGAGTAAAATGAAAGCTATGTTCGGACTGATGATCGAATGCGGCAAAAATATTGCCGACTACATGTCCGAGTTACCGGATGCGGATAGAAAAGAAGTGCAAACAAAAGAGTTGTTCACAAAGTATACCAACGACGTGATTGCTACCTGCGCCTTTGGCATTAGCATTGATTCATTGAAAAATCCGGAAAACGACTTCTACGTGTATGGTAGAAGAGGTACCAATTTTGAAGGCTGGGCTATGTTGAAGTTTCTTTTGGCAAGAATGGCCCCATGGCTCATGAAGCTGCTTAACGTCAGATTCATCAGCGAAGAGACCGCCAAGTTTTTCAAGAATATCGTTGCTGACATGGTGAAAACGAGAGATGAAAAAGGCATTAGTAGACCCGATATGATTCAATTGATGATGAATGCAAGAAATACAGAGAAAAAGCATCTCAAACTGGACATTGACGAAATGACAGCGCAAGCTTTCATTTTCTTCCTTGGAGGCTTCGATACTACGTCAACGCAGATGTGTTTACTCGCTCACGAACTTGCAATAAACCCCGAAATTCAGAATAAGTTGCAAGATGAGATCGATCGAGTAATGGAAGAAAGCAATGGTAATCCTTCGTACGATGCTGTTCAAGGAATGGAATATCTCGATGCTGTCTTTAATGAGTCTTTGAGACGACATACGCAAGCTATTCTACTCGACCGAGTGTGTCAAAGGCCATTTGAGCTACCACCAGCTTTACCGGGAGGTAAACCATTCAAAATTCAGCCAGGCATGGGTATTTGGATTTCAGGAACGTCCATTCACATGGATCCAAAATATTATAACAATCCGGACAAATTCGATCCTGAAAGATATTATCAAAAAAAGTTGACTATAAATGATGAATTAAATCTTGGATTCGGAATTGGACCTCGAGGTTGTATTGGAAATCGTTTTGCTATTTTGGAGACGAAAGTTTTATTCATTTACTTACTTAGTAAGTTTACATTAGTTGCCAACGCTAAAACTTGCTCGCCTTTGAAGTACAGCAAGTCTACATTCAACATGAAGCCAGATGGAGGATTCTATTTGGCGATTGAACGCCGGAGTCAAAAAGCTAATTAGCATTGCTTTAATAAAAAGAGATTACATTGACTACTCCATGTAAAAGTCATATCTTAACAACATGAATTTACAGTATGATAATGTTCCTCATTTTGGTGCAAAGAAATTTTCGATTAGTACCGCTGAAAGAATAAAATTTGATAAATCGAATGGTGTATTGTAGTTTGATGTTTAGAAATGTAGTAACTCAAATAACACATGCTTACGCAAGAAGGGAATACAAAGCAACTGTTACAAAACAAGTTATACATTCGGGGATGATTTATATTCTGTGGAACTTTCACTGCTTAACAAACATAATGTCGCAGCTTTATATCAAATCAATCCGAGATCCAAATATAGTTTCATATTAATATTTCTTATAAAATGGAAGTATGTAAATTATGGCGTGCGGACAATAATTGTGCACGGTTTTATTATACACAAAAAATGCATCGATACGCCGGGCGCGAGGCTCGATTTTACACAAGCTCGGAAAAGAGAGCGTGCTTAAGATCTCGCGTCGCACACGTTGTATCGAAAAATATTCTTCGGTACACAAGTACGATTTCAGGATGATTTCACCCTCGTGCGGTCTTTTTTCCCTCGCTTCGCTCGGATGCAAACGTCCACACGAGGGTCAAATCATTTTCTCGCACTAGTATATCGAAATATACTAATTGTGTACGCAAACAAAGCTTGACAATTGCCACACGATGATTCATGCCATGTTACCGTGGACATGTATATTATATGCTTATGTGTACAAGAAAACCGTGCACAATTGTCTATAATAAGCATATATTTAGCTTGAAACCAGTTTGTATAGAATATAATAATTTTCAAAAATTTCATATTTTTTGAAAAATATAATATTCAAACCTTTTTTGTTCAAAAAGTATAATATAACTGTGCTTAACAAATTGAAAATCGACTGCAAATGTTAAGTTAGATTTTCGTTGTAAAATAAAAGAAGTATAGATATTGCACTAATTCATAGTAATTTCTCTTTGTCATCAGAATTTTATGAATCAAATATATTATAAAATAACGCCGCTAAAAATCACCGCCAAAAGTATCATGTATATTAGTTTTAATGGGAAAGAGAAAAGAGTATCTTAGGTGGTGGGAGCTCAAAAAAGAAAAAGAATGAGTCGTCACAATAAACATTCTACAATTTAGTCTGTCTCATAGTGATTCAACGTTGTACACGTCAGTTGATCCAGAAAGTATTTTACAAAATTTATCATGGACCTCTGGGTGTCTCTGTCTGACAGTGATTGCAATTTTTGCTGTGTATGGCTACTTGAATTGAAAACCGCGCTATTTCAATAATAGAAACGTGCCTTTATGCACCAGGATGGCCAATGTGCGATATATAGCCAGTGCGTTTTCTCCAAGTAGACACTTCGAAATGATGCTCGCCACCGACGGCAGCGAAATACATTGTGATGTTTGATTTCGGGGTCACGATTTTGTTGCACGATCCAGACATAATCGAGCCCATTACACTCTAGAATTTGAACTGTTTTCAAAATCACTTTTCGATTTCTGGTTCATTCACTTATCATTCCTCGCATTTTTTCACTAGATTTACCAATGATGCAAATTCCAACGTGCATTAGTAGTATGAAAATTGATTTGCTCAAATTCTGAAAATGATTTTTATCTTGATGGGAAAGAAGTCATAGATTTTAACAATGTAGCAACGTTAACTAATTTTTTCATCGCTATGTAGATCGTGTCTGCAAATTTTACGTTAACTAAAATTCGTGTTATCCGAGAAGTTATTAATTTTTCCATCGACGATATCGGAAAAGTCTTGGGTGTGAGGTCATGTATTTGTAAAACTAAGATTTTATTTGTTACTGTGTTAATTTAACTTGATATCAAATGTCAAGACTAGTTCACTTTTAAAATACAGCAAATCGAATTTTAGCATAAGACCAGATCAATAAGGATTTCAGCTTACTGTTGAACCTAGATATATATTCGCGAGACTAATGCATCTTTTATTTCAGATTACTTGTTTTGATATGACACCTAACAATACTTTATTATGTTTTGCAAAGCTTTTGTAAATTATTACCAGCGTTCAATAAATGCGTTTTACGAGTGCAATTTCGATCAAGTGCATTTCAATATGTTAACAATCGATGAACAACAACAAAATTTCAAAATAATTAATTTGGATCAATATTTAAAAATGAAAGAATTAATAAAAGTATTTTATAGTTCATAACTAATTATTACTCATTAATGTTTCAAATGAAATCGATTCTTATTGCTGAATCCATTGAACTTTTACTTGAAAACTTTCCTTTTTTTTTGAAATAAAAGTCAAACAGAAATGTTGAATCTAATGGATTCAAATATTCTCTCACGTAGAAGCCATTTTGAAGTGAAACCAAAAGCTGAAGTTTGTATATAATTTCCATGGGTGCGAAAGAGACAGAAGTGCTAGTCAGCCTTGCCAACACAACGATCCGTATGATCACGTACTACGAGAGCAAACCGAAGACCCCGGGCCTCAAACTCTAATGTTGTGCGTGTCTGTCGTGTGCGCCGTGCACCACCTATAGCTACAGCTAGCATTCTCTGGCATTATTGGCGTCCATCTGCGCAGAAGATTCGCGGGCACTTGTGTCTTGTACATATATATATATATATATATATATATATATATCATACAGTAATTCACGTAGTGAAGCCCAGAAACACACCACGCCATTGCGTCGTGCTGAAAAAACGCGCAATCAACGTAACGAGTCATTTAATAACCATTTATTAACGAATTTTACCTCGAGGACTTGCTGGTGTGCAGTGTACGAGGACAGCCAACGCGTACCTTTTAACAAATATCGCGGCTTCCTGTTATCTCCCGGAACTGCTGTACTGTGATCCCCTACAGTCAAAAGTCACCATCACTGTTCTAGGTAAGATCACTATGACTTCTTTCTTCTTGCGTTATTTCTCCTTTTCACTTGTCTTTCTGAGAGTACCTATGCACGTATGCCAATCTTTCTTGATTTGCCTAATAATGCGATACATTATTCACATCATCTCGTTGAAGTTTATTAGTGATAGGCATTAACAGTATGTTTGTTAATTTTAAACAAAGAGCAAGTTAATTATAAAACTTAACTTATGTACGTTTTTCACACAAGTACATTGCTATGGGAAAATTGATTAATAATAATCTTAATAATGAATATTCATACACAAATAATTATCAAGAAAGAGAATTGTTGATAGTTGGTCTTTAAATGAACAATTATAGATTCAATAAGAAAAGGAAAATACAACTTCTTTTATTTAAACTAAGTATAAAATTTTATTTGGCTAGCAAACCTTGCATACATGCGGATAGTTAGTGTCTCGTCAAGAAATGATATTTAACAAATTGTTTAATTTTTAGGTTAAAATAAATGTTCATACAAGATGTACAGCAACTCCAATTCTATCGACCCCTGGGAACCAGGTTATGCACCAGTGGATCATCGGTCAGACCCAGATTACTCTGATTACCAGAGAGATCAGAGGGAATACAGAAATAGTCAATCGCCTGAATACAATGAATATGAAGACAGGGAAAGAGAACAAAGTCCAGATTACAGACCCTATAGACGAGACAGGGGTAGAGAAAGAGATAGGTCTAGGGATAGAAGAGACAGAAGCAGAGATGACAGGGATAGAAATTATAGGGATCGCGAAGATCGTCACGGACGACAAAGGGACAGAGACTCTGTAGACAGAGACCGGGATCGTGATAGGGATAGAGAACGAGATCGCGACCGTGACAGAGAACGACGAAGGGATCGCGATAGGGACAGGGATCGTGATCGCAGGTCACGTAGAGATGATCGAAGTCGTGACAGAGATGATGATCACAGTCGCGAGGGCTCTGACTATGATGTTGATCATTCACGGAGTTATGGCATGGGCATGGAAGGAGTCCATTACAAGAACCAAACTCCCAATAACACCATAATGATTCGTGGACTAGCACAGCACATTACTGAAAATGATGTAAGCATTAATGACTAATATCTGAGTAACTTTTTCAGAATCTTCATGGCAATTTAGGATATGTTAGTAATGAAGGTTTCCATTTGCATGTTGTAGGTTCGACAAGATATTCTAAATTGTGGACTGATGCCAAAGGACATCAGGCTTATACGCAAGAAGGATACAGGTAATTCACATACCGGAGCTAAATTTAATAACTCCGTCGGGTGCCAGCGGTATCTTTAATTTCAAATAAGCAAATTTGTTTTCAACGACCTAGTTCCTTTAGCTAAACTTTGTACACCCAGTTCCTCATCCTATTGATTAGATTATTATCCTCTTGTAATTCATTAAGGACCATAAGGTAAGTAACGCTCGGCATAGGCGTCGACTGATCATAAATTTTATTTTAATTCAAATCAAAAGAAGTAATAACTTTGGTTGACATCGACGCCTATGGAGATGCAAAAACAAAAAAAACCAAAAAAGATAAAAATCTGTGACTTTAAAAGATCCTACAAAAAAGTTCAAGACTTAAACTATCAAAATTAAAAAGGAAAAAGACTTTGAACAAAAAAGAGACAAAAAAAGACTATAAAAGCTAAGACGGTCGATCTTAGCTTTGGAAGTATTTTTCCTAAAACGAGAGCAGTGAAGTATAAAAAAGCAAGCAAGAAAAAACTCAGGGAAAAAGATGAGAGAGAGAGAGAGAGAGAGAAAAAATTGTCGGTACGCTTGTGGTTTTCGATCTCGTTTTGTCAGTCTCAATCGATGGTTGGTGCTGTGTCACATTGCCTGCCCTCAGCGAGACAAACCCAGGCAGAAAACGTCGATTAACTCTGGATATCTGTATATTTGCTCTGTATAGGTGCTTCGCGAGGTTTTGCATTCGTCGAGTTTAACGCGACTCAGGAGGCCGCACGCTGGATGGAGATGAAACAGGTAGAAAAACGAAGTTCAATCCAGTGTCCCGACACACACTTGTGAGAGATGATGATGATGATGATGATGAGAGAGAAAGAGAGAAAAGATGATCGAAGCGACTCACGAGAGATGCGCTTTGTGTGCCACTTGGACGCCCCGTGGCGCGACAGGGCACGGTAACGCGGTCCGCTGGGCTGGGGAACCTGCCAACCCAGCCCCCCGGCTGCACACCACCTCTATTTTCAAAAGGCTACTTCCTCTTATACTTCATATATTCTTCTACCATACCTTTTTTACTGCATTATTTACTTTTTTTACGTTGTTTCTAATGCGCCTAGGACACATGTTATGTACACGCAACATTATGTATTGTTTTCTCTTTAGATTTCTTTATTTCTTTTCACACATGTCTAGCTGGATCTAAACAACATCCTTCCCATCCCTTCCAGATTGTCCACGAAGATCGCCCTCTTATTGGACTTCCCCCGAGCATTGCATGCGCATCCCTCGACAATCTCAGCAATTACTGTGTTCCTTGCTATATTGCCCGTCCCTCTTGTTAGATTCAGCTGTAACATTTTTTTTACAGACATCATCTCGTGTGAAATGAGAATCGAAATTTTTGCAATTGTCATTGCGACTTTGAGCAAGTTTTTTGAACAATTTTTTTATCGGATGACCATATAACTTTAACTTTTAAAAATGAGCAATACTTGTGTATACGGAAACGTTTTTACCTTTTGTAGAAAGATTCTCTAGTCTGTCAGCATCAATGAGAAAAGAAGCAAGCTTTTCGGGAGAGATACAGAACTGCTACTTTGAGCATTGAACAGGATAACACTAAAATATTTTGTTTCAGGGCATCCTAATGCTACAGGATCAGTATCGTGCCGTCATGCAGTACAGCATCCCCAAAGATTCGCACCCAGACAAGCCGATAATCAAGAACGTATCCGATTGGCACTGCGTCAAGGTACGTGTTAATCTCATTCGGACACTTAACATTTATTATCACAATGTGGATCCTAATACGCTCGTTTTTACAGTGTGGTGCACATAACTTCAAGAGGCGCGAGACCTGTTTCAAATGCACAGCTTCACGAGCCGAGAGCGAGGAGGGTGGTGAAGGGAGTGACGAAATAAGCTCGTATCCCACCAATATTGTCCTTCTGCGAGGTTTAGATGTACTTACTACAGAAGATTCGGTACTGCAAGCCATGCAAGGCCTTTCCCAGCAACCGATTCGCAGTATCCGCATCGGTCGCGACGCTCTCACCAACACATCTCGCGGTGTTTGTTATTTGGAGATGGCGAATGTCGTCGACGCTATGTACTTGCATTCGGCACTAACCAAGCAAGGCCTTCAAGTTGACGGACGCAAAGTCGAGGTCGCCTTCTGCAAACTACAGCAGGTTGGCCAGACTGGTTGGAAGGCGTCGGACAACGGCCGTTACTCCTTGGAGGATGTTGCCCAGCTAGCCGAGTACAGTGCGAATCTGTACGCCACGACGCCTGCACAAAAGGCCCACTATCTACAGTATTACACCCAGTACTACCAGAATCAGATAATGCAAGGTTCCACAATAACCATGCCCTCGCTAAATCAAACGGACAGGGTCAACGCCGCGGCGGCAGTGGCACACTCGGCTATGCAACAGTTGCAAGCCTCTAAAAAAGTCACCGACGCCGATGAGATTAGGAGTCGACCCACACCATCCGTACCGACCAGCACGACACTTGCGACTGGGCGCATTCCTGCACACGAGAGTGACGGTAAGACCTATAGTGAGTATTGTTTTGTCGACCCACTTTTGTTGTTCTTTTTTCACTCGCGAGCTTCAGAAACTTCTGATTGCCAATATTGCGCTTGCAGCTGTTCCTGACGTTAGCTCGTATCACTACGACGAGAGCTCTGGTTACTACTACGACTCCAGCACTGGTCTCTACTACGATCCAAACTCACAATACTATTACAACAGTCACACGCAACAATTCCTATACTGGGACGCTGAGACAATGTCGTACAAACCTGCACAGCATAATACAACTGCTACACAGGTAGCTGCACCGGCGATGACTGGTGCGACAGCCGAGGTCAATCCGCAAGCTGGAGAAATGACGGACGACAAGAGGAAAGAAACGAAACAGGATAAAGTCAAAGTTGCCAAGAAAATCGCTAAAGATATGGAGCGATGGGCGAAGACTCTTAACCAGAAAAAAGAGAATGCCAAAACCAACTGGACCGCCGATCAGAGTGTAGAAGGAGGTTTCCAAAACAGTGGTGGTGGAACTAGTGGAGCTGCAGATGCTGGCTACGCTATTCTTGAGAAGAAAAGTCTAGCAACCGCGATGTACTTGGAGGACGAAGATATCAGTGGTAATAATGGATTGGTCGCTGCTTACGGTGGCGGTAGTGACACCGAAGAAGAGATTGAGGATGTACAGCAAGAGGACAGACAACATACAGACTGGAGTAAGCTCGCTTGCCTTCTCTGCAAACGTCAGTTCCCCACCAAGGAAGCTCTAACGAGACATCAGCAATTATCCGACTTGCACAAACAGAACCTGGAGAATTGGTATCAAGTTCGTGGTCTCGATCCTAATGATCCTCAACAACGAAATAACAAATACAGAGATCGCGCGAAGGAGCGACGTGCCAAGTACGGAGAACCAGAACCACCACAACCAAACAGACTCAAAGAGAAGTATCTGAAGAGCCGAAATGAAGAAATAGCCACGTCTTACGAGGAACCAACTAAAGCCGGAATAGGCTCTGACAACGTTGGCAATAAGCTTTTGCAAAAAATGGGCTGGAGTGAAGGTATGGGACTTGGTAAAGCAAATCAAGGTAGAACAAGCATAATTGAAGCAGAACGTCGAGTTTCTACGGCTGGATTAGGTGCAAAGTCTTCGACGTACAATACATTGCCCGGAGATACATACAAAGACTGTGTGAAGAAGATGATGTATGCCCGCTATCAAGAACTTTCCGATTAATAAAACAAATAAATCATCTTGATTTGTTTATCTCTTTTTTGTTACACGTCGATTTATACGTATCTTATAATTACGTAACAATGACAAATCATTTGTACATAACAGTCAATTATTGTACTGTTGTTCGGCGAATTACTAAATCATTGAATCCATTTCCACACCAGCAACATATTTCAATAAAGCCAGATTTACTTTAACGACTTTATTGCCTGTAGTGATTAATGATCAATTTAAAAAATAGTTAATGATGAACGTCAATTTTATTCAATACATTGTTTATTAAAAATTATATATAAAATTGTAGATTTGTAATCACACATGGCTTTTTTTTAATCTTTATACTTTGAAAAATTGTATACATCAAAAAGTTGTAAACTATTTTTTATTTCGTCTGTATAATTTACTTAAATGCTTTGCTGTTACTCATTTTGTGTATTAAAATAAAAAAATTAATTGCTAAAGTTTTGTTTTTTTGAGAAAAAAATCTTTATTAACGTTACATTTATTAAGAAATCTAAATGGTAACTATATTATAAAAAAAATTATAATTTGTACAATAATACTATAATCAGTTCATTTAAACAAATAATAACATATATACAATCATTTACATTATTTCACTTTTGCAGATCAATTACTCTAAAAATAAGATTCTCGTTTGATAATTTTCAGTGTGACAACAAAATTAACTATTGTAAAAAGTTTATCAAGATCACATTCGAAGTGTAATTTCAAACATCGACTAGAATCCAAGAATATAATGGGCGCAATTGATGATTTAAAACTTTATATTCAAGATCGCTTATACCATCAGTATCAAATCGTTTTGCTCCATTTTTCAAATGCTTAAATCGTGCGCTGTTAGGCAATTCCTTTTTATGTTTCAGCATGTAATATTGTGCTATACCTGGTCCAAATCTGACCACCTAAAAATAATCAATGTTGAATATTTTAATTATTATTTGATCTTTATTTTCTTCTTATTAAAGTATTAAAATAATTGTACTCACAGGAAAACCTCTACTTTGTAATCTACTATAAAAGTCATCATCTTCACCTCCCCATCCAAAGTACACATTTGAAAAACCATTAACTTTTTCAAATTGCTGTCTCAAAAGTGCAACAGCTCCTCCAAATAAACCATTGTAAGGAAGATTATATCTAAATGTATTCACACTTGAACTCATGTGCCTTGGTAATTTAGTACATGCATATATATTATTTGGATTCTGAGGGATAAGATCAACATCTTGAAATATAAAACAGTGGAAGTCGCTAACTTTAGTTGCCTCAACAAATCCTACATTAAAAAGCTTAGCTCTATTGAACTCTTTGGTCTCACTTTGTTCGATTACAAAAATCCTGTAATCTAAATTTTGTGATTGTAAAAAAGGGTGAATATAATCCATAAATATATGCAACTGTTTCTGACGATTTCTGTAAGGAAGAATAATCGCAACATTGTAAACAGGTTGACAATTTGATGGTCTCCATTGACCTCCAGGTAACACAGCTAATCTTCGAGCTAATGCTGCTGGTTCTTCTGTGGGATTTTCATTTGGGTACAAAAGTTGCGAAAACTTTCTATCGCTTATATTAACAGCGCAAGCATTGCCTTTTGGTGTATAAGCCTTTTCCAACTCTGAAACAATTTCTTCGGCTTTGATATGTTCATAATGTGAGGCAAAACGTCCAGGATGCAAGCAAAATGTTAGTAGTAATATCGCTGTTACAGAAATTGCTAAACCCTTGGCATACTCGTAAATTAAACTGAACAATAATCTATAAACATTTATCAACCTTCGCATAATAATCAGTGAACTTGATCCAATATTTTGCGTCATAGTAACCTCCTCATGTAAAATACATTTTTTAGATCTTAATATAGAATTTTGCATTTCTGACAGACAAGAATACAGTTGTTGTAAAGTTTAACATTGTTTATCACATGTTGTCTAAGGGTTTTTAGAGAGAAATATACTATACACGAAAATAGATAAGAGCACAGTATTACTGTGCAAACTATAGATATATTACAGACTATACATTTTCGTGCTAATACACTGACGTATGTATGTACTAATGCATACATAAATAAGGAAATGTGCGCAAGCGCCATAAAAAACCATTTTTACTCTATATTAATTTCTTCTTTAGATCTCTTTCTTACCTTCTGATATACTTTTGATAGTTAATTTTATTAGCTTAATCACAAAACTGATCATCAAATTTGTTTTACATATTAATTTAAATAAATACGAAATTTTTTATTCATTGTTTGTAAAAGATTAATATTGAGTGGTTTAAATAAACTCGTTTCCTAGTTTTATTTGTTTAACAAAATAGAATAAACTGTTTTCAAATTTAAAAACGCAAGCAAAGAGATTGGCATTCTATAATTTGCAAAATAAATAGTACCAAATATTTAGAGTTAGTAATAAAATACAAAATGTTATGTTTTTGCAGTATCCCTTTCATTTAAACATTTGATCCTTTCAACAATAGAATAACATATTTTTAAATAGGATTATATATCAACATAAATAAACTCTCTTTTTTGTTGATGCATAATGTACAATTTATAACACACACATTCTTAATTACAATGACGATTGTCAATGTACCAAAATAGCTCTGGAAACCATTTCAGTTGGTTTTTGAACTTCAATCTTAGGTACATTCAAGTATTGAAAGACTTCTAAAGTATCTTGTACAAACTTATCAACCATTTCCTCTGAATGCTTAGGTGTTGGAGCTATCCGTAATCTTTCTTCACCTTTAGCAACGGTAGGGTAATTTATTGCTTGCAAATAGTGACCTTTTTCTTTGAGCATTGTGTCAGCGATTTCACTACACAATAGTGGATCCCCTATCTGTTTAAAAAATAAAAATATTAATTTAATATAGCAGATAATATATGTTGTTTTGTACAATCAAAAAATATTAAAAATAACCTTTAACGGAATGATATGTGAAGCTGATGGGATTATAGGTAGTCCAGCATTATTAAGGGCAGATTTCATATATGCAGCAGTTTTCTGATGAGTTGCTCTTAAACATCTTCCTTCATCAGAAGCGAGAATGTCAATGGATTTCAATGAACCATACAAAACAGTTGGCGGTAAAGATGTTGTAAATATAAAGCCTGCTGCATAACTTCTAACCATATCAATTAATTTAGATGTACCAACAATGTATCCTCCAATGTTTCCAAAAGCTTTTCCTAATGTACCAGATATTATATCCATCTTGTGAAGACAGTAATCTCTTTCACCTACTCCTGCCCCATGAAAACCATATAGACCTACAGCATGCACCTCATCAACAAATGTTAAGGCGCCATACTTGTGAGCCACATCACACAACTGCTCGTGTGGTGAAATATCTCCAGACATTGAATGAACTGTTTCAAAGGCAACAATTTTTGGAACACGCTTGTCGACTTTTGACAGTAACTCTTCTAGATGAGCTACATCATTGTGACGGAAAATATGCTTTGGAACATTACTATTTCTGATTCCTTGTATCATAGAAGCATGATTGCCAGCATCAGAAAATATATGACATCCAGGTAGACTCTTGGCTAAAGTGAACAATGTTGAATCGTTGGCCACAAAACAAGAGGTGAAAAGTAATCCTGCATCCTTTTGATGCAATTTGGCTAGTCTGTTCTCCAGTTTTTCATGACCCATGGAATTACCAGAAATATTTCGGGTGCCACCAGCTCCAGCTCCAAAAGTATCCAGTGCTTCTCGCACAGCATTAATAACCTCAGGATGTCTAGACATTCCCAAATAATCGTTTGAGCACCAAACAGTAATAGGCTTTTCCCCCCAGGAATACTCCATAGCAGCAGGAAACTGTCGTGCTAGGCGGTTGACCTTTTTGAACACTCTGCAGAACATCAATCAGATAATATAAATAACACTAAAATGAGTCAGTCGAAATGTTGGAAAAGCATGATCTACAAACCTATAGGAATGGTCTTTTTTCTTGCGCATAATTTGCTCATGGAAAAACTCTTCATACTTGAAGGTGTTATCTTGCTTATTAGGAGTCTCAGCAAGATTAATGATATCTTCCTTGACAGCAGAGCTAGCTTCCTTGATAGCATCCCTTTCCTTAGATAAGAAGGGGCACTTGTTTGCACTTGGATCAAGCAGTGGACTCGTCTCAGTAGCATTAGACGGCTTCTCCACGGCAGAGGAATCCGTTAGACTGCTAGCCATCCTCGACATGACGGGGCAGTGTTGCCGGTAATTCATAATTACCGAAGCCCCATAGTTACGCACGTAGTTGGCTGAGAGCCGGGTGAGAAATGGACACGGCATATTTCCTGCTAAAACGTTGATGCAATTATACAATAACTCAAGAACTTGCATGCATACATACATAGTGTGAGAAAGAGAAAGTGCACTCTCACCTGTAGTGCTCAAACGACAGCTGCTCTGCAAAACACACTGACGTACCAGCTATAATAAAAGCCAAACAGATGTTAGAAAAAAAATTATGAAGTGAATGACTAATTATAGATTGAAGACTAGTCGGTAGCGAGAGAGAAAGAGAGAGGTGTCTTACGAAAATGGAGCAAGGAGACTGTGCGTACGCGAATAAATTACGCGATCGATGCTTACCGTACGAGGCTCTGAGCGCTACTGAACTGAGAAACGAAAACGAATCGCGAGAGCAGAGGACAGAGAAGTAGCTAACATTAAATGATTATATAGATCATATTAACCAAGGTAAAAACGTCGGAGTGACCGACTTTTTATCTTGCAATATTTAAACTTCGCAACTGAGCTTACGGATCGCTAATTTGTTTATCTTACTGTTATTTGTCTTCATTTTTGGCGAACGACACTTTCATCAAGAGAAAAACGCGAATGGATACTTAAATTGGTAAAAACTGGTTACGTAAGGCCCCATTCCAAAACCTCTCGAAATACCGAGAAGGTGATCATTCTACCTGATTAATCTTCGAAGCACGTGAAATTTATATTTGGCTTTATTTTTATGGTCTCATTGTCTTCGCGATAATATTATTTGTGTGTTTTTACAAGTATGCGAAGACGCTATATAATGAAATATTTAAAAATTTTAAGCAAATGACAGTTCAAGTGCCGTCGGTCAATGATATTTATCTTCATTGATTATAATTTTATTAGCATTTTCAACGTTATCTTTAAAGAATAATTATTTAACTGTACTAACAGTACTGTTTCCTATTACTTGGCATAGCTCTTTCGCTGCACTTCAAAGCATGTAGTTTAAAATAACTTTCTTACATAATATCAACACTTTGTTTTAAATTAATATAACTGAATCATTCAAAGGTTTCTTTCAAGAATTAAGTTAAAGCTATCAATTCGTAATGTGTTTCCGTGAAAAAATATTATAATATTAAAGACATTAAAGGATACTTCAAGAGAGCATGTAGATTTAACGTCAATGCATGCGAAAAATGTTAATGACTAAGCTCGTTGTGATTCGAAAAGGAAAGAAAGCTACGTGTAATTTTCGATGTAAGACTTAATGTGTCTGTCGTAACGAGTTTATATCTTTCATTCTACGCCTATGGAACATATTTTCCGTAACTTTCATTTTCTTTTCACGCTGTCCTCTACATTCGAAGAAAAATTCGCTGCAAGTGTCACAGTCTGAATATTTACGTGAACTTGTCATAACTATACTAATTATTCGAATGAGGCGTGTAATAATTGACGCGATTAGAGAATGATAAGCGTAAAAGCTATGAGGCGTAAACAAATTATTATAGTTCATTACTATGTCTCATCTCGTGAATGACGTGGTTATCAATGCACGAGTGACCGCGCGAATGCGTTGCATAATTTTTGAAAATCATGCTGTCAACGCAATGCCATAATAAATCTCGATGGCATCTGCTCTTCCAACGACAAAATAATAATTCGTTTTGTTTTTGAGAATTCTCGTGAAATCTAACGTAAATGCCCTCATTTCAATAGTATGTATTTAAAAAACCTTCAAATTTTTGTAATCATATTGAAATAATGAAATGCCTTTCAATGAATTTGGTCGCTATTTCTGTGCCTTCGACCGTTCTCTATTTTATTTCTTTATAACTATATTCATGTTATTTTTAACCATCCAATCATTCATTGGTTCTCCAAAATTTATACGTGTGTTATAAATAAAGTCTTGACTACCAAACTGGCCAATACGCATTCGTTTAAGATATAATATAATCATCATACACGACAGTTATGAAGGTTGAAGCCGGTAAACGTGAAAGTCAAAGCAAGTTTCGACATTAATATTAATTTTTTGCCTCGCGTCATGTGCCGTTTTGTAATTCAAACTAGGTACGAAAGCATTATACTGTTTTGATACGAAAACTTCCATGAAAATTACAGAGAAACTTATCTCTTCGTGATTCCCTACGAAACTACTATAATTCTGTAGGTGTGTGTGTGTGCGTATTTGTTTGACAAAACTCACCGGTGAATTGGTGATTCGAGAGTAAACATGCGCCATATCGTGCACGGAAAAAAGACGTGAATTAGCAAACTTATGTAAGAAAGATAACGAAACAGCTTTGCCGATAGACGAGTGTTGGTGCAGCCCAAATTGGTCGGAAGAAATAGAGTTCTAATATATAGTTTATTTGGCCAGGATCGCAGGATCGGCTCTACGCGTTCTCCGCGTGAGAGTCGAGCGAGCAGCACACTGGCGGCGGAGCCTGAACGATCGGCGCGGCTGCCGAAACTATTGCAGTCGCGCGGGCACGGCGGGGATCGTTCACGGCGCTCGGCCATTGTATTCCGCGAGCTGCGCTGTAACGGCGGGTCCTATACCTATTCCCAATAAATGCACGTGCGCCGATCACGTGGCTGTGCCCGTGACGCGCATTGGAAATTGGGCATCGCGTTCGCCTCGATGCCGCCTCTTGCGCAAAAAAGCGCCCTAGTTCGCTGACGCGAGCTTCATATTTCGAGCGAGGCGCCCGTCACATTCGATTTCGCCCAGCACCAGTGTCATTCGGTCGGTTATATCTCAGTTAATTTTTATCATCGCCTTGTTAACTGCCAAAACTACCGGCGCCAAATAAATATTAGGCATTGTATCGTTTGTGCCTTGTCAACGCTTAACCGAGGCATTTGGTTGTCGGCTGAATAATGAAGCAGTGGCACAATGATTTTTCGTCGGACGCGCGCTCGATGCCGAGGGTCTGCGACACAATGTCAATTGGTCGCGCAAAACTCGCCATTTCTTTCGCAACGTGACTGGACGTAAAATTAGCCCAAGTGCACAAATATACTCTGCACGATGATTTTGCATTGATTACACGTAACTCTAAGGAGTACATAAAATCCTACCATGAAAATAAATATAGCATTGGAATTGACGAATGATAATACTCGTAAAAAAACTTGGCGAGATGGTTCACCGTCGACGCAATATTTTATTCCGCAGGAATATCATTTGTATCTTCCCTTCGTCGTCGGAGGAAAAATAATTTCGCTTCGGTTCGCTCACACTTGCGCTTGACATTCAAACGAGGACGAGCCAAAACTTAACTAAGTGCAATATTTCAGAGTGAATTATGAATTGTGCTCTCGGACGGACTGCGGGACGCGCGTATCGCCTAATCGATCGAGAGCGTAACTAAATGAAATTCAGCTATAAACTATAAATCGTTGGGGGAAATGAATCTCGAGAGAGTGTTTGTCACGGCTGCTCGTCTCGCGGCGTATGTAGCGAATATCCTCGGGAGAGACATTTAATCCCAATCAAATATATGTCTCGCTTGATTCTCGAACGCGGAACTGCGCGGAACTGCGCGGAACTGATAATCGTCATATCCAGAAATAGCACGCGCCTCCTTCGCGCCTTCAATTGCTTGATCGATCGCACACGTGCGCTCCGTCAATCAACTGCTCTCGATTCGTTCGAAAACTCGCGCGCTTTCTCGCCAAAAGTAACGTAGTATCCAACGTTCGATAACGTTGATCTCACGCTTATCGACCAGCGATCGCACAAAAGACCTTCGCAATAGTGGCGCGCGTCGTTTTCACGAATGAAACTCGAGTGACAGCAAGAAACTCGTTAAAAGCTCAAACAGCGTCAACGAAAATCCTCGTCGCTCGCCCACCCTCTCTCCCTCTCTGTAACTCTTTAGTCGAAAGAAGAAAAAAGCGCATGCGATCGCGAGGCAAAGAAGAATCCTTCGGCGAACAAAGAGGTCGAGGCCTTCGTCGGGGGCATGGACCTCCAAGGAAGAGTAGGGGAGAAGATTTCGCGGATCGATCCGTGGGGTAGCGAAACAGCTGAGAGAGGGAGAGAGAGAAAGCACGGAGAGCGGCGATGCGGACCTTTCGCGTCGGCGCATATGCCCCGCGGACAAACAGCGAATATGGACCCCTCCTTTCGCGCTTTGTCGTTGTCCTTCGCTCACTCGCCGTCTAACTCAGTACTACAATAGCGTCGCGGCGAGCAGCGCCAGCGCTATCACGCTCCCTCCGTCCCTTATTCCTTTTCTCTTTGTGTCGCGCAGCTCGGATTCTTCGCAGCTGATCGTCCGACGAGAAGGTGAGTCCGTAAGCTTTTGATTTTGCAGTTTTGTCCCAGCTTCGCGGGGGCTCGCGGCAATCGATCAGCTGCTCGGGCTGTCAATGTCAGCTGCTCCCCGCTTGCCAGTCGCGCGACTGCTGGCATCTCCGTGCTCGCGCAAGTCCAGAGGATCCGCCTGCGGTGCTTCGGCTGCGCGACTAGTCCACGTAGGCGCGTTCTCGACGAAGCGAAGCTCAGGGCGAACGAGCGAAAGCTCGGCGCGCATCTGAAATCGGGGGCTTTGTTTACGTAACGGTCGGCGCGACGCGACCTCGGCACCTTCAATCGCGTTCGACGTGTAATCGTTCGAAATCAAGCAGTCGCGTCATCAATTGACCGTAATTCCGAGAGCGCGAAGGAGAGCAAAAAGACGTAGACGGTCGTTAGATTCGAGCGATCGATGTCGCTCTGTCCAGCGGACTCGCCTGCGTACGGAAAGTCACGACTGGTTTTGTCGTGCGAGCCTCAGAGGAGTTTCGCGAAAGATTGGATTTCCTCTCGAGGAGAGAACGCTCGGGGTCCGTCCACTGTCCGATGTCGCCGAGCCAGACGGAGTCGGCGTAATGTCCAATTAGCCGCCGCGCGCGGGCCGCGTTCGAAACCCACTCGGCGCGACGACCAACGGGCGAGGCGCTCCAGCCGTCCCCGGACCGATTTCGCTTGCGGAAAGAAATGCCGAAAGCTTCCACGCGAGATGTAAACAAACGTGGCGCACGAGTCGCGCGCTTGCGCTCTCCGCCGGGGCTCCCGGCCCGAGAACCGGGCACCGCCGCGCGTTCGTCGTCAACTGGATTACGCGGGAGCTGCGATCATCGATCCTCCGCAGGCGCGCGGCCCGCCACTGACGTCTTCGCTGGGCCGGCAATCGGCAGGTCGAGGGCGACGCGTCTTTTCGGCGATGGCGTGCGTCATTGCGCGCAACAACGCTGGCACTTTCGCCTGGAATTGCGGACTGCGCACAGGCTTGCGCGGCTCTTGTGCCTTCGATGCTCGATGGTTCGCCCGCGGCAGACGTAAGCAAATGCTTGGCGATTCACGGCCAAAGTTTATCAACACCGTGGTAACTTGATCGAAAGGACCGGCCGGTCGTCAAATTGCCCGCTGCTTAAATTTGCTCGCGCAACGGCATCGTAAAAGCGAATCAATCTCTCCTTAGATCCGTAATTATTGTTAGGCTATTTTGAACTTTTTTGCTACGCCGAGATTCAGTGAACGGCACAAGTTGCAATTAGTTCTTTCAGATTTCAAGCAACGATCAACTTTACGGCATATTTGCTTTCTCGCGCGTGTCTCTTTGTTTATCTCTCTTTTGCCCCGACGATTGAAAGTCCGCGACAAAGAGCAATTAAAGCAAAAAATAGAAGCGAAGCCGTTGAGCAATCGATCGGGATAACTACTTTGCCCGAAGAAGTCTAGCCGGAGCGGTTGGACGATTGCCGCGACAAAGGAGGCATTGTCGCGGCGGGCGCGCGTGCCGCGAGCGCTGCCTGCATTTTTCCCCGCGCGATCCGCGCTCGTGCGTCAGCGAGCCGAATGTCCCTTTTTATCCGCGGAGACGACTCGCCGCGAGCGCAGGTCACGTTCGGCGAGATTCGACCGAGCCCGCGGCGCTGCACGCGCGACATCAACTTCGAGGAGGCAGGTCTATCGCGTCGCGCTGTTATTCTGTCGCGCGCGCGCGCGATAGCCACGATAATAACGATAAAGCTCGCGGGAGCTGCGCTTACGTAAGCTCAGCGAATTTTCCAGGCGCGTAATCGTTGCTCAAGACGCCGCTCTTGCCAATTCGGGAAGGACGTGTTTGTTCGACGAGTGCGCCGTGGAACGGTTATAGCTGTTTCTCTCTCAATTCCAAATGAGCGAGTCGCTCGAGCCGACCTTAGAAGGGAAATACAGCGAATTCGGCCTCCGCATCGATGACTGATTTTTAAATGCCAAATTGATTTCCCAAATTGCTTCAATTGACTCGATGCCGGTAGTATTTGACCGACGGATAAGTCGTAACTTATCACTGATAACGATCCCCGCAAACTATGAAAAATTGACATAAGAGTAGCAGTTGACTAAAAGATAAAAGTATACGAAGAAGAGCCAGTCAATTGGGTGAATTCCGATTGGCCTATTCGCGAGGCACTTGGCGGAGCGGCGGGCGCGCACGGGCGCAAGGGGAGGAACGAAAAGGCGCAAAACGCTCGGCGGAAAAGCCGACGGAAGGTGAGCGCGGCCGCGCGCGCCGCGAGGCGATACACAGCGGTACGCGATAATAGCGGCGGCGCGCACGTCGAAGGCCGGCAATCACGTGAACACGGCGAGATCCTCGCGTTGCATACGTGATCGGCGAGCGAAAGAAGCTCGCGCGCGTAACGCTCGGATCGTCCCGTTTGCCAACAGCGAATTCTGATGCAGGCGACCTCGCTTGTCTCCTTAGCTTTTCGCGCGATTCCCGTTGGACTCAGCGGCGCGCTTCAATTAGCTTCGATAGCAAGGTCGATAATGGAGTCCGCGGTCCTTTTCACCTCCTGTGACGTATGCGATTCGCTTGTAATTGGTCGTAATGCAGTTATCAAATGCCTAGATACGCATAGTAAGCTTGAAAAGTAATCCATAATAATTTGATTGCAATCGATTGCGTTCGTCGAACGACTGTATATAAGTGCGCGATTTTAAATACTCTCTTGGAAACGATCGAAGTTGTGGCAACGGAAGCACGTTCGAGGATATCAACAAAATGACGTACGCTTACCTCCTTGCCAATGAAATCTTCTTAGTTCGAGTAAATGTTAGCGTCGAAGCTGTACTATTTTAGGACTTGGTGGAACTGCCGGTACGCGCAAACGTTACCTATATATGACCAAAAGTACTCACTTCATTGTTTCTAATAGTTTTTATCTTTATGACGTTATTACTTTCAACGATCATTAATGTCCCTCTTCTTACGGGGTCTACGTGACATTCAACACGAGTATGACCGATCGCGTAAACAAAAGCGTGGATCATCAGTGTTTGTAGCTCATTACGCGTGGAACCTTCTATGTACACATCTTGGATTTTAATCGAGTGGTTTTTCTCGGAGTATCTTTTTTTAACTGTTGAAAAACAACGGCGAGTAAATAGTGTACATGTAACCGCCGTTTTATGAAACTCGTAACTGCAATTGTCCGCAATCGTCGCAAGGATTGATAATAGCTTCTTTTTTAAGAAATACTTACGAACAATCGTGCCAATGGATTCAATTGACGTAATTATCGTTATCGCCGCGGATTCGTGCGAAACAATGAATTCTTAGCTGATCGCATCTGCTACGGCCAAGCACGAGCGGCTACCGAAGCAAAACAAAAACGGTCTTTTTGCAGTATCCGTCGTACTATAACGAAAGGAGCATCTACTTGTCGGCTACTACGTAAAAAACACGGCCAATCGGGAATAACTGGCATCGGCGTGTTGTTCCAGATATTTTTCATTCGCGAATGCATGACGCGTCGACGACGCTATATATATATATGTATATATATATATATATATACACACATATATAGAGGTGTTCTGCTTCTGTTCATCGGTGTGGAGTAATGCTAGAGTCTCACGCCGTGTGCACGTGCCACATTGCGAGCGCTCGTGCAGCTTTCCTTCTGTTTATTTATTTATTTTTCTCTTTCCGTAACGACACGAGTGAATAATTACCGACGGGCGTTTCTTATTTTTGGCGTTCGCGAGAACTCGGCAAATACATTTCGAACGAGCAAATAGCGCTTTTTCAAAAACTTCCGAAAATACGCTCCCGCCGGTGCTGCGCGACGCGCGAAACCCATCCTCCGCGCGTGAGGATTCGATAAAGAAACAAAGCGACGCGGAACAATGCAGATCGACGAGAGAAGCGCAACGGCTATGTTGGCCGACAACGATGCGCGCAAGGACGCATCGATCGCTGCTCGATGGAGGGTGAGCGTGTTAACCAATAATCGGCTTCTTACGCTCGGCAGTCGCGACGGATTTCAAAAGATTCGGAACTAAAGCTGTACGCGAGAACCCTTCGTTTCTGATTTGTCCACGCGTCGGAAATCGAGTCGGAAAGCTACGAAAAGAGAAAAGCAATATTCGTGAAAAAGAATTTGATTCGCCTTGGACATCGCCAAGCTAGCATCGCAGCTCCACGGTAGTGATGTAAGCAGGCAGTAGCGCGGAGCATTGCAGGCTATGCGCTTGCGCGCGTCAACGACCTACTCCAAGGATTAAACACGCAAGCGTGCACATACGTATGCATCACTTGGTCGTGTCGTGATGCAGCAGCGGTGTGCGATTTTCTTTCTTTTCTCTTTTTCAAGACTACAAAGAACGTTGCGGGTGTCGTCGCTCGAAACGAAAATACGTTGACCGATGAGGTTTACGCTCCATACGGACACACGCGCGCGCGCGCGCACAAAGATGTCTAAATTTAGATCGGGAAATCTAAATAGGAAGCATATCGTTTGATTGATTCGCGTGCAACGTAACAATGGGCATCCTCTCTCGTTTTCCGCAACTGCGATTTGTCTCTGCTCGCGCATCCTTTGTCGCGTTATCCAGTCCGACGAGCGTTATTAATGACGTATTCTGCGATGCGCTACGCAGCAGTCTCGCGGGATTGAAAACAAAAGCGCGACAGTTGCGTAAGTTAACAATGGAAATTAGGCCGATTAGAAGATGTAGCGCGATCAATCGAATCAATATTTCAATTGTTCGGCCGTTTTTGACCGACGGTGTACGCGAATGCCCGCAAGAAAAAAACTGATCGTCCGACCGTCTGGTCAATTCTCCATATTCCGCCGATGAATCAGTCTACGTGTGTAGCGCTGCTTTTGCTCTTAGCCCAACGATGGCCATGAAAATAAAATCAATGCTCGCCCTAGCGCAAACATTTACTTGTACTTTTACTGCAAATTCACTTTCGCCATTGTTCAATTGCAAGTAGAAAGTCCAGTGAACGCTATCGCGTGTATTCATTCGCATGCACGGTGATTTATGATAAGCATATTGAAACGGAGAGAGAGAGAGAGAGAGAGAGAGAGAGATGCAACGTGTCGGAACGACAAAGCAGACTCTTTCACGGCAAGAGAGATATTAATTTCGCAGAGATATCTCGTATGGCACACCTCGGATAAGCCGGCACTTGACATCAACGATCAATCGCCTTCGCTAACGTGACGCCCAAGCTCGACAGCGAGCTGGGCAAAATATTTGCCCTCCGCGGGAGCGCGCTGGTCGACCTTTACTTTTCCTCTCCGAAAAGCTCTGGCATAGATTATTGACACAGCAGTGCTCGCCTGAGTCGCACGATCGATTGCCCAAGGTCGGCGCGATCGCAGCCGCATATATTTCACACCTCGCAGGTGAGAACGAGGAGGGCGTCGAAGGGGTGGTCGTCTGGTGAAACGCGCGATATTTCACTGGACGGCAGCGAGCCCCGAATCCGAAAAGAAATGCAATCGCAGCCGACGGGGTACGCGAGCTTCGCTCGTGCCGGCGCGCGAAAGCAAAAGCTGCCGCGTCAGCGGAAAAGTCACGAAAGAGCCGACAACGAGCTCAGCTTTTTCTTTCTCTTCTGCTGCGAGGCAGTGGCAGCTGCAGGTGGGTATATAGTCGCGGCGTTCGACTCGGAAAGAGAGTCGGCCGATGATGGAGGGGGGGGGGGGGCGGCGGCGGCGGCGAGCGCCGGTCGATGTTTGGCCGGCACGCTGGAATCACGTGCACATCAGGCGGCGGCCGCGTGCTCGACCTGCTTTTCTTCCCTTCCCTTCCTTCCGAGCCGACTCTCGCGCTCGTTCGCTCTCCGTGGCTCGCTCCGACGCTCTGCCGCGCGCGGGCGGGATTTTTTGGCGCGATGCCCAGAGTCAACGCTCCAAACGTTATCTCGGGGGCACACGCGCGCGCCGCTCGTTCTCTCCGCCGAAATGTATTATTTGCGCGAGCGATCGATGCCGATGCTCATCGACGGAGCCGTCGCGCGGCTCTCGTGCCGCGTGCTTCTGCCGACAGCTTCTTTATTCGTTGTTATTTTTTTTTTCATCGTTGCGAGGAACTTTCGCTGCGAGGCGCGGGTAAGAATAGATAGGCCTCGTATGCCACTGAGTCGCGCCTGCAGAAACGCCGATACTTGTCGTTTCGCGTTTTTCCGCAAGCCTATTCGCAAGTGAACGCTGGCGTCGACTTTGAATTGCGCCGCGCGTTAGCTCCAGCTTCGCGTCGGTCAGTGGAGAATTTTGGCTTCTGTCGTTAATCGTGGATTTTCCACACGGCTGCGCCATAAAAATGACGATGACGGCGTGACGTTGAATTGACACGGTGACATTGCATCGATTGGACAAACGCGGCTGGTCAAACTCAATTGTTTCTATTTGGAATGTAATTATAACCGAAGACGAGCGGTTGTTAATTAGCAATGAATAAGCACGATAACGTTTGTCACTCGACGCAATTCCCGCTGAATCGGCAGCGAAACTTCATTGAAAGACAAACCGGGCCTCCCGAGAATTCGCGAGGACATTGCCGCGACGAGAGTTTACCGTTTGTCAATTGCGTCGCAGCTACAGCGGTGCCGTAGGGACTGGTAACTAACGTTCTCGAAAGTACTCGGCGCGGCGTGGCCCGCCGTTGCGCGATTTGTCGACCGCGCGCCGATGATTCACCTAACGTTTCCCCTGTTTTCGCTTGACTCGATCGCTCTCAAAAATCATCTAACGAAAAAACATGTGATTAGATATTTGTCAGCCGATGACAATCTACTTTGCACTTTGCTTGAAATTCGTAGAAAAAGCTCTCGAGCTTGCGTGCCGATGCGATAAGCCAATCGCCGCCAAAAAGCGTAAAGTGAAACACTAGCGTGCCTGGATATGCTACATTAGACTCCGAACGCAATACCAAATCTATTCGCGAACTGCAGATCTTCGATCGAAAGCTTGCATCTAGGAGCTTGCCTTGTTTGATCACTTATTGCAATTGGCGAGTCGATACAGTGAGGAATTGTGTGTGTGTGCGCGCGCGTGAGAACGATTTTATTTGTTCGCGGATCTATTAGCAGAAATTACCTAGTTGAAATAGCTCGTAGCCAGTCACGTTACAAAAAATGGAAAGTAGTAAAGATTTTTATTCGGGCATGAGGGCGACTTTGTTTTCTGCGGCTAAAGCCGCGAAACTATTCGCAAATACTTTGTTATCTCGTAAAAAGGCGTGCGCGCGGATGCAGCTAGCGCAGTTGCAGTACAGCTTTCGCGAAGTCTCTTCCGCCACTGCAATAGGATAACAAACAAGAGGTTTTAACGGCACTGCTATATACACGTGACCGTTATACAACTCTTAGCGATCGCATATATGCTCTCTATTAAAGTACGCGTCTCCTATTGACACGCGAAGCTTAGCACCTATTTGTTGTTTGTACCTGATGAGCGTGAATTATGCATCGACGACTCTGCGCGTACGTTTCCAAGGCGTTAGACGGATCTTAGAGTCGAACGGAAATGCTTGCGGAATATTCGAATTGTCGATCGAGGCGATCGTTGTCCGAGATCTCGTTTCACTTTATCGATAATACAACACGGCCATTCCCATTTTAGACCCGGCTATTATTTCCGCCTCGACTCTGCGATGCAATTTTCACGATCCCTTAGAACTTCGCGAGCCTTGCAAACGTAATATTTATAAAAGCTGAAAGAGGCGAAAAATAATTCAAGGCTCCCCCGTTCGATCTTGCGCGTCTCGGTCTCTATGCGCGCTCGAGGTTCTCGAGCAGAGCGCATATGTATATCCCAACGTGTCAAGGCTAAACTGGATTCTGTGCGTGCAGCGGGAGCGTTTTTTCCTCTTTTTTTAAGGACCACGTTGCACGCGCCGCATATATTCTTCACGCTGATTTTTCGCAGCGAGCCCAAGTTTTTCAAGTGCAAGCTCGTCTCGTAATTACCGTGGCTTCGCTCAGTTAGATTCGAAATTTGAATAGGCGATGAAGTTGCGAACGGGGCGACCAATTTGTAAGCAATTTCATACAGCAGCCGCTATAGGATTTTCATCGGAAAACATTGAGAAAGGAGTTTTGTATGCAAATTGAGCTTACGACTAGTATTTTTGATTGGAGACTCAGTCCACTTACAAACTCTAAGTGTACACGCGTGATAAGAATCGATTTGCGCGTGAAACAAATAATATGGCATTGTTTTCAAACGCAACTCGTCGCGGGAAAGTGAGCGTTGTTTTTCTAGTTTGTTCTCGAACGAGAGGGAGATTTCGCATAACAATCGTCCTCGAAAAGCATCTTTCTTCGCAAGCCGCCCACACAGCCACAGTGTTCCAATAGTGGTCCAACGCGCAGACGTCGCAGCGCAGCGCGCGTAAACAAAGCGCGCGGCACGCGTTTCACGAGTGCTCGGTCTCTCTGCCCCGTCGGCCCCACCCCGCCGCCTCCGGCACACGGGATAACTGCGCTGGCGCGGCGCTTTATAAGCCGCGGCGAACAGCTGTGCCGAGCTAGTACGTCGACTGGCGCTTCGCGATACGCAACGTACCGGTGCACCGAGAGAGCCGGACAAAGGGGGAAAACAGGCTGCGCCCTTTCGCGCGAGCGTGCTCGACGGAGCGGACGATCGACTCCACAAGGATGCCGGTCGAATTGGCACCTCTCGCCACACCCGCGCACAAAGCGGCTGCGTTCAACGGGTACGTACGTCGCGCCTCGGCGTGAGTGCCTTTGTGCCGCGCGCTTAATTAGACGGGGGCGCAAGGGACGAACGCGGAAAAACCGTCGTTCGATATCCGATAGCGTGCTGCACGGCGAGCTGCGACGATAGGCGTTGTTATCGGATCGGATGCGCAGGACACCGCGCAACCTTGACTATTATTGGACGGTAGCGGTGCAGAGCGCAGACGGCTCGACGCGAGCTCCGAGCGAAGGTTAACCCCTTGAACTTGGCAAGGCGCAAGGCGCGCACCCGCGCGAACCGCCGGCAGATCCCGGGGGGGCAGAGATACGGCCGAGTAAAGGCAGCACGCGTGCTTGGCGTGTTTCAGCGGCGGCGAGTCAGGCAGCAGCGGCAAGATGAACAAGCTGTGCAGGCAGTTGTCGATCGAGTCGCCGGCGGTCGGCGGCCGGGATTTTGTGTTCAGCTTCGACGTGCCGGTGCCCGAGGTGCCGGCGCTCGGGGCCCGCATCCGCGTGGTGTGCGCTGGCGCGTGCTACCACCCGCGGCCGCGCTCGGCCTCGCTCAACAGCACCAACTCGGTCTCGAGCGCCAGCAGCCTCGCCACCGACGTCTCGGTCGAGGGTGACTTCCCGAGCGGCGCGATCCACCCGCCGCAGCACCACGGCATGCGCGACGCCGCGCTCTTCCCCGGCTACGAGGTCGCCGGCATCCTCGAGAGCCTCGGCGCCGAGCTCACCGAGGACTGCGGCTACGCCGTCGGCGACCGCGTCATCATGTACCCCTACGAGGGCATCCCCAACGGCTACGTCGAGTACCTGGTCGTGCACGACCTCAAGTACCTCATCAAGCTGCCCGACAGCATGCCGCTCAGCGTCGCCGCCATGCTGCCCGCCGGCGCCCTGCTCGCCATGAACACCGTCTTCGCCGCCCACGAGCACGTTCAGGTAATTCAGAACCGGCCCGATCGCGCCTGCAACTCGTCCAGGCTTCCGTTGAGAACGCGCGCGTGCCCGAACCTCTAATTTTAACTCGCGGCAAATTCGATGCTCTGCGTCGTCTTTGTCTTTGCGAGCTTTTCGCTCGGGCGTGTAGAGCTTCGAAAAACCTCGCTTGTTGCTGGCGAGTAATCGCGTACCCGATTGTTTCCTTCGACAGAATTTGCTGAGAGAACGCGGCGACGGCAGCGTCTGCAAGATCCTCATAGTGGGCACAGGTGGGCTCGCGTTGTGGGCCCTCAGAATCGCGGCCTATCACTTCACGAACATGAAGGATCGCGTGACCATAACCATCGCCTCGCTCAAAGACGATGGTCTGATGATGGCTCAGGAATTCCAACGGTAAGCACGTCCTCTCCGGCGAGCTGTTCGCCTTTGTTGTTGTAGAGGTAGAGTAGAAAGCAATGTTGTACGCCTGGATTGCCGTTGTTCCGTTGGAACACCGCGTCGCGCGTGAATGTACACTGCACGCACGCTTAATTGGAGCGGAACGAGTGACTACCAATTTTTTTTACTTCCCGCTTTTACCTGCTCTTTTTTTACCTTTTTTATCGCGTTCAATCTTGATAACACACCACCATTTTGTTTTTTTTTTCTTTTATTGCACGTGGCCAATTTAGAAATGTAGTCGTTATTACTTTTTTCGCTATCTGCAGACGGATGTTTGGATGTTTTTCATGTTGTCTTTTGGTACTCGGGCAGATCTCTGTCTTGATTGCTCATCTTATCTTTGCGCATATCCGCTAGCCGGTGTGGATGTACAACTTTTGAACTGAAGCTCTGACATCCATCGTATTTCGGGATAGAGAAAGAGAAGGCAAAAAAGCCGAGAAAAATGCAATCCCTGAGCGACAGGTTGGTTCCGTGCACTTATTCACAGACAGTTGGCACTATGCTTACAGAGTGAACGTGGTCCAGTGGAGCGAGGATCTGTACGAGCGGCAGCTAATCGAGCGTACGATGGACGCGTGCGGCGGACAGGTGGACGTTGTCATTGACTTCGGCACCACGTCGCGCAGCTTGCACCGCAGCATGCAGTGTCTGAACAAAGGTGGCGTTGTGTTCGTCATCAAGGAGGTGGCCGACCGCCTGCTGCCCAAGTTCAGTCGGCGCGCCGAGGAGCGCCAGCAGAGCATCAAGCCAGTCGAGCCCGGCAGTCTGGAGCAGCTTCGAGAGTTGGTACAGCTGGTTGGCTCCGGCGAGATCGAGCCACCGCCGCACACCGTTTACCCGGCCGAAGAGGCCCTCGACGTTGTGCAGAAACTTTGCCACTCGGAGATCCAAGGCAGAGCCATTTTGCAGTTCTACCCGACCGATTAGGCGGCCGATGCGCCGTGTGCGCAGATCGCTCGATGCAACAGCACCGACAAATGGATGTTAGAAGACGACTAGGCTCGCGCGGTCGCACTCTCTATACTCGCCATTTCGATGCCGGCGACTGTCCGTGTGATGTATGTTCAATGATTCGATGACGACTCGAAGACGCCGGTTGCTGCCAGGAGGACAACATAGCGCAGGACGACATGCTGAATTATTATATGAATACGATAGTCGCTTTTATCTGTTTTAGGATTTGTCAGTATTTTTTTTTTCTGTTTCTTGGATGACGATTGTTTGCTCTGAGAGATATCTATATATACATAACATATATCGTTAATTACACAACGTGTACCATGAGAAGACTGTTCGTTTTTAGTTGGTAAGTCGCTTTATTTTATTTTATTTTATTTTATTTTATTTTATTTTATTTTATTTTTATTATTCGTCGTAGTTAAGGACTTTATCCGGTTAAGATATTGATCTATATCGATTGCGTAGACTTGTAAGGAATTCAGGGATGCAGAAAAAGAAAGAAAACATTAAAAAAAATTGTCAAGTCGTACCACGTTTGTAAACGTTGATTGAGCGCCCGTAACACGGCCGACATTGTATTATAATAACAATTGTACTGTATACTATGATAATACATATGACAAATACGTTTCCTTTTTTTTATATCGCTGTTATTTCAGTTCATTTCGTCTGCGATCCTTCCTGTATTCTTGTTGACTGTTTGTCCATGCTATTTATCCTACATCAGCAGTGTTTCAATTTCTACATACATACGTATTGAATACTACGTTGAACGATAATAAGTTAAACATACATATATCAGTAGAAATTTCAACATCTTAAATACCTAAAGTATCGTTAGTGATATATCAACAAGTAGATTTGCTGGCCTTTTGCAAGGAGAAGCTGGAGAATTTATCATAGTTATTGCTCGGATTGCGCACACAATTTTGTATTCGACATATTTCAACGCCATCGTACATTCTTGGGTTTCTCATCGGAGGATTACACACATTGCAGTCCGATATTACTAAATAAGCCTTAATGATAAATAATGAGATAATGTTCCTACATCCCCTCTTTTTAGTCATTGCAATAAAGGTCATCACTAAGCGCAATTATTAAGAGTAATTCTTTTTCATATACCCTTCTATAGCTGCATTTTTTAAATACTCCATAAGTCGCCTTTAATTGATAGATTATCGCTTCAATTAGTAACATTTGCCGGTAACTTATTATTTATTAATAAAACCTTTATTGATAATCATAAAATGGTACTGAATGAACAAGGAAAATTCTTAATTACATGAATGACATGTGATTTTGAAAAAAGCACGCGAGAAGAAGTTTGATTAACTAAAAACCATAATTTAACATTGAAAACATTTTCTCATAAACTTCAAAATAGATTCTAAATCAAATGAAAGGGAAACAAGGTAGAATGTATATTTAACACATGCTTTGAAATATAACAATTTTATCTTCAAAAATTAGATTTAATAACAGCTGATGTTTGAGGCAAATGCATTTATAAATATACAATTAGCTATTAAGATATAATAAAAAGTTGTGTAGAAATCTTCAAGGGTACAAAATTGTTCCATGCGATAACATGATTATCTCATCAAATTAATTTGCTTACTATAATTTTTTATAAATCAATTTAAGAGCAACAGTCTAACCATTGCTTGATTTTATCATCTTTTTATGTAGATTCTCTTTTGTGTATTTATATATATGTATATATATATATATATAATTTACAATATATAGTACAATTAACGATTTTCAATCTAAAAGTAGATCAAATACTTCGATTCGTTTAAATTTTGTATAGATAGACTTCGATCGTAGCAAAGATCGGTAATTCAATAACAATAACATAAAAAAAACAAATAAAGAACTAAAAAAATTACTACGTTGGACTTTTAAAACTATCACAGATATATCATAAATATGGAAAAAGTTTGTAAGTTGTCAAGTTAAGCAAGTAAATAGTTAAGGCACGAGAACTAAATTCTTTTTTTATGCTCTTTCGCTACCAACATAATTATATGGAACATATCCTTTGCCACCAAATCGATTTTCTACCAGCCACCAATTTGAATTCATTTTTTCATCATGTTTCTGTAATACTTTCAAAGCTTGCCCTTCTTTGATCGGTAGTGTTCCGGCTAGATCCACCGCTTGAAAGTCGTAAAGAGCATAAACATACTGAAATAGTAGTATCAAAATTAATTTATAAATATTTCAATATATTATTTTTCAAGTATTAAAACTGAAAAGCTTACTTCTTCTGGTTTCTCGTTATAAACCTTTTCTGGCTTCAGTTCCGGATGTATCGTATTTTCCGCTTTCAGTTCGTTACTCATTTTCATTATATTCTCATAATTTGGTGCTGGTTCGTATTCATCACTCGTATTAGAGCAAAGAGATTGAAGATCGGCAGAGTATCGCTTAGCCGCTTTCACTGGTGAATCGAGAGCCATCAAATCAGTTGTATCTTCAGAACAAGCTCCACTGGCACTTGCACTTGCCTCGATAAGTTTTGCCTCATCGCTAAGCTCCAAGTATTGACTTTCCACGAAACCTTTCGAGGTACCATTATCAACAAACCACTTTGATGTATTTCCCATAGGATCTTGAGTTTTTATCACGCCGACTATGGTTCCTTTAGTTACTGGTAAATCATGTGGACTTGAACCTGTGACTGAACTCGTTACTACGTACAAATTATTTGGAGGAAACTTGGATTTTAAGTTTTTTATATGCACTGTCGATTGGAGATAATAGTTATCCTTATTCTCTTCAGTTCTTGAATTTGAGCCTCCGTAACTGAAGCGACTGATTTGATTGTAGAGAAGATTATGGTGAACCAAAAATGATTCCAATATAGCATCTAGAGATACTTGGTTAACAGACTGTAAAATAATTTCAAATGTAATACGAGAGCGATGAAATACATTGACAGTAATGAATATAATACTCACTTCTGAAACATTTAAATATCTTTTCATAATTTTGCCATTGTAAAGTTTTCGAGCATTTGTAAATGCTCCAATGCAATTGTACAAAATTGATGTGCCAGCCTCGATAAAAACTGGAAGTTCTTCTATCAATTGTTGGTTTAATGCTTCAAAATGACTTTTTGCAGTATGCAAATCATCAGACACCTGAAATAAATTGAAATAAAGTAAAATGAAGTATAGATTAGTTATTACAGTATAATAATGTACACTTACTGGTCCTCTTCCGTCTCTCGAAATGGCGGTATCATAATCAAGCATTTTGTCATATCGCTTATTGATTAATAGTTCAGGTCCAGCGAGTAATGTAATGAGATAATTTAGTGGATCTACCACACGTCTACACACGCATTCTTTAAAGTTATTCAAAAATTGAAATCTTATAACATTTCGTAACTGTCGAAGTCTCTCGACTTCGTTGCAAGGTACTCCAGTAAAATACATATGCATTTGCTCCGTGAGAACTGTGCCGCATAAAGTTTCATTATCTAAATAATCCATGCACTGCATAACATCTTTCATAAGTTGTTTTGTGCACTTTTCGAGTGAAGTGAAATCTTTAGCTAACTCGTCGAATTTTGGATCCGATGGTAAATTAGATAAGCCTAAAGTTACTGAAAGCTTAGCACTTAATCTTGAAGATTTTTTTGCTACTGAGTGCATATTTAAATTGGCCATGCGGCCAATCAAAGTGTTGTTACAACTCAAATACTTCTCAGCTATTTCTTTTTTCCTCTTATATTCATTAATATAACTAGCAACATCTGCCATTACTATAGCTGCTTCTCCAATTTTTGGTTTATCTGGATGATCGTCCTCGGTTGCCTATCAAAAACATAATATCTAAATAAAAGTTAACTTTACGGAAAACTTATAAACGTACCTTCAACAATTCGTTCAAAATTAATGGATATTTTAGAATTCTTTGAACAGGCTTGATTAATACAGAATTCATATCAAAACATGCTACTTGCATTCTTAAAGTTTCAACTCCTTTTTCAAAAATTTTCATAATTTCTCTGTTACTTTCATACTAAAGTTAATATAGAAATATTAGATTTTCAATTTTTTATAAATTACATTATTCAAGTATAAAATTTGTAAAAACCTTTTGCAAAAGCGCCAATGATGATTCATGATTACTGCAGTATCTTCCATAAGCATTCCTCATCTTTTCAGACATTTTCAAAAAACAAGGTCCTATAGTTTGATAATCTTCATCACAACCTTTCATTGCTCTCTGAATCAGTTCTAATAACTCCTCAGCTACTGCAGTAACTTCAGAAATATTTCCAAAGAGAGTTACTACATCTATTCCTTTAGATTCTAAAAAGTCTGGATTATGTAAGTTGAATGTTTCATAAGTCATTTTTAAGTCTCTCACATAATCTTTTTCAGTTAGGTATAATTCTGTTATAACATTTTGTCTTTGGTCAGCACGTTTTTGTCTAATTAAGGTACCTGCATCAGGTTCTTCACTTGGATCACAAGCAACATTATTCTGTTTTTGTAAAGGAACTCTTCCAGGTGTGGGTGCTGGAGGTGCTGGTCGATGAGGTTCTGACAATCTTTTAGATCTTTCTGCTGATCCATCATTCTCATCTTTCTCTGTATTCCTTGTCATTACAAAATTATCAAGAGCATCATGGAAAACATCATCATGCTGATCATTCATTTTACTTATTTTAGTAAGATAGCTTCTTGGACAAAATCCAGTTTTACCATGATTATTTTTTACTGTCACCCAATCTTTATTAGTCATTTCTACAACAGTGACAATCTCTCCTTCTGAAACACTTAAATCACCATCCATTTGTGCATCGAATTGATATTCTACTTTTACATGGTCATTTATCTGTAACTCATCCATCCTTTGTTCATCATCCTGTGCCTTAACACTTTGTGATTCAACACAGTCAACAATGACATTTACATATGATACTGGAAAAATACCTTTGGCATTATTTATTATACCTTCAGCCCACTCGTTATCAATATACCTAACTAGTTCAACAACTTGTCCAGTTTCAAAACTCAGCTCATTTGGAAATTGAGCTTTAAATGGAAACAATGATATTGCATATGGCTTGAGAGCTGATGCATTATTTTCTGTTGTAAAATCAATCTTTGGTACTGCATTTTCAGGAAATAATTCATTATAGTCTGGTGCAGGATCATCATAGTGAAGATGAATGTTACTCGGATAACTATCTCCAAAATCTTTATAAATTCGACCACCAATAGCAGATTGTGGAAAAGTATTATCTCTGGAAGAATTATTGGATGGTAGCTCATTATAACGAGCTTGAATACTATTTGTGTAACTTTTATGCGCTTGATTCTGATTCATCTCACTCATAGTAGATTTTTCAAAGTTATTTATTATAGAAAAGTCAGAATGATCATCATCCACCTCATCAAAGGTTGATTCCTCTAAGTATGTGATGAAACCTTCAGGAAAAGTACCCTGATTTCCATGTTCATTATAACCTCGACACCATCCATCATCCAAAATTTCTGTGACTATAACAATTTCTCCTTCAGTTAAATCCAATTCTTCATCCAATTGTGCTTTGAGATTTGCTTTCACTTTTGCTGTTCTTTTTATTATATTTTTCTTGTTAGGTATCTAAAGACAATAAAATAGTGAACTTTTCCAATAATAAACTAAAGCCCTATCATTAAGTATGCAAATTTATATTTATTTTTGTACCTTTAATTGATTTGTATCAACTTGCCAAACATACGAAGCAGGAAATATTCCTTCTCTCACATCTGTATGGCCTGACAACCAGCCAGATGATGCTTCTGGATTGCCAATGATTAGTTCACCTTTAGATATAGATGTGAGTTTAAATTGATAAAATGAAACAGATAAAGTACAGTTCATGTAATAATGATCATTTACCTAGGCCAAAAGTTATATCACCAGGTTGTTCCCCACGGAAAGGAGCAATAGAAATGAATAATGCTTCATTGTCATTTATACGAGGAATTTCAACTTTATGTAAACACTTGATTGGAAACTTTCCTACTTTGTGATTTGATTCACCATAACACCAATGCTTATCAATAACTTTTTCAACCTAGAATAAAAAATAAATTAAAATCATTTTCAATTTTTGGAGTATTGTTTACATTTCACAGTCATAAGTGATAATAGAATCAAAATAAGTAGTTTTAATAAATTACTTATCAAAGAATCAACAGTTGTTCAATATCATAAAACGTATCTCGCGATTACATCAGCAGCAATCCTTTCGCACAAATATTATGCAATTATGCAAGTTATAAAGATATATATTTCCGCGTAGGTAAATTATAAATTCTCACCAAAAAGTATTGGCCTTTAACGAGACTCAATTCGCCATCTTCGGTTGTTAGAAAGTCATTTAACACTTTGGCAAGTGTCCCTGGCTCCATTCTCAATCAAATTTTTTCTTTGACGACATGCGGTCTGATGACAGCTGATAATAACAAGAATGTAAGAAAAGTTTGCAAAGTTTTGTCAACTACGAATTCCGTAAGAAGTGTTTGCAGAGAATATGGATGTTAATCCACTAATGTCAATTTTTTTAAGTTTCTTATAAACTAATTAGCTAAGATGATTCCGCATCACTCAATAGATAAAAAATATTATTAGTATTTTTTGCGCGTCGCTAGTTTTTAGAAGAGAAATTCGAATTTCAATTTGGAGGCTAAGCTTCAACCTTCAATTAAAATTAGCTATCATCGAGTCTTATTTAACTATTAAATAAATATGCGAAGAGCAATTGATTCCACATTCAACGCGCAATCATCCCTGTAATCTTCGTAATCAAATTGCCGATAAAATAAGTTAACTATCAAACGATAACGAATGTTATTTTTATAACAGAGAATCAGTGACAGTCAAATATCGAGACGACCCTGGGATGGGTTATATAGGATAGAATATATATAGGAATAAGAATGGGTTATTTCGGAAAATAACCTATTCCTATTAAAGCAGCTCTTATAACTTTAATATAATTTTGGATTTGGAATTGGGGGGGGGGGGGGGGGGGTACAGAAAAAAAAAATTTAGATAATTTTAAATAGTCCAAGTAGACATAGAGCTATTTACTTACAATTTTTTCAGAAAATTCACCATTTTTCTGCCAGGATCACAAATTTTATTAAATTTTTGCATTTTACTGTGTTTCTATGAAAAACGCTGTATAATTCAAATTCTACAGGGGTACAAATTATATTTTTGGATTTCGTAGATGGTACAAATTAAGAAGAAGACATTCATAATCTTTTACATTGAAATTTCACGATTTTTCCGCCGAGAAAAGAGATTTTCCGCAGCGCGGAAGACTCGAAATTAGAATAGTCGAATTAGACTACGAATTCATTTTTTTCTCAATATTTTCAAGGGGTTCAAATTCCAAATATTTTTCCTATCAGAGTTTCCTACTTTATCATCCGAGTAATCAGCTGTTTTTGCGGATGTAGGAGTTTAAGAACACACGTTAACATGACTAATTAAATTTTAGAGTGTAAAAATTACTATAAAACTGTTTTCATTTGGTAAAATTTAAGGTAAAGCTAGAAATATATTTTTTTCTTAAGAAATAAAAGATTTTCCTGTAAAATTTATCAGTATTACAATCGCACAAAAAACATTGTATTATTCAAATTCTACAGGGATACAAATTAGTTTTATGTATTTGTTGGTACAAATTAAGAAGAAGTCATTCATATATATATATTTTTTTAAATCGTATATTTTTCTGCTGGAGGATAGATTTTCCGTCGCGCATGCGCAGTAATACGTTAATTTGTGATCACGCATGCGTATTGGCTTATCGGCGTCTCAGTGAGAGACCCACCGCCATCTAGTAAAGTAAAGTAAAGTAAAGTACGTTAATTTGAATTGCTAATCTACCCTACGAAAATCTTTTTTTTCTCTATTTTTAGAGAGGGTACAAATTCTAAAAAAGCATTTTTCTGATGGTACAAATTAAAATGAAACTAGTGGTATTTTTTTCTTTTATGATTTCAATCATTTTTCTGCCAGGAGTATGAGTTTTCCGCAATATCGATTTTTTCGCTTTTTTTTTTAAATTTTTGGAGGGTACAAATTCCAAAAAATGAATTTTCGGGTGGTACAAATTAAGACGAAGCTAATGGTATATTTTTTTTTTTAAATCAATCATTTTTCTGCCAGGGTTGTTTCGATGTCTCCACTCTATATTCTCCAAATTTTTTATACTTAAAATACAGCTCGACTAAATAAACAAAATAACAATGAACAAAGTGTAAACGGCCATGTAGTAATAGAAAGGATTTGAATAACAGAAAATTCAAATTTTACGACTTTAAAAGCAAACAACCTAAAAAAATAAATACTTTTGTTTGGCTTTGTGTCCATTATTTTCAAAGCATACAGCTATGAATCATGACGTGTACATTATTTATTTTTTAAATTATTTTAAATGATCAGCCAGTTAATAAGTATAATGCAATTTACTACAATTTATTTATTTTACTTGTACTTGAATTTGTCTATATTGATATTGAAAGAAACTTGTTTGGTTACAGATAATATGGAACAAAGGGAATATTTGTCATTAAATAGCATCTCTGTGTCTATTTATTCATCAGTCTCAAGAGACTTGATATTCAGCTAATTATTGAAGAGGTAACATACTGCATCAGCTGAAATAATGTGACAGATTACCTTGACTGTGACTGAAGTGATAATATTGCTTTCTTGCCAGCAATTCTAATATATTTGTTGAAATGAAACACAGTCTTTCTTACCTGAAGAAGATTCTTAAAGACGTAAATTAATTTTTTGCTATGTGATGTTGAATCTATTATTTGATTCTTTATTCCGGTCATATGATTTAACAGAGATGCCCAAACACCAGTCACGATGCAAGTGCATTGCCATTATCTCTCTATTGTATATCCATTCGTTGGTATTGTACAGATAACTAAACAATTCACTGTATATATACAGTTGTGTACTTCTATGGCGTCTTCATCAAGGATCACCCCAAGGTGAATGTTCGACCTGTATGAGTTTCCGAATTTCGCTTGAACTACATTATATCTAACATTTTTCAGGTACCAAAGAAATTGGCTAGCAGTAACAATTCTAGCGGCAAAATGATGGCCATGGCGTGCAGATGCCAGTTGCTCTACTAGATCGTACACTCGATGCTGCGTCGTACAGTGTGCATCAAAAGATGGTCGTTAACAGTTTTATCGCTTTCCTCAAAGACAACGAGAAGCATATATGCAGCCATTGCTAATAAACAAGTACAAACTGACTAGTAACAGTTTTTCCCTCAATTCCCTTACGATAAAAATCAACCTAGATGTCGATGACTCAACATGTGACTCTCGAAGGTTAAATAAATTCCTAGCCATTGCTAATTATATACGCGGATTCTAACTTCATCAATTCGCAGAAGCTCCTCAGGTCCTCTCACTGCAATATCTCAGCTGTCGAGCTTTTGCTACTACCGCTGCTACGGCTGCTTACCAACTTGATATGTTATACATGATCTCCAGGTAGTCATTTGCGTTTGCTGTTGATATATAAAAATTTTTTAATTCCCTAGAGCTTATGCATAATCACAAAATTTACAGGATTTGATGAGAACTGTTCAAAATAGCAATAATTTTATTTTACAACAATTACAGCATAGTGCCAATTTTAGATTTATTTATTGCAATAACTTGCAAAATTATTTATCAATCAAACCAATACTAAAATAGGGCCAACTCATTTGCATACCCCGTCAAAAAGCCCAATCTGATAAAAGTTTGTTGAACATTCTATAGATACGCTAACATTCATAACAAAAAAAATTCTAGTCGAATACAGAACTTTCTTCTTTTTTAAAGTCGACGATACAATCATTCTCGTATTTGCATGAAGCGATTCAGGTACTTTGATAAGTTGATGGCCTCTTCAACAAGTAGCATTTCTAATAAATATCCTCTACAGAAAATATTTCAAAAAATACACTACTATATATATATATATAAAATTATATCGTAAACAAAGAAATTTTTATTATATTTAGTCGTCGGAACTTACTATTTGTCATTTTGATTGTTTGTGAATGTGCCGTTCAAAAATGTCTCACGAATCAGTGTAAAATAAATAAATTTTTTGGAGCTATATACAAGTCTGCGAACAGTACCGGGGTAACTTTACTGACTAATTGGTTTTTTATCTAATCAAACATTTTTCACGATTTGCTACTAGTGAGTTGTACGTTCTGTTCATTGCATCGTTAATATTTATACTTGTAACTTGTAATAACAAACCGGACGATAAATAATGAAATTCAATTCTCAAGTGAAGTTACTTTTTCCTATTATTATAAACAATTTATACTTATAATCATACTTATAACAATATTTATTTATAAACAATTTTTTTATGAATTAATATCCATTATACTTAAGCTTCTTTATAGAAAAACTTCGTTTTTACATTTATTATTAAAAAATGATTTTCTTCAATATAGTGCATTACAATTTTTAAAAGCTAACTGCTCTTCATAATTGCAGCTGTATTTTTATAGAACATGTTATATTGCAGATAATTGTTTTGAGAAGATAATATCAACGATGGTTTTCAGGTACATGTTCTTGCCATGACTTTTATTGCCTTTGGTACAGTCACACGAAACTGGACTTATTGACAACTTCATCGATACCAACGATTTTTGCAAAGCATACCGTTAGTTGCATTTTCACTACCATTCGATTTATTTTGATCCTTTTTAATAAAAATATATTATAAACAGTTTCAGGAATTATTCAATCTTTAAAAATTGTGAAAATAAAATACCATCCTGAACTGTTTTCACATAACTTGAAATATAAGACGCTTTGAAAACCTTCAACATTTTTTACGATGAAACTCTAAAGACAGAAATATATCAAGATGAAAATGAACAATGTATGTGGAATCTTGCAGTACATCTATTAGCCTACATGAAATATCATAATATGTATTTATACGTTCAGAAAAATAAAGAATAAGTGAAAAAGCGGTTAAAAAGTAATAGTTTTTCAAAAATCAGTAAAGTTTTTGCGGAAAATGTAGAAGAAAGTACACTTTGTACCAGAAAGCTTCGAAGTCAGTCATCCTTAAAAATTTGAACCTGCTGATAATATGGAAAGAATAAAAATGTTCTTAAAAAAGATGAATTTGTTTCTTTACACGAGATGAAGTATTGTATACAGTTTAAAGATATAATCCGTAAAATTTTGTATAATATACGTTTTGAAATTATGTTTTAGTCCGTAAAGCAAACAAACAAATTTAAAGATTTCGTTAAAAGATGGTTATTCAGTATTTGTAGAAATTTTAAAAGATATTCTACTGAACTATAAGCTACCTCCGAATATATTGTATTACGATTATATTAATATTAAAAGTGATGATAAATTTTATAATCTTAGGGTTGTAAGTGATATAGAAAAAAAATGACATCAGCTGATGATTAAATATATTAAAGCTCAGAAATAAAACATCCATGAAAAATTATGTCAAAATGGAATACCAAATTCGTTCTCGATATTTGAGTTAGGTGTTTTCCCTGGATGGACTTGTTTATTTTATGATTTACGCGATATTAATTTGATAAAACATGTTTCAAAAAATCAAATCTATTTGATAAACACTCGAAAACGTCAGTCACAATATGTGATGTTTTGGAGAAACTTGATGCGCGGTGAAAAGCAAATTGAAAGAACTTTTCTTAATGATAAGAAATTTGTAATTGTTATTTTTGTTTACTGAAAAGAGATGTAATTTACATATATGAAGAATGCAGACTGTACTATAGTGCTAACTGCTCGTGCACTGCCGGGGGTCGTTTGGATCTACAATAAACATTTGAAATTTACTGGTACTAGTTGTGAAAACGATATTCGTTATTATTTGATAAACGATTAATTTTATTATAAGGGCTTATCGCTCGTTGAACGCAAAATCGATTGCACTTATTATATTCAGTTAATAATTAAATATCACTCTGCAGTGACTTAACATTATAACTATCAATCTCCAAATTAAAATTCGCATAAAAATGACAGTAAAACTTTTTGTCAATTGAATGATGTGAAATCGTTGAAGGTTTTTAAAAAAGTTGAAAAAATTGAAAAAGAGTGGATTTCCATCAGCTCTGCTAGTTTACTCATTAATATTCCCTTCCTTCATACTTATGAAATATTTCTGTAACAATAAATTGCATAAGTGTTGACTCTCGGAAAAGTGAGCTTGTGAAGGTTGTTGGAAATTCCAAGGATTCTCGCAAAGTGAGAAAACAAGCATTCTATTTAACATTATACTTATATATTTATTATATGCATATGTATACGTAATAATTAATAAAATATAATGTTTATAATGTTAATCGTATGTCTACAATCGTATTATTATCTGTTTTTTTCCAATATCGTCATTGTCGCCGTTCTCAAGCACATATATATTTCGTGAGAGCGCTTGAAAAAGTTCATTTGTTCGCTTGTTAGTTTGTGAAGTTTTGCAAAATCGAGTAAACGCAACATTAACAAAACGCAATTGGCGAAAAAGCTACGAAACGGTAATCACGCTACTTTACAATGTAAACATCAGCAATGTATCATCCATTTTTTTTTTCTTGCTTATTCCTCTCATAACATAGTTGGTGTATAAAATTATCCGGCGCGCAAGCACGCACGCACACACACGCACGCACGCACGCACGCACGCACTCACACACACACACACACATTACTTATACATAATTATCTTTGCGATGACAGTTTACATATCCAGTTATGATTCGTAACAATATATAGCTTCGGTATACTTGCGGTCGTGTGTCTGGTGTATTTTCATTTATTTATTATCAACATCTATATCCGAACCCTTATGTCCTGTGCATCCTTTTCTTTTTTAAATTCATATATATATATATATATATGTAATTTGCTTCCACGTATATATAAATATCTATGAAATTATTCCCAGAGATTTATGTGCATAACCAATGGCGCACGAAGCAAAGCAAGAGGAGGAAAAATTTCCACTAGAATAGCTTATTGTTTCGTTAATGAGACGTACGCGTTATAATTCTGATAAACGTGGTGTGTATGTGTGTGTGTGTGTGTGTGTGTGTGTGTGTGTGTGTGTGTGTGTGTGTGTGTGTGTGTGTGTGTGTGTGTGTGTGTGTGTGTGTGTGTGTGTGTGTGTGTGTGTGCGGCTGGCGATGACGACGGCGATGACGACAGTGTCGAAAACGTTCGGTCAGCAATGTCTCGCGCGCGTTATTGCACGTGCGCGCGGGTCTCCGTTTTCTCCTTTCGTTTTATTCTTCGCGAAGTGTACACCTTTAAAAAAATATATGTAGAGGTACAACGGAAAGACAATGCTTTTGTTTTATGACTGGATAACAAAAAGAATCGAGCTTTACTCTTTACTTCCTTTTATTCGACGTGTACGGGTGCTTCATCTCGCTCTTCCTACTTTTCACCAGAGATACAGTGTGTCTAGGAAAGAAGTGCGAGCTATGCGACGATTACAGTAGTTAGAAAATCAAATGTTTTTTTTTTCCTTTTCACGCACAAAAGAGAATCGTGTTCATTAGTCATACTTCACAACAGGCATTGTTTAATCGTTCGCGTTCATCGTCATTTTCAAGAGAATGGGAACATTTCGCCGCTCGCTAGGCGCTGCGACTTTGTTTTTTCTTTTATTTTTGCTAAAATTGAGAGATGTGTTATGTATATATACACACATACACATCTGCTTATATATCTGTGTTCTTCGTGCGCGTGAGTTCACAAAGAAGTCACATCGCTTGTTGTGAGTTTTAAAACGCTTTCTTTCATAAAATTTACATATAGATTCTTTAATTTGCAATTAATCCTCCGCGACAAATCGTCATCGTCATCAGTGTACGTGAGTTTCTTTTCTCTTTTTTTTTCGTCCATGCGCCGAATACCGATAACAAATTTCTTGTCAACGTAATACTTTGCGGTCAATGCCACGTGATTTATCCGCGGAAATGCGATGCCGTTGTTTAGCAATTTTTCACGTTTTCGAAAATGAAGATACACGTGTTTCTTCAGCATCAACTATCAGACATTATTATCACGACGATTTGCAGAACTTTCGCTCGCCGCCGCGTTTTCTTATCCCCGGTGTTTTCTCGTCGTGCCTACTAACGATATTCTACGAAATCGAAAAATTCATGGCGATGTGTAATGCGCTCGAGGAGTAAGAGTTACAGCGCGGGATAAGAAAAGAAGACGTAACACCGCATCGTCCGCCGAAATGCCATTGACGCGTCGGTACTTGCGGCGTTTGATGGGCACCGGAAACAGTCGGGTAAAAATACTCAGCAAAAATAATTTGATCGAACGAGCAGCGCCTATCCCCGCGCTGCTTCGAATCTGATATCGATTCGCTTGCACTTTTTATTCGTCGCGCGCTACATTTACCCAACTCTTTCCTCCCTCTCGATTTCTTTTTATCATTTCGCCCTTCTAAGCGCGTAACGAATATACATATATACATATACATATACATATATATATATATATATATATATATATATATATATATATATATATATATATATATATATATATATATGCAGAATATATTGCGGAAAATTCTATTAGCAATAGGTACCATGTGTTTCTTCAATGTTTTTGTCACTTTTCTTTTTTTCTTGTTGTCGTTCGTTAAAAAAATACGGACGCGAAATGTACGAATGTCGAGTTCTTTGTTCCGAATGGACGATTATTATGTAATTCTTTTTGTTCATTATTATTATTATTTACTTAGCAAAAAGGATTTGAAGATTGTACTGCTTTTTATTTATTATTTTGTTATCATCCGCGGAAACAAGACTTTGCCATTTTCGACGAATCTCGCCTTTTTCAAAATTGCAATAGCGCACACGTTGCATGCGTTTGTATGTACTTGGCGCTTTGGTAATCAGCGTCGACAGGGATTTAATTAAAGAATCCACGTACGGCAGGATTGTTCCAAAGTCTCATCTCCGAGTAGTCTGAACATTTATATTTGTTTCTGGTTTTTCGCGAAAATTCGTTTACGACAAACAAATCGACATTTCTTTCGTTTCACAAAAGTATATAGATTCATCTTTTGTTATTTCTTTAAATATCTCAATAATTTTTTTTACTCGGTTCCCGTTTAATCATTTGCTACGATTTTATTATTTAAAAAAAAATCTAAATATAGAATTCACGTGATGTATATAGATATATATATAGATATATTTATTTATTTATCCATTCGTATATATATATATATATATATATATATATATATATATATATATATATATTCATTCCATATAGATTTTGTTTTGTTTTTTTTCGTCCACACTCTCCTCGACGAGAGTACATAATCATGATTTTTTTTATAAATGGGGTTTTTGACTTTCTCGAAAGCGCATTACTATCTAACTACAATATAACTGTGGATTGCATGTGTTCGTTAATTTTTATTTCTTTCATCAGTGAAATAGTGGCTTTATTAAAGGTGAATATGTTTTGTTGCATATACGCGTCGCAATGATAAAACCGTTGATTCTCCAATGATTTAATATACGGTTTTTGTATTTTTCATAAATCTGTTTTATTATGTGTGTTGAAGTAGATTCGTAGTAGCAGTAGCACCACCACCGTGTCACTCGCTATACATATATTAATAATAGCACTCGCGCGAGTAAATATATATTTATTTATATGTATTGTAATTAGCTAATCTTCGTAGTCGTCGCGAGTGCACGTAATATGTATTCATGAGCGGCCAGTCTTAAAAAAGTCTTTTAGAAACATATAGACTCGAGAGCGTGAGTTGCCCTTTTTACTTTTTACAGCATGGATTTGTATATTTTCATTTTCATCTATTTTTTTTGCAGCGGAGAAATATCCTTCACTTATGCGTTTTGCTTTTTATGTTTATCTTGCTTTAAGTGTGTAAGTATCTATGTGTTTCTCAGCGACTTTTTCAATACGGTACCATTTAGTCTATTATATTTTGTATGCTCTTCGAAACCCACGTCTGTCTTCAAAATCTCGGAAAGTACGATTACCCCGTTTTGTCTTTAATCATCGTAACAATATTTAAATATATTGTTTTTGTGTTTTTGCAGTGTGGATGCGCTCTTTTGTCCGAGTATTTTGAAATACTTGACGAGTTCATTCATCATTTTCTCACTGTCAACTCTCATTATCTCACTCTCTTTATCTCTTGTCTAAAAATTATCAGCAAATATTAATAATAAAATATCATGTCTAACGCACAATAGTATATATATATATATATATATATATATATATATATATATATATATATATATATATATATATATATATATAAATAATAGTAATGATAATTATGGTATAATAATAATAGATTTAATAATAAGATATAATAGTAATACAAATAATATTTCAAATATGAAATTAAAACTAACAAATCGTACTAAATTATAACGTGTGTATAATGCGTCGTATGGTCGACCAAAGGCGATAAACCCTCGGTAGGTCTCAAGAATATTGGAAGAGTAGAGTATATAAAATGAACGATATCCTCCAATTTTGCTTTGCCCTTTTTTTGTCAAAAAAGAAAAGTCATGATCAACATAATAGATTGAAGTGATAAAATATTTTTTCCGATATATGTACGTGTACATATACACAACAAACACTAAAATTTCAAAAAATAGAGGTTAAAGAGTAAATAATTTTTCAATATTTTGGCAGTAGCTCATATCCAATTGTATAATAATAATAAACATAATTAATGCAACTGATGCACATCTACAATAATAATCTATAACATATATATTGCTTACGCCTTATAGTTAAATTCTTCTCGTTAATCCAATTTGGCGAGAAGTTGGGCAGTGAAGTATCTTGATCGACTCGAGGACCATTCGGGTCGACCATACGTCTCGAAAAATTGCAGCTCAAGCTTTGCAATTTTTGCTATTCTTTTCATTACATTACTGAGATCGGTTCGGTATTGTAACATCCAGGCCATCGAGGTATCAATGACATTTGAAACCTTTTGTTTCGACTCTTTCCATCCTAATTATATCAACTCTCAGCTCAAATATGGTGTATTGCGAATTGTCGAATCGATCGCACGAATCAGTCGTGTTTTTTATATGTATATATGTATAATATATATTCTTTTGCTTAATAATCATTATTTGCTTTCGCTTGCATTGTTACTTAATACTAATTTTTATTCTCTCTCGAAAACATGATTTTCATCCATAAGTTTCAATATTAAAATACCACTAAAAATCATCGTCAACGAGTTTTATCACATCTACACTATTATATACAATCACAGAGCTTCGATTATATTTACATTTTCAATGTATACGAACATACATCCGTTGAACAAAACCGAATTTTTTCTTATCTTCACGCACATCGATTATGGTTGGAACTCTTAAAAACGATTATTATATATCATGCTGAATTCTGTACATCAATTAATCGTAATCGTACTTGAAGCTCTGCCAAAATTTCCTTCAATTGATATCATAGATTCGACATCGTAAATAGATATATTCATATAATGTATTTCTTACAGAATTATCAATGTACAGAGAGAAAAATCGCATCAAATGGCAAATTAAAAAACGAACGCGAAACTACTGCCTTTTTTTTGTCCTGTTTTAAAAAAATATGCAAATATAAAAAATTGTTCATTGTAACCGCTGGTTCTACAATAAACCGTTATTTATTCAAGAAAAAATTAGACGAGCCCTAGAAAAATACGAGATGGTGACTACTCGTGAAAGACTGTTCTTATTTATTCAGAAAACACACGATAATATTCAAAATACACAGCAAAAACCTCCAATTCTGCTTAATCGAAATCAATTATAACAAGCGAAAGAACGATTTGAAATAATTTTGCGGTTTAAAAAACGATCACAGCTCGTACGATCGGTTCGAGACGAATATTTTATATCCACACACAAATTATTACGCAAAAAAAACAACAAATACGAAAACAAAAAAAAAAAAAAAAAAAAAAAAGAGAGAAAAATAAAGTCCAATTTCCTCAAATTTCTCCTATTTCCCATAAAAACAAGTGTCTAAGCGGCGCGCATCTCGATATTTAGAGCGCAGCAAACTTACTCCTTACGCTCTGGCAGTATGCATATTGTTGGTGTCAAAGAGTCGGTAAGAAGAAAGAACTAATAATTTCGTCTTCCCCACTTCAAATTGTCAATACCTCGCGCGCGCTAGGAAATGTGTGTACTGCATTGAAACTTGTTTTGGCCCCGACAGCGCGGGGCTTTCTGACAAATTACGTAAAATATCACAAGTCGCTTTATCGTATATAATATTTATATATGTAATATATATATATATATTTTTTTTTTTTTTGCTGCAGGATTTTCTATTATTTTTCTGTATCGCATAATCGTCATCTATATCGAGAGCGCCGCGGGAGCCACTTGCGCTACTCCACCGGTCGACGCTTCTCTTTATTTTGTTTCCCCCTTATTTCTCTGATAATTTGCTCTAGCTAGAATAAATTTGACTTAAGAGACGCGCTCTCTCGTGAGCACCTTATGTCACTGCTCTGCATACTTGATGCAACGGAGGAGCTGTGGTTCCTCGGACAGCGTCTCGCTATTTATACTCGTTTCGTGTTCCAGTACGCATCGTTATCACTGTTTTGAGCCGTATGAGTGTGTTTTCGTGTACTTTTTCATATCGTGTCTGTGTCCATCGAGACTTGCGCAAAAAACACTACTATACATTGACGTTTCACAGCTTACCGATGTATAACGTATATATCTAGAAGATGCACGTAGGTATATCTCATATATATATATATGCCGTAGTATCGAGAAGTACAGCTTCTAAGTAATGTGATCATTGCTGTGTATTTGTTAGTTTACGTTATTTGTTTGAACTAAGTAGCCCTGGTCTCGCGCTTCGATCCATATGTCGGAGCGGACGATGAGCGAGCGAGGCCGGAGTCACGGCCACAGCGGCGTCGACACTGAGAACAATCAGAGAAGCTCCCTAATATGTATGTTCGCTAGTTATACGTAAGGTATCGCGATCCGCGACGAGCAGGAGAGCTTATCTCGACTCAATTAAATAAACAATTAATTAAGATTTGTGCTTTGAATGACCGAGGCATCATCGGTGCGTACGTGCTTAAGCGCGGACATGTCGGCTATTGTTTGTATTTGTCGTTTGCTTGTGATACGGCAGTCGAGGCGCTCATTGTCCGCGCTGCTACGGCAGCGGCACGTACAGCTGATGATATTGGTGATCCAACATCGACGATGTGGATCGTTTGGCCTCGATCTATCTGATGCCAGGGTGGTCGGCTGGCGGAATCTCCGCGGTCGCGGTCGCGGTCGCGGCGGCGGCGGCGGCGGCGGCGGCGGCGGCGGCGGCGGCTGCGGCGGCGGCGGCAGCGGCGGCCTCGTCGGATGCGTCATTGGTCTCCTCTTTGAGGAAGCGCTGGCACGCCTTCTTCCACTTGCACTGCGTGCACCACATATCCTTGCGGTGCATGCCGTAGACCTTGCGGCACTTCTTCACGTCGCTGCGCGTGCGTCGCGTGGTCTGTGACGGCTGCTGCATCTTGCCCAGATTGCCATTCACCTGGCCCATCTTCGCCATCTGATTGCTGGTATGATAATTGTTGTTGTTGTTGTTCATGATGTTGGCTGCGCCGCCAGCGCCGTTGCCGCCATTGACGCTGCCGGCGATAAATTGGCGCTGCTGCAACGCTTTCGCCTTTACCGGCTTGTTGACTGGCCGCTGTTTTGCAAAGAATAATCGTGGTTGGTTTGATGCTTTGGAGCAGGTGGCAAACGAGAATTGCCGGAATATCGTTGCTCGTGGAAAAGAAACAGTCGTTCGAGGGAATAATTTGACTTACCGGTGGTGACATGTTCTGCTGCGGTGCCACGTTTTCACGTGGCGAGAGGCTGCCGCTGCTCTCCCTGTACTCCTGACAGACGAACTCTCGTCCGGCATGAATCAGTGATTCGACGGGACGAAAGATCATTTGGTTGCGATGAGTCTGCATTTTCATGTACGCGGGATCGGCGGTCATCGGCTTCACCATGTCCCAATGCGACTTGGTGGGGAGCTCGCATTCGGTTGGCTTTGTCTCGACGTTCCTCAAGCTAGACTCGTCGTCTTCGACGACATAAAAATCAGGATTGTCGTCCTTGTCACTGTAATGTAACAGTCGCCGAAATAAGAACCGTTAACAAATGACTCGCAAATCGCTTCCGGTTGCGTCATACGTCATCCTCATCGTTGATACTTACTCCAAGTGGCGCTGGATAACGTGCCTAGAGAGCGAAACGAAGTCGCCCTTTAAGCCGCATATCGGCCCGTTATTTCCTTCGCGCCAATTGCATCTGTACTTGGCGCAGTGCTGTAACAATCAAACAACAACATTCCCGTTCAGAAATCCACTTACGCAATAGCATTGTTTGCCAAACATGCGCGCGCGCGCGCGCGCGAGCAAGAAAAGCAGAGCTGACCGCGGCGCGAGCGCTCGTATGAAAATAATCTCCCCGTGCACCGACCGATCGTCGGCTTTGTCCATTGCGTCAACGGCGAAATCGCAAATACGTATTGCGAGAACGAAATTTTTCGAAGGTTAGAATGACGCACTAGTTGCGCGCTTGACGACAGGCAGGCGGGGTAGAGAGCGAGCGAGCGAGAGAGAGAGAGAGAGAGAGAGAGAGAGAGAGAGAGAGAGAGAGAGAGAGAGAGAGAGAGAGAGAGACAAGCCGGCGTTTTCGTGGCGCGCGCGGCGTGTCGGCGGCGACCAGGCTGTAGGTTACCATCGACAGGCCTGACATCTGTCGCGCGCGCCTCCGTTGCTCGTCGTCTCGGCCCCGTTCCGTGTCGGTTCTCGTTGCTCGTTCGAAAAAAAGGCGCGCGAGACGGCGGCGCCGCCCGCGTCCAGTCTCGCTCGTGAAAATCGGAGGTCGCTCCCCGCGCGCGGAGCGTCAGCGAGGAGGCGGACAGGTCGGGCGAAGAGCGCGTCTCGCAACGTTGCGAAAGCCTCGGCTCGTTCGTCATGGTCGGCTCTCGAAGCCCGCGCCCCACGCAGTCCTCCAGTGGAGAGGGCTGACGTCTGGCGAGGCTTCGCGTCGCGTCTAGTCCCGTCTATTCGGTAGGCAGGCGTTGTAGATCGATGCTCGCGCCGCCGCGCCGGTGCCGCGCGCGCACGCTTCTTTGTTTACACCGGCTACCTGTCCTCGCGCCCTCTCCCTCCCTCCCGCCCGCCGTCGCTCGCTCGCTCCCTCTCTCTCTCTCGCCGTTTCTGCATGCACGTGCTTATTGATCCGTCGGCGACGCTGCCGTCGACGAGAGAGAGAAAGCACCTTCTTTTTTGCCTCTCGAGCCTCCGTAAAGGCTTCCGCCGGCCTTCCCCCGCCTTGGCGTTATCGAGCGCGCCGCGCTGCGGATTTTTCCGAGCGTGCACTCGCGTCGCGGGCTTCGTGCAGGTCGAATCTGCGCAGCGCGCGAGTTTGGGGCTTTGTCCGACCGGCGCGTGACGCCTCGGCTCCGACTAATGGATGCGCGCGCGGCGGACAAAGAAAACTCGGGTCGTGCGCGGGCCGGAGGCCTTTGTCGCGCGGCCGACAATCGGCTAACGAGGAAAACCGCTCTTTGTTCGAGCGAGGGGGAGAAGCTGGAGGAATGGCCGTGCGCCGGTGCGCGCGAGGCACTTGTTGCGGGCGCGGGGCCCTTGGGCAGAGGCCTTACGCGCGACCAGCGAAGGGTCTCAAGGCCCGCGAGCGAGCGGAGGCAGTGGCAGCAGCGCCGCGGGGTCAGAGACCTGCCGCGGTCGGCAGGCTGGCAGAGCCGCGCGGCGCGCACAGGCAGCAGCAGCAGCAGCAGCAGCAGCAGCAGCAGCAGCAGCAGCAGCAGCAGCAGCAGCAGCAGCACGTGCGCGCTGTACGCTTGGGCGGAGAGCCGGCCGGCTCTTCTCCTCTCTCTGCTTTGCTCGGCTCTTTCTCCACAGGAGTGTGGCCATCTAGCCGCGAGCCCCCGCGCATTCGCCGCTCTCCCCAAGGAGCGCGGCCGGCAGCTTGAGAAAGGCTCGCGCGCGAGCGAGGCGAGGTGTCGAAACACGCGGCGCTGCGAGAGATCGCTTGGAAAAGAAATCAGCGCTCGAGAGGCAGAGAGCGAGAGAGAGCGGGAGAGAGCGAGAGAGCGAGAGAGAGACAAAGGCAGAAAGGCTCGGCTAGTGCCGCTGGCTGCTGATCTGCCGCGGTGCAGCGCACAGCCGCTATCCGTCGAGGTCGTTCCCCCCCCTTTCCCGCGTTGTGCGCGTCGTAGAAAGCCGGCTGGCTGCGGCTGCGAGCCGCTCGCTCGCGCTCAGCTGCTGGAGGAAAGTGGGGGTGCCGTGGCGCGCGAGAGAGAGAGGGGCGGGCTAACGCCCGGGGAACCAAAACAAACCGGCCGCCGCCGCTCGAGCTGCACCGCGGCCGAGCGCGCTCGGGCCGCGCACGCATTGTAGCTGGGAGAAACTCGCTGCTCCGCTGCCGTGTGCCGTGTGTGCGTGCCGCGGCTGGCTGGTGAGGGTCGGACGTTGACCCTTCTCGATACACACACGCCGCGCGCGCCGCCCTGTCCCGGCAGGCCCGACGCGCCGACGAGCCCGCGCAACTTTCGACTGCCGGACAATGGCTTTGTCGCGGGCGCCGATCCCGACGCGCCCCGGGCTCCTCGCGCCCGTGCCGATCGGCGCCGGCGGCTCGCGCGTCGGCCGTCCTTTGTGTCGCGGCCTGGCGGCGCGAGCGGCTTTCCCGATCGGTGGCCTCGCAGGTACGCGCTCGCAAGAGAAAGTGTCACGGGTAGCTGTATCGCTGCGCGCTGCGCAATTCGCCGCTCGCTCGGGTCGTCGACCACGCTGCAGCTCCGGACCGCTAGCGGCGCGCGAGTGAGTCACGGCGCCGTCGACTTTTCGCGGGCTTTTCCTTTGTCTTCCTGCGGCCCCGAGGCAGGTAGGTTGTCGCGGTCGTCAGCGGGCCGCGATAAAACAGCCGCGCCGCGAGCCCCTCGCCGGGATCGTTGACTCGGCTCTCTCTCTCTCTCTCGCTCTCCTCGGAGAGCGCGGAGCAGCCCTTCGAGGGGGAGAGGGAGAGACGCATGCGCGCCGAGGTTGTTTACGTCGCCATCAGCGCCAGAGCGTTTACCGGTCGACGGCGAACCGAGGAGCGAGCCAAACGGCGGGAGCGAGCGAGCGAGCGTTGCCCTTTCGCAATTGCGAAAACGCCGGCCGGCTAATCACACGTTGCTCTCTCCCACCGTGGCTCGCCGGCGTCGTCGCGACAGCTGTTTCTCCTTTGTTGCCAACTCGAGCACGAAAGTCGCGAGTCGCCGGACCTCTCGCTCTCGCGCTCTCTCTCTCTCTCTCTCTCTCTCTCTCTCTCTCCTCTCTCTCTCTCTCTCTCTCTCTCTCTCTCTCTCTCTCTCTCTCTCTCTCTCTCTCTCTGTCTCTCTCTCTATCTCGCCGCCGAACGAATCGACGTCGATCGCGCGAGGTGGCATCCTCCTCCGCTCGCCGCTTTGTTCGCGAACGCGTATAAATAGTGCCTAGCCCTCGCGCGCCACACAAAGAGCGGCTTCCGCGAGCGAGTTTGGATGTGACGCTTGCCGGCGCTGCTCCGGTCGTGCGAGCCGGCCTCTAGGACAGTCGCGCAAAAAATTGATCGCCGAAAAAAAAGGGGTGGCCGTCCTCGTAAAGAAGCCCTCGCGGCTCTCTCTCCGTCTCTTTCTCTCTCTCTCTCGCTCGCTCGCTCGCTCGCTCGTCGGCCGCGCGGGTTCAATATCCAACGCGAAGGTCGCGCGACGCGCGCATTGTTCGCGCGCGAGCGTCAAGTCCGCTCCCGCGCGAGCCGCTTCTCGCGCACCTCCGGCCACGCGCGGTCTCTCTCTCTCTCTCTCTCCCTCGCTCTCTCCGAGCGCGAATTTCGCGCGCCGCCAGGTTCGTCGGCCTATCGACCGTTAGCAAGGTCGTGGACTTGATTCGCCAGACGAGCGAACAGCCAGACGACGGGTCTGCGAGGCGTTCGGCGCTAGGCGCAGCAGCTGTTTGCACGCGCGTCACACGCGTCCCGCGGACAGCTGACTGCGGTCGGGGCTGTGCTGCGCAATAGACGCGCGAGCGCTGGCTGCTCAGGCCGAGCGCAGCGGCGGGCCGCGTGCAGCGCGGAGAGAAAGTGAGCCGCCGCCGTCGCCGCCACCACTCGCTCGCGATTTCGAAAGGAGAGTGTCGTCGTCGCCGCGGCGCGCCGATCCGCGATCGCTCGGATTAGCATCTGCCCGTCGTTTCTCTTGTTATTCCAGGCGGTTGCTCGCGCGCGGTCAAGGCCGCCGTTCAGACGATAAGGCCTGAGCAGTCCGAGTCGCGCCAGGCACATTCGGCCAAGTCGGGTCGGCCTTGACTTTCGTCTAAGTACCGCTAGGCGCGTACGAGCCGAGCGTGCGCCTACCGGGGCCCGGCTGAATATCACATCCGCCGGCCGCTGGCGTGCGCCAAGTTTTCCCTTCACTCGCCGGCGGCGGCGGCGGCAGCGGCGACGTCGCGTTTTCTCCTCGTTACGTAAACGTCACACGCTGCGCTGCTGGTTAGCGCGAGCGCGCGCGCGATCATCGCGTCGACAGTTCCAGATGGAAAAGCCTTGAGCGCGCGAGCGAGCGAGGGAGAGAGAGAGAGAGAGAGAGAGAGAACAGTCAAGTCAGTGGCACGCCACATGAAAAACATAATGGCCGCGCGGCTATTGCGCAACTACGCTAGTTGCGCAAACGGTCGCGCACCGGCCGGCGAATAGTCGTAGCGGCAGATAGGCGAACCGAAGCGGCCGCGGCCGCCGGCGTCGCTCGGTAATTGGCGGAAACGGCGCGAGCTCACGCGCGCGATAAAGTCGCCGAATCGTCGCGAGTGTCACGGCCGACACGTCGGCCCCTCTCCCCGCGCTCGCGCGCGCGTGCGCGCGGCTGGTGAACGAGCGATAAGAGCGGCGCAAATATCGACGCTCGGTGCGCGAAAAACTTTCCTGAACTTGATCTTCGGTTGAGCAGTGGCGCCGCGCGCTCGCTTAACAGCAGCGGCAGCGGCTATTAATAAGGTGCGAATCGACGCTCGGTCGCGCGCGATCAGCTGCTTGTTGCCTAATAAGGACAGCCGGCGCGCGCGCGCGCGCGCGCACGCGTGACCCTTCGCCGCGGTTATGCCGCGCGCCGGATGCGCGTATGTGGGTCGGATTTCTGTTTCTGTCCGCTTGTTTTGCGCTGACGTAATTCGCCCGCCTCCCCCTGCCGCGCCGATCTGTTTACTAATACTCGATTTAAATGGCCTCCAAACAGCTGCCCGTAAAAACAAGGCGCGAGTGCGAGTCCCCGTGCGAAAGCTCGCGCTTGCGCTGACCAGCCGAGCCTTGTATACGCGTATACGCGCTGGCGCGTACAAGAGCGCCAGCAGGAGCAGAAGCAGCAGCAGCAGTAGCGGCAGTAGCAGCCGCGGCAGCACAGCGTCCTCGACAATGAAGTTCGCTTCGATCAGCTGTTCGGCACTTCGCTCGTTCGCTCGCTCGCGCCTGTTGCCGGGCTCTCGCGCGATTGCGCAACCCGCTGCAGCAGCGGAGCCGCCGCTGCGCGCGCGTTACGCAACCGCGCGCGCACCGCCCGCCAACTATAATAACTCGAGGAATTCATTGGCACGCCGTGCGGGAAGCTCTCGCGCTCTCTCCGCCGCCATATGCGCGGCCTTGATCTTAGAATCCGCCGAGGCGCGTTTTTCGCCCGGACTCTGTTTACAAACATATGTACTCGCGGAGGCAGATAAGCGCGCGAGCGGCGCAGATGGTCGAGTGTAGTCAACGACGCCAGTCGATAAAAGTGATGCGCAGTTGAATAACGAGCGAGCGCTCGCCGCGAGAGACTCGCGCCGGCCGGTCGGCGGGAATCCAACCCGTCGAGCAGAGGGGGAGCGGAAAAACCTGAGCGAGAGAGAGAATCGACGGTGCATAGAAATCCCCGGCGGGTTGCAGCGCGGCGCGACGCGCGATATGCAGTTCTCCGCTGTGCGGCGCGTGCAGTCAGGGCCGCGGTGACCTTAGCGCCCCACCACCGCGCGACGAGTCTATGCGCGCCTAGCGTCCTTCGCTCGCTCGCGGGGCAGCGGCGGGGCCAGGGGTAGGGACACGTGCCGCTCGCCGTCGACTGACGTCAGGGCTTTTCGCGAAGTGCACGCGCCGTTTTCCTCCGCTGCAGCTGCCGCGGCGGGCGGTCGCGCGAGTGTCGCGCGCGCCGCGGCATCGATCGCCGCCGACTGCCGGGTCCGCCGTCGGCGAGCGCCGAGCGACCGTCGTCGCCGGGCGGGCGCGGCGGCGAGCTCCCGCGCGGGCGACAGCGCGGCGGCAGGGTCGCGCCGCCGCCCGAGTCCGGCGGCCGGCTGGGCTCGCCACGCGCGCGCCGCGGTGCGCGGAGACGCGGGCGAGCCGGCCGCGGAGCCCCGGCCTCCGCTCTCCGCGAGCCGCGAGCCGCGACGCGCGACACGTGCGGCCCCGACGCGACCTATTTCCAAGCGCTGGCTGCGTAGTTTTCCGAGACGCTTCCGCGAGCCGCGGCTTCCGCGCGCTCCACGCCGCTTGGCGGGCGCGTGCCAAGCGGCCGACCAGCTGTGACTTACGTCGTAGCCGTTGGAGAACATCTCCGTGTTGGACAGGTCGTTGTAGTTCTCGACGTCCTCGTCGTCCGAGGCTGCGTCTTGGAACGGGGCCGACGCAACGGGGCTCGGGCTTCGCGCTCGCCGATTCGCCGGCGGTCTGCCTCGCTTCGCCTTCGCCTTCGCCTGCACGATGAACTGCCGGACCACTTGCGGATGGACCTTGCTGTGAGCGATGCTCTTGGGACTGCAGCGCGACAGTACTCGCTCGTCCTCGAACCTGTCCACCGCCTCCGTCGCCTGCAACGCGCCCGTGGCTTTTATTTTTCGAGGATGGCCCGCGCGCGCCTCCCCCCCGCGAGATTCGCTCCGCGATAACGCTTCCTCCTCGACTCTCGCGGTACCTGCCCCGCCGCGCCCACCGCGCCCGCCGCGCCCACCGCGCCCGCCGCGCCCGCCGTCGACCTCGCGCCGGCAATCGACGCGCCATTACGAAATAGGCTTATCGCGAGCGCCTTTGTCTCGCGCTCTATCGTCGAAAAAGCCGCGTCTTTATCTCGGCGCGGGGAGGAAGAGCGCGAGCGGCGATCGTTAGGTGAATTCCTTTCTCCTCGGTCCGAGTGGGTCTCCCTCGACGACGCCAAAACGAGCTCTCTCCCGCGACGCCGATCCTCTGCGAGAAACGGCGAGCGGCGATGACTCGCCGCGGAGAAGCTCGCTATTCCGAGTCGCCGCGGAGCCGCCAATTTTACCTCACCGACACAGGCGCGCGCGCGCCGCGCCTCTTCAAGGTCTGATTACGCAACGCGACGACGGCGCTCCGCCGCGGTGCGATCGCGACGCACGCGCGCGCGAACGCGGAAGTGCACGGGAGACGACGATGCTTACCCTGCGCTTTTTGCTGTACTTGTGCGGGTACCTCAGGTCCGGCACGATGCCCTCGTCCTTGGGGCTGCTGGGCGCGGACGAGGAGTGCGGGTGCGCCGCGTAAAACTCCTCGGCCGACTGTGGACTGTCGGAGCGCCAGGAATTTTCGCTCTCGCTGACCGATGCGTTGCTGTTGCCGCTGGACGACGACTCGGAGATGGTGCCCAGTCCTGCAACGAGACGCATTAGCTCGGACTCGTGGCCGTCGCCGCGGGGCTCGCAGGCCCGATCTCGTTCGGCAGCATTGAGCCGAGCGCCGAAGGTCGCTCGCTGGAAGCCTCGCCGGCGAATAATGGATTTTCTCGGCAAGGAATTGAACTTGACCGCTCGCGCGCGCGGAGAGGCTCCAAGGCCTCTCTCGGCTCGTACGCTCGGCGGCGGCGCGCTAGCGGCGTTCCGCTCGGCGCTCGCCCGATCCGGCGATCGCTCCAGCCGCGGCTCAATGCGGTCGCGAAGATCGTGCCAGAAGAAGACCAAGAGGGGCGTTTCTTACTTCTGTACTGCGAGCAGCAGTAGTTTTCGAATTGGGTCTGCTTACTGGGCGATGCGAGCGACATGAGCACTAGCGCGGCCGAGGCGTCGTCGGCCGACAGATTGCTGTCCGGGTAGCAATTCAGCTTGCTGCCGTCCAATTCCAGATTGAAGGAACAGTCGGCAAAGTCGTGCTGGTAGTCGTTGTAGCCCGTCCGGCCGTTGTTGGCCTTGTCCTTTCGCCTGCAATCACGAAGCAAACGAAAAACCGGCGTCATCGTCGGCGAACAGGCTGTTGGTCGTGCAGGCGCGCCATTCCGGGAGCCACTTGGAAAGGAGAGAGAGAGAGAGAGAGAGAGAGAAAGAGAAACAATGCGCGCGTACGATCGGGAGCTCGAAGGAGCACGAGGACGAGACGCAACGCCGCCACCACCACCGCTGCTGCTGCTGCTGCTGCTGCTGCTGCGCCTACCTACATGGCATGACGACCTCAGCAGCGGCGGCAGCGGCAGCAGCTAATCGCCTCGTTGCGCTTGGCCTTACGCCCACTAGCGCAGCGCGTACGCGCGTGGCAACCGGCATGCGTGCTTCGACATGGAGCGAATGAATCGAATGCCGAAGGAGGAGCATAGGAGGACAGAATGGCCGATCGATCGGCGGGCCGCTCTCTTACAGGCAGGCGGCAGGCTCCACGGCGTTGTTGTCCGTGGACGTGTCCGTGCTGTGGCTCTGCTCCGATTGAGTGCGGCGCCGCGGCTTCCAGTTCATGTTTCGACCATTGTTGCTGGACAAGCACATGAAAAAGAAACGTCGCTGGTAAGACGTGCGTGGCGCGCGGGCGCTCGCGGCCTGGACGTTGGATTGGCGCGCCGAGGGCCCTCCCGTTGGCCGGCTTGCTCGGCGGGCGCGCGGCGCTCTTAAAAATAGCCGTAGGCCCGCGCCGAGACGCGCATTGCAAAAGCGCCACGTCGGGGGAATATGGGTCGCGCGGGGATCTGGAATTCCCGGGGAGAGATGCGCGCAAGTGGGTCGCGCTGTGAAAAGTGGGTTACGGCGCCCCCATGGACCGCTCGCCGGAACGGCCATCCCCCGCCCCGTCGCACGCACTCGGCTCGCTCGCAAATAGAACGGCCGGCGCGTGGACAAAAGAGCCAGAGCCAGAGCCGGAGGCAGCGGGCAGCGAGCGAGCGAGCGAGAGAAACGCAGCGGAGTTGCATAATCGAAAGGTCGCGCGTGGGCGTGGCTCTCGGCGGCAGCGGTGGCAGCGGCGAGTCGTTAAAGCCGCGCGTTCGATTTCACTTTTGCCCAGAATGCGAGGCACGCGGAGACAACTGGCTCGCGACCGCGAGCCCAAGCTTTCGAAAGAGAGCGAGAAAGCCGCGGAGCATCGGCGCGCCCCCCGCGAGCGCGCGCCGTCGGTCGCAGCGAATTCGGCCTGCAGTCCAGAGCGACGGCACGAGCGGCGGCAGCGCGATAGCCGCAAACTCGCACCGAGATCAATACTCGCTAGTCGGCCGAGAGAGTCTTCCTAGCGCGAGAGCGAGCGCAAAAGAGGCACGAAGGAGAGCCGAGGCGATCGATCGGGCGCGGAACCGGCTTGCACCGGACGTATAACCCGCACCCAGGCCCAGCGCCTCGACCTTAATCCACGCGAGACCCGCGATGCGGCGGAGGGAGCCGCGGGCTTGTGTGTTGTTGCGTGGCAACGCTTGGACGACGAGCATTGACCCAGTTAGACTGGGCTCGTGAGAGTGCGGCCGGCCGGCTGGCTGGCTGGCTGGCTGGCTGCATCCGGGTTACCCAGTCACCCGGGGGTCTGGATCGAGCGACCCCATTCCGGCCGAACTCGCGGCCCCCACGCGACCCGCGAAAAGCGAAGCTTGCGCGCGCGCACAAAAGCAGCCTTGGTCGGGCGCAAGGATGCAAAGGTCGAACCACTAGAGGCTTGCATAAGTGCTCGCTACGTGTGTGAGTGTCCTTCGGAAAGCTCGAGCGCTCTAACGCCGGCCGGTTCTCTCGTCGCGCGTTGGTATTGGTGCACGTGCCGCTACTGCTGCCGCCGCCGCCGCCGCCGCCGCCGCCGCTGCTGCTGCTTGCACTCGACCCATTGTCCCAGTTTGGCGCGATGCGCGCGCTTGCCGGCTCCCCGTCCCCTTCTGGCCGTTGCTTTTTTTACGAGCTTGCGAGCCGGCACGTTCCAACTTTTCCGCCCCGACGAGTTATATCACACACAGGCTGCTTTTCCGGCTGCTACTGTCGTTTGCTATTTTTAGGCTTTTTTACAGTTTGCGCCGAGCGCCCGCCGCCCCCCTCCTCGCTCTCTATCAAACACGTACGTATGTATATGTTCGTTAATGAACCGAGCGTTGGCGACGCCGCTCCGTGTACCTGACCCATTTCGCTGGCGCGCCGGCTGCATCGATCGACCTCGATTCTTACTTCGACAATCCGCTGTACTATTATGTATGCCTACGGCTGTTGCTGGCAGCGACACTCTCTCTCTCTCTCTCTCTCTCTCTCTCTCTCTCTCTCTCTCTCTCTCTCTCTTCTGTCGAAAATGGAAGTGTAGAGAAAGACAAAACGAAAGCTCCGGGCCCGCCGGGTTTCTCAACGCGCCGTACGTCGATTGCTCAAAAGACAGATTTTGCAAGGCCGCCGCGCGCTTAGAGCGGACTTTCTTCATCTGTCGGGCAGGCGCGCGACGTCGAGCCCCGCCGAGTGCTGCAACCGTATTATGACAAGCGCGCGACGCGAGCGTGAAAGTTACGGCGCTCGCTTGGCAGATATCTTTCCATGGCCCCAATCGAGATTAGGCTGATTGAGCTCAATTAGCCGCGCAGGCTGGTGCTGCCGTGGCTGCGAGCGCGACGAATTCGAGCGGCGCACAGCGGCAGCGGCGGCACGAAGCTCCGGCTAACCGGGTCAAACGCGCCTGTGTCCGCGCGCGCGCGCGCGCGCGAGACAGAGAGAGAGAGAGAGGGAGGACTGGCAAAAGCCTTGCGCCCTGCACCTGACCTATTTTCCCGCTTCACTCTCGTCGTCGCTCGGCCCACCTCCCCAACTGGAGCGAGCGCGTGCTACGCGACAGTGCTATGCCCAAGTATTGATCGACCTATTTTCCATACGACAGCCCCGCGAACGAGCTTGAAGCTGCCGCTTGCCCATGGCGATCAGGGGGGGGGGGGGATTCACTCCTTTGCCGCGTGAATGTGCGCGGGCGATGAGTCAGACTGCACCATCATCAGTCAACTCTGGGCACGGACGAGCCGGCGACGTGGGAAAGGGCGATCCGTATTTGCCCGTTTGAGACGAGAGCGAGTCGAGCCGGGAGTGGCTCGCGCGGGCAGCTACGCCGGCGTCGGCACTTTGAGGGCGAGGCGCGCGGGAGGCCGCCGGGAAACCCGGTATGGATACGCGAGAAGCTCGGGCTCGCTCGCTCGCTCGCTCGATTACTAGTATCAAGTGGAAGGTCGTTTCTGCAGAGGCGAAACAGCGCCAGCGCCGCAGACGAACCGATCCGCCAGGGGAAGAACGCGGGGGGGTTCAACGGTCTCGTGCGTCTATTTCCGGAGTCTTAATATATCCTCCACGACGATCGCTCGCCGCAGAGACGAAATAAAAAAAATAAATAAAACTAAGGACCCTGGCGTGCGCTAAGGGATTCCCCTCTCCGAACCTTTGCTCCGCGCAGCTCGGGCAGTTCGAGTTTCAACGATACGCGCTCACCGAGAAAACGTGGGTGGACGAGATAATCGCCATTTCTTCCTCTCTTGGAGGGGGAGGGGGGAGGGAGAGGAATTATTCGGCGCGAGGCCGTTAGGAATGTCGAAAGCCTCCGGTCGACGACTCATCAGGCCCAACGACGATTGCCCCGCCCGATAATGATCCGTAAACATTAGAGGACTCTAAATCGTCGATTGTCCTGCCAAATGACAAAAGAGCTGTCGAGACAGTCGGAAATCACATTTGCCTTGATGACTTTCCAAATGACTCGCCGGTAAAGGCCATTCACGAGCGTACGTCTAAATCAGCAAATTGCAGTCAAGGAAGAGAAAGGCGCGACATCTGGAAAATGGCAAATGGCCAAATTGTTTTTGTAACGAAATAACGCGACATCTCTTTGTCCACGAAGGTCATCAAAGAGAAAGTCGGGTGCGTTTATAAGGTCTCGGATAGAAAATAAAAACAAAAAAAGCCGGCCGGCCGGCGTTCTGCATTTCGTCCGCCCCCAATCCATCACAGTCCTTTTAATCCCTGCTGCTGATGCTGCGTTGCTGCTGCTCAGAGGGGGGCCGATGGAAGAAAAAGAAAAGAGCGCTGATCGCACAGAGGCTACGCAGAGTTTTCGGGAAAACTGTGCAGTTTGCTTTGTGATAGGATGGTCCTGGCTTCGATGGGGACAGCTAGCCAAAATGGGGAAAGCGAAAGTTTATTGCAGGCTGTATATCTTTACCCGCTCGGCGAATTGTCTCCCTCGTCGGGCTGCCCTGTGAATGCTATTAGCAAATTTTCGAACCTGCACACGTCCAATGACGCGAAGTCGAGCTGCCGAGCCGACGGTCGATCTAATGACTTTTCCTTGGCGTCGTTGATTAAGCCGAGCGCGCGCGCAAACGCGATCTACAAAAACAAAGCGTTATTATCCGGTCGCAAAGACAGTGGGGAGCAAACAATGGCGGCACCGCGATACGCTGTTTTTCCTGGCTGCCTCTCGTCGAAGATAGAAAGGAACGATAAAGCGGCGCGCGTTCCCATCAACCGGCTCGCCACACGCACATGCAGATTAGGCGAAAAAAAAAATGAGAAAACAGAAAAAAAAGCGCCTGCGCCACGGGAATACCGGCGAATTCTGGCGCTCTCGAGCGCTAACCTTCGCGTGCCGTAATTCCCCGGCGAGTCGCGCGTATGTCCCGTTAACGAGTCCAGTCCGTCCTCTCAGCGAGAGAGAGCGGCGTTCGCGCGCAAGCACGGCCATTTATTTATAATCGAGGGATCGACGGTGGTCACTTTGATCGCACGCCTCGCCGGCCGGCGCGCGGGCAGCGGCTTCGGCAGAGGAGTCGACCAGAGGGCAAAGATATTTTTCACGCTCGACGCTTCGCTCTACCTGTCGGGCGTGCCGACGCCGCTGCTTTTAGATTTTCGGATCGAGGGTAGGCTCAAGGCTCCTCTCGCGCGAGTCGTCGTCGCCGCGTCGCTGTTGGTCTGGAGGGGGAGGTGGAGCGGCGGAGAAACGTGACCTCGGCTGCTGGCTTTGAACGGCGGACACGGCCGAGCGCCCGGTGCCCTTACTCGGCATACGAACCAGACGCCCAGGCGGCTCGATCGTCGATCGCTGCGAGGGGATGCGAGTACTTACGGGTGATAGGGCGAGTTGCTCCTCTCCTGCCGGTCCATGGTGGCTTGCGAGGCGGTGCGCTTGCGGTCGCTGCCCATGTCGGCGAGCCGGGCGAAGTCGGTGTCCGAGTCGGCGAGCCTGGCACTCTTGCGCGACTCCAGCAGGCGCACCTCGTCGATGCGCTTGGTTAAGGTGACGTTGCTCTACACGCCCAACACAATGAAACATCGTCATTATCGGAGTGTGACGCGTTGCGCCGGCAACGGGGAGGGGGCGAGTGCGCGCGACGCGTCATCGCGCGAACGGCTAGGAGGCCCCTGACGCAGCGGCGCGCGGACGCTTGCGAAAGGCCGCTCCGGCACGCTCGCGGCGAGGGGAGAGAGAGAGAAAGAGCCTCCACTCGCGTAATTCGATAATCGGCGCCATCCGTGTCGTAAGCTCGCTGGCTCCGTGCGAGGAGAAGCTCCAGCGCGGCGCAGTGGGAGCGAAGGAGGCGAAAGTTGCGACAGGCGCGCGCACGCACGCTCGATTCGTTTTCCCAATTGCTGGCCGGCGCCGTCATTATCGCGCTCTCGCGCCGCGGCGAAAGTGCATGCTCGGAATAGAAGCGCGCGCGCGCGGGCACTTTCTCCGCGCGTAGCGCGCGCTCGTTGTACTTTCAAATTTCCCTCCCCGCAGGCTCTGGCAGTCGCCTGGGCGGCGGGTGCGTCGACCTCTAAAACGCAGACGGGCCAGGCGGCCGGATGCTCGAGCTCGTTCGCCGTTCGGGGGGAGGGAGCGGCGGCCGAGCGAACGAGCGCAGACTAGAAACTCGAGAGGAGCAACACCTGTCTGGCGGGCCGACGCAGGTCCTTTTAAAAGGCGGCCCCCTTCGCCGGCAGCCGAAATGCCCGCGTCGCGGGTAGGGAGCCGGCGAAACGGATCCTGCCTGGCGGAGAAGAAAGGAGAGGAAGGCGCACTTGCGACACGGCGCGCTCGGGCGGGTGAAAGTGCACACGGCCACACGGCGTCGCGGCTCCGGCGTCGAATCCGAGATAGAGCACGGACGCGGCGAGCTCGGGGGGCAGCGCGCGGAACGGCCGATAGCGGACGGCCGCATTCCGCGCGTTCGCGCCTCGATAACTGTAAAGCGGGGATCGCGGACGTCGCGCGCTCGGAGAACCCGTTGCCGCGGCGGCGGCACTCTTCCGGCGAGCCGCGCCCGGGCGCGGCGTCGTCGTCGGCCAGCAGCCTGTCGTCCCGGCGACGCGGCGGGAGACGAGGGGAAGAAGCGCCGGCCGGCCGGCCGGCCGGCGGACCGAACGGTGCCACTGTGCCGCCTGACGTCACTCGCGCAGCCGAAGCGAAAAATCGCGGCGAAAGTGAATTCAGGCCGCGCGACGCCGCTCGCCGAGTGCTTGCGTATCAACTGGGTCGCAACCTAGGCTCTTTGTCTGCCGCTCGGCTGTCGAAACCACGCGCCGCTCACATTGCCCGCGGTGGACCTTCGCGTCGCTTCTCCAGCTGAAATTTCGATTTTCCTCTGGCGCTCGGTTTTTTGCGCAAGGGCGTTTGCACAAGCGACACTGCTCCTAATTCTCCCACGCGAACGAGCAGCGAGTGCCGGGGAGGGAGAGAGAGAGAGAGAGAGAGAGAGAGAGAGAGAGAGACAGCGATAGCTCAAGGCGAACCGCTTAGCGTACAGACTGGCTTTGCTATTAAGTATCTGTGTCGCGCGCGAATTTCCATCAGCTGAGTGAGCGCAGCAAGCTAGAAAGTACACTTTCGCGAGTTGCCGCTGCGGCTGCGATTGCTTGCGCAACGCAACGTGTGTGTGACACAGTAACCCCGTTCGAGCCGGCCGGTCTCTCTTTCTCTTACTCGCGGTGCGCGAAGCAGCGTCGATCGATCCCGCGCCGCAACGAGGACCGCACTTCGCTCTCTCTCTCTCTCTCTCTCTGCCTCGCGCGCCGAATCCTCCCGCGGCTCTCGCTGGGCCTTCCGCCTGCGCGCCGCCTCGTCCTCGCGCGTTCGCGTGACTCTCACTTTTGCCTCGCGCGAAACTTTTCCGCGGCCAGCAGCACGTGCGGCGCATCGTGCGCTGGCCACTTGCGTAAGCGAGGAAGCGGCGCGCTCGTGACATAAGCGCGCGCCGCGAGAGAGAGGCCAGGCCGCCTTTCCATCCACGTACGCGCGCGGGCAGAAGGTTTGGCGCCGCGGGACACCCAATCCGCCGCGCGCCGGTCGGCCAGCCGGCCGCGAAGGAACGCCAGCGAGCGCCGGCCGGCTGGCAAACTATCTTTGGCCGAGGAGCTCGGCGCGCGGCTCGCTCGGGCTGTTGCTCAATCGGCAGCGGCGGCAGTCGCGCGGGGGGACACCCGATATCGCGGCGGGAAATGGGCCAGGGCGCATGCGCTTTGCGCGCGGCCGCGCTCCGCAAATAGGTCAGCGGCCAAGACTCGCGCGCCAGCCGCGAACGGGGTCGGGAAAGCGCGACGACGACGGGCCTCGGCTTTGTCCGGCGGCCCACTCACCTCTTGCTTGTTGGGCGCGAGCACGACGTCGACCTCGTCCAGGTGCTCGCGATGCTCCAGCACGCTGCCCTGCACCTCGCGCCCATTGTGGGTGAGAAAGACCTTCTGGCCGGCCAGCAGGCGGGCGCCGCAGACGCTGGAGAAGCCGGGCCCGATGAGGTCGCGGTCGAGGAACTCGCGCTTGGAGTCCGGTGCCCTGCCGGGGCCGGCCGCCGTGGCCGGCACCGAGTCGAAACGCACCTGGTAGCGCGTCTGCGGCGTGATGCTGAGCGCCCCGTTGGCCGAGTCCTGCTTGCCGTTGGACGGCGTGTTCACGGCACTGATCACGCCGCTGTAGTACTTGCCGTCGTCGCCGGGCGCGCACACGCGCGTGCCGATGATGCTGCGCTTGGCCAGCCTCTTGCCGGTCGACATCTCTGCTGGGTGCTGCTTGCCTGGGGGCCCGCCTGTCCACGCGCGCAAGGCTCCACTCGCGAACTCTGTCTCTGTGTTGGTCGCGACGGCGACGACTCGCGATTGTTGCGGCAGATCAGCAGGTGCCGCCGGCGGCTGGGGCGGACGAGTTGCTGCTGCTGGTCGTCGGCGACATGGCGTGCGTATGCTCGAGCGCGGCTGCTGCGGGCGACTGACAACGACAACTACGACTACGACTGGTGGAGAGAGCAGCAAGCGTGCGCTGTCGCTTCGGCCACCGCTCGGAGAATGCGAGCTGTGCGCCGCTGGTTCCACTGCTTCCGCTCGGCTCGGCGCTCGGCGCGCGCTCTCTCTCTCTCTCTCTCTCTCTCTCTCCGCCCCTGCCTGAGTGTGCGTGCGAGCGATGCAGCGGCGGCGGCGGCGGCGGCGGCGGCGACGGCGGTGGAGGAGGAGGTAGCTCAGCTGTGTGGTGCGCGCGCGCGGCTCCTTTCGCCTCCGTGGCTCCGGCACCGGCCGGCCAAACCCGGGCGCTGCAAACAGCTGATAGATAACAACAAACCCACGTGACGCGGCCTCGCCCCGGCATTGGCGGCCGAGTCTGACCTACTTTGCGCCATTGGCTGGCGAGCTCCCCCCACCCTCGCCGGTGCAACAAGGACGCTGGCTGCACGGGTGTTGGTGCAGGCGGCCGGTACCCCCTCCACGTCCGCCTCGCACGGACGAGCTACCTCTCCGCCCCGCCACCGAGTGTGCGTGCGCCACTCTCCCCTCTCCCCTCGCTCGCCGCAGCGGCATACAAGCGTGCGAGCGAGCGAGCGAGAGAGAGCGCGCGCGCCGGCTTTCCGTGACTTCGCGCGCGAGCTATGCACTCAGCCTTCTGCCAGATCTGGCGAGCCATGTTCCTTTGTCTCTCCGTCCTCGTTTTGCAGCGTCAGCCGGCGAGATCCGTCGAGCGGCTCTCCGGAAAAGCGTCCACGCCAAGTGGCGGCCATGGGAAAAGAAAGCGCGGCAACGAGGTCACGCGCGCCGAGCGAACGCATCGAACGCGCAACGATCCTTTGTTTATTAGCGGCCGCTCTCATCAGCTGGCCAGCTTCGCGAGTGGGGGCGGCGAGAGCGCGCGTCCGCGAGAGAGAATTCGCCGGCGCGCCAGCTCGCACCACGGACGGCTCTCGCGAGCGAACGCGCGCGCGCGCGTGTGCGAATTGCGACGTGACGAAAGCAGACTGCACGGGCGCATGCGCCACTCAGCTGCTTCCCTCCCCTCCGTCCCTGCCCACTCCCTCACTCTCTCTCTCTCTCTCTTTCGCTCGCTCGCTGTTCGCCGAACAACATTATGACGCAGTTGTTCGTTTTCTCTGCAAATACGTCGAATCGGGCAGAGATTGGAGCTTTGTTCGACGAGATCGAGCGCTAAATCGGCCTGCGTGCTTGAAAAATCGGCAGTCGGCGTGTGTTGTTTGCAGGCCAAGGAGGTGCCCGGCGAACGGATATCGCTTCAGCTGATAGCCAGTGTGACAGAGACGGAGAGAGAGAGAGAGGGAGAGAGAGAGAAGCTCCGACGGCCATTTTCCCATATCAGCTGGCAACACGGCCGGAGCTGCTTGCCGCGTGACGAAAGCAAGCGCAAAGTCTCTCCCTCTCTCTTTTGTACGTGTGTACGTACGCGGCTGATGCTGCTGCTGCTGCTGCTCGCTTGCTTGCTTGCTTAAAACGACAATGACAAAGCTCTGTTGCACGCGCGCTGCGTATGAGCAATCCCCTCTCCGTTCTCGCTTCTAGCGAGAGAGAGAGAGAGAGAGAGAGAGAGACAAAGAAAATCGTCGAGACAGAGCGAAAAGAAATAACGATCGCGCGTATGTTTGCTAATCGGTCAAAGATAGCCTGCTTCGCGACCTGACTTATTTCTCCTTTCCTTTTTATCGTCCAGTAACGAGGGCGGCGCACGCGCGCGTCCGTGTGTGTGTGTGTGTGTGTGCTTGCGTGTCACGCACGCGCGCACGCGGGATTTTTAAAAATGGACGCAGTGCAGGGCTGACGTCATACGGGCCCGAGCAGCCGGCAGCGCACGACCTTCTCGGATCCCGGCGTTTTATGATCGAGAGAGAGAGAGAGAAGGAGAGAGATCGGCAGCGGTAGCGGCGCGTCCCTGCCGCGACGACGCCTGCTACTGGCAGCGCGGTTTTCCGACCGCGAATCACACCTCGTCACGATCCACGGGGACCACGGCGTGCGTAATCGAGCGAGGTTGCACAACGCCGTCGATGGGCGTAAGAGCCGACGGAGTCCTTATCGCGATCTCGACTGCGAAGCGACACTCCGCGGATATAGAATTTTCCGACAATGGATCCCGATCGGCGATTACGTCGCGGCAGCGGCCGGTGCCGCGCGCAAGCACAGATCCGCCCATTATGTCAGCGGCGTTCAGTTATAAATAACCGATCGCCGGCCGACGCGATTCGAGCGTACCAAACCTCGGCGCTGAGGCGCGCGGCTCTGCCTCGCAATGGAAGCGTCCTCGGCACGGCAAGGCTGCGCGCGCGCGCTCGCGATACAATTGGAAAGTGGCAGTTTTTCGGCGCGGCCTCGCCCCGCGAGGACTCGTTTTCCGCGCGCTCGCGGATGACGTCAGGCTGGAAGCTACGAGGCGGCCGATCCGCGCGCGCGTCACTGCCAGAGGCGTTTGTTGTTTTCGCGCTGGCGTTGAAGCGCCGGTCAAGCGTGGTGCTTCGCCGCGAGATAAGATACGACGGGAGCTTGCGCGCGCGTGTTTGCGCCGAGACGACGAGGATCCCGCTCGCAATCAGCGATGCGCGCTCTTTGTTCGGGAAAATCGAGCGCCCGGCCGCGGTGGAAAGTCTCGTCGTGCGGCTCGAACAAAGCCGATTGCCGAGCGATTTTCCGCTCCGCTGACTGCGCCGCCACCGCCGCCACCGGCGCTGCTCCTCTGTTTTGATGAGAATCTCATTTTACCAACGCGCGAGCCTTATCTGCATTCGTTATCGCGCGTTCGAAATGTCAACGTTATTTGCCGGGTACAACGTCGCGTCACTGCCTAGCTGCTCGGCATGCGCACGCGAATCGCGCTCCGAAACCTCGGGCCAGCGGCAGCGCTGAACGGTGCATGCTCGCAGCCTTCGAAAGGAGAAGCGTAAAAAAGAGCGCAAAGTAGAGAAACAGAGAAGCGGCAGAAGAAGGAAGGTTTCCGCAGCTGGTTTTGCGGCCATGTTGTCAGTCTGCCTCTCTCGCTGTCTCTCTCTCTCTCTCTCGCTCTCTGTCTCGTTCGTTCATTCTTGTAGATCCAACCAGGGCCGAGGCATAAAGTTCTCTGCTCGTCGACAGAGCGAGAGAGAAAGAAAAAGAAGGTCGCCGCTGGCGTACACTCGTTTGGAAGCAAGACAGCCATAACTCCAGCGCCAGATGTTTCGCTCTTTTTTCCCTTCAAATTGCTACTGCCACTGCCGCTGCTGTTGCCGTGGCTAGTTAACTGCGCAGTAGGCCGATCCAAGGCGCGCGCGCGCTCGCGCGTTCATGGGGAATCGCCGTAGCTGCACCGCTCGGTTGTCCGCGTACGCAACAACGACGACAACAGAGCGCTCGGGAAAATCGAGGCGGCGACCTATCTTTCTCTTTTGCCCCGAGCCGCGCGAATGCAGCGCGGAATGTAAATTACGCAAAAGCCAAGGATGTACCGTTAAGCGTTCGGCCCGCGCGCTCTCCCTCGGCTATCCTTGCGTTCTCTCTCGCTCTCTCTCTCTCTCTCTCTCTCTCTCTCACACACTCTTTCTATCTATCTGTCTGTCTCTCTCGAACCTCCGTGCACGGCCTGCGGAGAAAGCGGCTGAGTCGACCGTTGCCGGGCGTCGGATCGTAATCCGCCGACGGGGGAGCCCGGGCATCGCCGCACGGACTTGCTAATGACGTTTTAACGAGTCCGGATTACCCCGATGCCCGCAGTGCCGCCGAGTGGCCCGAACCACAGCGGCCGGAGTCAATGCGCAACCGGCGAGCTTATCGACTGCCAAGAGCGCACGGTTGCGAGCACTCGAGGCGCTATCTGGGGGCCCTTTCGCGGAAGCTTAGCTCCAATGCGGATAGCTCGGCCGAGGCAACAGGAAACCGTCGTGCTGCCGAAGGCTCGATTGTTTTGCTGTTGCCCCTTCGATTGTTTTGATTTTTGACTTTTTAAACGGGGTCAGTGTACCTTAGCGACGCACACGTGCTCTCGCTCACGGCTTGTTTTCATTCTGTTTTCAATGTATGTTTTGTTTTCACTACAATGCACACTCGTGAACTTTTTTTTCCTATACATATACTTTCTCCACGCCTGTATACAAAACATATATGCAATTTACATACTTGCCATACAGTGTCCGATGACGGGGAACTTTCCATAATGAATATGCGTATATAGCTAAATGACCGAGTGTGCAGTTTGTTATATACAGGAGAACACTCAATTGAAAGTTGATCCGAGATCCGATATATATAATAATTACGCCTTCGCTTCGCGCGCTGCAATCGCAATTCCATTTCAATTTAGCATAATATAAGCGGTACGCAGCTGCACGACTCACGCGTCTTGGGGTAATCATTCGTTTCTGTTAATTAAGCTGCATTTTGCTTATTCTCATTATTCAAATTTCGTCAGTCGCACCTACAAAGGCGATGCTTGTTGACATTTTCAATCGCGTTGAACGTTATCAACAATGGCAAAACACACCGTTAGTCAAAGACATGTAAATAAATTGATAAATAAGAAAGAATTGACGAGCTGCGCATTTAATCAGAGTCCGATTTACTCCGAAGCGATACCGATCGCCGATCAATCGCGTTCTTTCTTTGGCACAGCATGTGTATCAGCGTGTGTGCGCGCACGGTCGCGTCGCGCGCTGCGATCGCGCGCTCGATGAGAACGGGCCTTGAATGGCGAGAACGCGCGACCAGTAGTCGCAGGAACGTTGGTGCCCTCAAGAGCGAGCACGGACATTTTTTTCTCTTTCTCGCCAGTACCACACACAGCTTCCTCAACGACGAGCAAAACAGCGAGACGAGAAGAAGGAACTACGGCCAAATCGACAATCGAGTCAAGTGGCTTCGGTTGCAGTGAAAAATCGGTTGACCAAGCGCACGATGCAGCTCGAGGAGGAGCGAGCCAAGCTCGCGGAAGAACCTTGAGTGTCCGTCTACAACAGGCAGGAGTAGCAGTGCATGTTGCATGCGAGTGCGAGGGAGAGAGAGAGAGAGAGAGAGAGAGAAAGAGACGGAGATAAGAAGAGAGAAAGAAGGAAGAGAAGATGGAGAAAAGAGTAATGCCGGTGATGGTATTGTGGTTGCTGATGGTCCTGGGTATCGAGGGTGTTAAGTCGGTTGGTTGTCCATCCATCTGCACATGCAGCACGTGGTTTGCAATGCCGAAGGCTTCGTGCACCGGTCAGCACCTGTACAGCGTGTACACCGGTGTGTCCAACATCGTGCAAGCGCTCGATCTTTCCAACAATTCTATTATCAAACTCGAGGATCGCCAGCTATCCGTGAGTTTTTTTATCTTTGCACTTACAACGCCACGCGATTTATTAGACATGCTGAGCGCATGTCTATAGACAACACGGCTATTCTGGGAAACTTTGCCGGCGCCACCTCTATTCTCCTCTCAGTCGCGCCGTGGAATTTCATTATTTCGGGATGTCGCCGCAGGCCACACGCGCGCGCGTACGACGCTCTCTTTACAGGGTCCCCGTTTGTAAACACCAACCTCGTAATCGTGCATGTGGTGTGTGCAGCAAGGAAATCGTTCGCGGTTTTCCATTGATAGAAATCGAAAAGATACTCGATGTCGCTTACACAGACGCACGTGAGTCACGCTTGACAGATAAAGAACGTAATCGGCGGATATGGATGGACGGTGGCGATTCGGACAAATTGTTCTTGCTTTCACATTTTGTCGTGCGCGCGGGCTTACGATTTGGTTTTCAGATGAGCAAAAATAAATTGTTTTTCGAGCGAGAAATTGTTCATTTGATCCCATCATCTGCGCCTGCGGGTCTGGTTTTACGCAGACAGCTAAGTCTGATACAATATACATGCATAGTTGTGTTAATATTTACGTACTTTATTCAGAAAATTTATTTCAAGGCAGAAGGAATTAATGCATATGGCTATTTTTCGACAAATCTTCATTTAAAGTTTCAATTGAGTATCAATTTTTAAAGTTTTGCAAAGCCGTTTCCAAGGCCCCGAACTAACCAAAAAGTTTTCGTGCATTGTGCAATAATAAAACATAATATGTGAACAATTATAATCATTTACATTTCTCTAACAGCAATTAAGTGAATAGCTTGAAAAAAATAATAGTAAAAAAGAAAATACCCAGAGCTAGTGTTACGAAATTGCAATAGCATTGTCTCTCACCTACAAATAAAATGCGACGACGAAAAATAAAGTCGGTAAGCATCGCGACGTTGATTGACAATAGACCCGACGAAATTCACATCTGTTGGAGACCGAGGAAACAACAATGGCACAGCTTTTACTACAAGCACCCACTTTCGCTAGATACACCCCATTAGTTGATCTGTGACAGTGCTTGTTTGCCTAAATCGACTGGCTATAGACAGAGGCCGTCGAACAACAGCGCACGCGAATGACAAACGTGTAATTTCCATTTTTGATGTCACAGCGAGTTGGTCTGACAAAACTCAAGTACCTGAATCTCTCGACCAACGCCATCGCCGAAATCGAGCTCAGAGCATTCGACGATCTGAAGAATTTGTCCGTTTTGGATCTGTCGTACAATCGTATGGACTACATCGCACCTGACACCTTCTACGACGTTCGCAGTCTGAGGATCCTTCATCTAGCCGGTAACAAGTTTAATCTGCACGTGCCGAAGCTCCACAGCGACTCCATTACGGTACGCCTGCTCACATTATCATTAGGCTAAGGCGTGAATGGATAGTTATCTTCGTTTGTTTAGCGTGTGCTATTTTCTTGCATAATCGATTTGCTGTCCATTAACCTCCATTAAAAACTCCTTTTATGCTTTTTCTCCCTCGTGATGACCTCGAAAGATCAAATCATGTCGATCGGCGCCGTAGTAACAATGAATGAACCATTGTTGTTCTCCGAGTTTTCGAGTCTACAGGATGATGATGAGTCAATACGGTTTTGTCGAGGATGAGTAATGAGCCACCATTGTTGCGCTTACTTATTTATTATTATTACTTTTTGCGCCCTACACAGAAGCTGGATCTGAGTGGTTGTCGAATCGATTACTTGCCCGACGATACATTCAAGGGGCTACATCAACTGCGCAAACTCGACATCACCAATAACCATTTGACAAAATTGGCCAAGGACGCTCTGAGCCCAATGCCTTATCTGCAAGAATTAGTCTTGGGAAAGTAGGTTCCATTCATTTAAACGCAAGATTATTCTCGTCACTTTGAATCCAATTTAGAAAACTTATTTCTGTTTAGGAACTTGTGGCTGTGCGACGCCAAATTTATCAGTTTGAAATTGTACATGCGTACTAAGAAAATCGACACCGACCAAGTGTGCGAGCGGCCAACATTAACAGCTCAATTCGAAAAGTACATCTCGTTGAAAGCAGCGACGACGGAAGCGGAGCCCAGAGTCACACTGCAAAATGAGCTACAAAATGCACCGGGATCCAGGCAAACGAAAGATCCGTGGGAGGTAGATTCGTGGCATGAAATCGAGGAAACAGTTGAAGAAGAGCAACAAGTTGATTCCGGTTCCTCGAATATCTTTGCAAATGCCATTGGAAATATATCGCCGTTCTGGTTTCTTCTCATTGGATTTTTATTGGGTAGCGGGGCAACGATGGTCGTAACATATCTTTGGCTATCAACTACGATTTCTTGCTTGATTCCGAGAATTCGACGTGCCGATGCTGGTGAAACGAATGATGCTAGTTCACAAAGGGTTTCATTGCTAAGGTATTCAGAAGAAAAAATAAAAAGATAATTTTTAACTAACCGCGAAGTTGCAAATAGTGATCAAGAAAAAAGCAAAATAATAAACCACTCGGCAAACGTTTCTAGGTTATTACGAAATCAGTAATGATCAACGTTGACCAATATTGATTTCCACCGCGCCGCGTCGTCGTCGCATTATCAGTGAATTGGCTAATCGTCGCGATAAGAATAAATAATTCACGCACGTCTCCTTTGCAATTGATGCTCGTCGGAGTATATAGTCTGTTTCCACTAGACGTACGAAAAAAAAGATTGAATAATGACAAGCCATTGTTCTTTTATCTCATTAGCCGCTTTTATAGGGTGACTCATCAGTCTGTATAAAAAGGAGGCCGAGCGAGTATAATGCATCGCGCGCGACAATAACATGCACAGCGCACGAAATTGCATTACGTCCGTTTAATCTTTTAATCAACTATTTTGTATTTTTTACAGACATCTTTGGACACAAGAGAACATTGCCAATTCAGAAGAAAGTAACAGCGGTACAAGCCAAACCATCTTGCCAGTGCCTTTATCGTCTCATTCGTGCCCAGGCACACCACCACCACCATACCGTGAGGTAATGTTACATCGAAACCTTTATCCACGTGCAGCCATGGTTGCTGTAGCTCAGCAACGTTGTCACGAAACTCCAGCTTACATCTGAGAAAGAGATCATGTCGTCGGCGTATAATTGCCACACCGGACATACTATAATATATATAATTGTAGGACTGAGCGATGAGTGCCTTAGTATACAGCTAGAGATTATTAATTTTTAAGATATTGGAGTGTAACTATAGTGCCTAATTAGAATTAAGATTAGCTGATAGTATTCAGATGGTTCGGTGTGCGCGTCATTCACATGCGCCGATTTTCCGTATTCAGCATAAGCGTCTATTTTTTCTTCATTTGGCGAGCGTACGGTAGCTTCGCTTTTTTTTTCTTTATGTTCCCCGATGCATGTCTTTTTTATTGGTTGTATTGATGTATCGATGAACCAATTGCTAGATAATGCTCTACACATACGTACACGCGCAAGTGTCTGCTCTCGTTAAGAAAGTTATATGGAATATGCGAAATAAAATACTCACAGACATCTACTTGTGTATAAGAGCTTAAAGTCAAAGATACTTTTTCTGATTTAATATTCAGAATTACTCTTGCACATATAAATCCATAGGTTGAAAGTGAAAACTAATACCTCTGGCAATTTTTTCAGAGATGTTTCTCTTTATCTCAAGATTATGTTTTTTCTTGCTTACTTATTGTTTATTATGATATATGCGTAAGTGTTGTGATACAACGTAAAAACACTGAAGTTTTTTTTATTTCTCTGTCTCTCTCTCACTCTTTTTCTTTCGCTCTTCTTTTTTCGGAAAGAATACTTATACTGTATAAAAGTTTATATTGCTGTATCACATTACCTAAGTGCCATTACGTATTGTTAAGCCCATATATGTTACGATTAGATATGTAACGAATTATGATATTCTAAAAAGCAAAAACAACCCCAGTCTTGAAGGCCTGTACTTTATATACGATGAGCTTGTATAAGCTATTGAACGACGTGTGCTTCAAAAAGAAAAAAAATTGATGGCAGTATTAAGAACAATTAATTAGATTTTAACGAATGATGAAATTAACGAGGTTTTCGGCAGTATATCGACTTATACGCAAGGTCAAATGCAATCAGTTTTCCAATTAATATTTCAAAACAGATAAGATTACGCACCTCAAACCAGTAGCAATAAATGATTGTATACAATAACGCACTTCTCAATCGAGCATGCTCCAAAACAATAAAATCCACACACGAATACAACTTCTTTCTAGTACTTGTTATCTATTAACTCCCTGCACTTGACTCTCTCTCCCTTCCGATTTCTTGTATCGTAAAAGACGAGATTTGTTACTCAAAACCATATAATGAAATTCAATTTTTCCTGTATATGATCACTTACTGTATGTTTCTGTCTTTTATCCTCCCTCCCCCCCTCACTCTTATATATTTAAACAATTCCAACGTTTAAGCAGTTGTATTTTATAGTATTCTAGTCTAAGGAGCCCCCGAAATCAGATAACTATTCGTTGTCCGCACGCGCGTGCGAATGGAAAATGAAATCATGAATTAAACGTAAACTCGCAACAACGATCAGAGTCATTATTACAACACGTGATGCTCGCGCTATTATAACACGCGCGTCATGTGCACGCCGTCATATAATGATTCTTCTCCTTCGTATGAATTGTATTACGTGCAGAGATAGATATTTATGAGTATATGTGTACGCAAGACCAAACACTTGTCAAAATGTATATGTAATAATATGTATATATATTATATAATATGTATTCTACACAACGTAACAAAATACAAGTTTATAAATATTATACATGAATGTTTTAGTATAATTAAGCAAGTAGAACACTTAACTGTCCAGTAACCTGTACGCGTGTCTGTATGTATGTGCGTGAATTCAGGTATCGTTTGTAAAGTCGTCAATAGTATGCTATAAAGCTGCAATATTGCTCTTGTCGACCGACAGATCCTGAGCAACGACTTTGCAACCAGTCGCTTCGATGATACTGTCGGTGAGTTCGTGGCTGTAACGTTTTCCGCGCAAATTTGTGATAACACTTGCATCGCGATTGAAATCCGAGGGTAATGTCATTTTGATGTCCTGCACGATGCCACGTTCGACCTCGATTATCAATTTTAAAACGTGATTTTGACCTCCCGACGTTGGGGCTTCAAGTAGGCGAGTTATAGTGAATTTGGGTGTCTTCCCATAGACCCAAGCCCAAGAACGAAACTCTTCTGTCAATTTTTCGATACCTGCAGAAACAATGAAATTGTAACCAAACTGTTTTTTTTTTTATGTTAAGTTAGATATAAGAAACAATTGTACTACCTGGGAACCAGTCTTCAGTAGGATTAATCATTTGAAAGCCCTTTTGTTGCTCGACAAGTTTGTGTCCACCATCGCTGACCGTAAGCGACCTGGTACGAAGATATTCCCAGCCAACGGCACTGAGTAGTTGATCCACTCTAATATGGGAATTGACTTCTCTCAAATTCTTCACCGCTGATCTCACGGATTCGGTCGCGGTGGTAGTCATTCCAGTCTGTATGTAATGAAGGAGAAACTAGAAATTATGCCGACTCCACCGCTGCCTGCTTGTAATTGTAAATGCATACTTATTTGAATATAACAATTCATACCTCGGTTTTCCTGAGAGCCAGGCTGAGCGATCGCTTATTGGCATCAACCAGTAGCGTGCAGTGGTGATAAGCATTGGGACGCCCTAATTTTGCAGCCGTACCAGATATCTGCGGAAAATGTTGATAAAATATTTATAATTATAAATATTTTAATTAAGAGGATCTATGTAAAAGGCCCTTTTAATTAAAATTCGATAAAAAACATAGTCGTACTTTGAACTCGCCCTGCACAACGATATCGTCTTTCGTGTTGATGTTCGACTTGAGTCCCCATTCGCGAAACAGTGCTCTGGTGATGATATCCAGGTTGTAACGGCGATTGTATCTCTGCCGTGGCGTGAAAAACGAAAGGTTCAGGTTGCCTTCATCGTGATAGACGGTACCGCCACCACTGTTACGACGTGCAACGACGAATCCGTGATTTTCGCAAGCAGCCACGTTGCACTCGAGCCAGGGATTCTGATGACGACCGATCACCACGCACGGATTGCTCTTCCACAGAAGGAGCACATGCTGTCGACTAAAATCGTAGTTGCGATAAAACCAGTCTTCCAGTGCCAAATTGGTGAAGATATCCGTGGATTGAGAGATGAATACGGATTTTTTAATCTCATCTTCGGGGATGTCCTTCACTGCTGGCTTATCGCCGTTTCCGCTCGTCGATGCGTGACGCACGACGACAAATAATTCTCTGAAACATTTCCAAAATGTACTTGTAGCTTTTCGCTTGTAACAGTTTAAATGTACGCGCGTATAATATAATAGTCGTATATTGTTAACTACGCAATACGCGAGATGGCCTCCGTTCAAACGTTCAGATGTCGGCTCATGTTGGATAAAGATTTATTAAAGATAAATAGGGCGAGAGAGAGAGAAAGAGAGAGAGAGAGAGCGAGATAGAGCAAGAGAGAAGGAAAGAAAGAAAACGAGCGCTTTGTCATGAATATTAATTATGTAATCATTTTCAGCTTCGACATTCAACAAAATTATCATTTCTAAACAAAAAAAATGTACTCACTTAAACTTGTTGCAAAGGGCCTTGGCCCTGAGTAAGCTGCTTCTACAGATCACAGACATTCTTTGGATCCAAGAACGTAGATAGTTTCTTTCAAAATATGAATAACTAATAACCTCTCGGCACGAATAAGAATATAACAAGGTATACGCGTACGATAGAATAAAAAAATCAGTCTTTGATCGCTATTCGATGAAAATAAAACGCGTTATACCTTGGAAATACACGATAAAAGTAATAAAAGTAACAAAAAAATGTTCAACAGTCTTGTAAACTCTTTGTAATCTCGTTTCAACAACACTTGGGTGACAAAGAGTGTGGCTTAAAATTAGAGTTGCCAGTAGCGGTGATGGAGATGAGGTACTCGTGAAGGGCAATAGTCTGATGCAGCCACTTCCAGGTTTGGTCCAGGCTGTTGATGCGGTACCTAATACCCAAACAGTCTCGGCAGTCCTTTTGCATTCCTCTGTGTGTCGTCAATTTGCAGGAAAAATATATGTGTCAGACGATTTGACTTATACGACAACTAGACGAAACAACTCTTCTCGCTCTTGGTTAGATCTGCGTGCGCTCAGGACCACGTATTTTTCCAAAAACAACACTGCCGTTCGGCGTACCCACAAGCGTAACCCCAACTTGGAATAAGTCAGCACTTTCGAAGGAAACACTCCGTTTGAAGCACGAGCAATGAATGCTACGCGGCAAGCTACAGTTTTGGGGTTATATCGGCGATGATCGCCTCCTACCATGGCGGGGGACAGATAAACGAAGGTTATCTGGGTTCGTAGTTCGTATACAGCTTAAGAGCGCGTGCGATGGCGGGACCATCGACTGACAATGTCGCCGCTGCAGACACGACCTGCAGTCAGTCACGTTACACGCGTGCAATGGGGACACTCGGCACAAAAGTGCAGTGCTCGCACCGTGATATCGGCGATTTTTTTTTTATCCTGCATTATACCAGATGTTGAGCTGAGTGAGGCATGGACTGTAATTTAACATACCATGCTGCTGCTGTCTGCACGTGTACGGTGTAGTGACCTTGTATGATTGTCACAGTACCAGTGAATCACATGATCGCCTTTGACTCGCACTTACTATACCAAATTATGTTTAAAGTGCAGTCTTCTCATTAAAAGAAATAATCCACTTGGAGTTCAATAATCTTTATATTCCTCTTAATTATTGAATTTCTTTTTATCGGCACGATTAAAAAAATGGCCTCAAGATGGCGCTGGCCTTTGATGAATATTAAAAATAAATATTCCGACAGAAAAATTGTTCCATCAAACAAATAACGCGCGATCCTCTCATAAATTATTGAAGCTTATTGTCGTAGTCTCTGATTGCAAACAAGTAAAATAAAGATCTAACACGCACAAGGCCATGAATTGTCTTGTCCATAGAAAGCTTATTTATCGTGGGAATCGTCCTTTTTTTTTACAAAAACATCTGTGCGCGAGATAATGAATTTTATTCATCTTATCTCTCAGTCTTACAATTTACATGCTTTACACAACGTGTACGAGGGTTTTCCGCGATTTCATCTTCTTTAACACAAATATTAAAATGTCTTATCGAAAGTAGAACATATGACGTGGATTTTTTCTATTGATACGCAGATATTGAAGAAAGAGGCTAGTATTTTTTCTAATTTCATTGCTAACGAATAAAGTTTAGTGGTAGATAAAACACAATTTTCTTGGCTGGATATGTAATTATCGGTCGAAACTCGACGGTAGGTCATTAAGTTTACGAATGTGTCGTTGAAGAACGTTTGAATTGTTTGGCGATTTTATACGACAGACTGGAAAAACACGTATCAGCTGAATTGGAACAGATGTTGATCAGACCGTGCAAAGCCGATTGATCATATAGATGTTTATTATGTTGCGTCGAAACTCGTTGACACATTATTTCGAAACTTTTTTTCCTACCCGATTTCAGATCGAATGTCAACGATGCAAGCGTATTTTCGAAAAAATGTTCATTATAATCGATTCAACGAATTGCCAAGCAGCTCGATAAATAAAAATGAAAAACAGCGAAAAGCCTTGGGTAAACAGTTCGAAGTTCATTAATTATCTGAATTATACTTCGACGCCACCAAAGTTTCGATAAATTTTCAGTCAAAATATGCACATGAATTCCAAAATTAGCGCGACATTTTCGAGGGAGACGCGATCATCTGGACATATACAAATCATCGTTCCCCGTGTGCGCAAATCCTCAATCAGTTATATTTACATGCGTGTCAAGCTCATGTAAAATATAATATTCCGACTCAACTTCCCCCTCTCTCTTTCTCTGTCTCACTCACAGACGTGTGACCGATAAAGTTTAGTACGCACTTCGGCGTATTCGATCATAAGGGGGGCCCCACATACAAGATATATGCTAGACTTTTAATTTGCGCAGCAATAACTGAATTTTTGTACTTTGATCTCGTATATCCTCTTATCTGTCTGCCTCTCTTTCTCTTGACTCTCTGTCTCTCGTTGCTTCGCTTATCTATCGGAGGCCGTTCTGTTAAAAATGGTATAACCGCTGCGTGCGCGCACGATGAATTTGTTAGCGCGGCAACAATGTATCAGCCTCAATAAGTTTCACGCATTGCGAACGATAGCATTTTTTTCGAACGCTTTATTTTTGCAATAGAAACGTGGTTGCGATCAATGCTACTTGCACTAGCTGAGAGTGATTCAACGCGCGGCATTCCGTTTACTTTTCAATTGATTTACGAAGCTCGCTTAATAAAGCCGAAGTAAATAACCTTTTTACGTATCAATATAGTTTTTCAATTTTCATTTTGTCTCGCCGTTACGCTAACCGTGCCAACTGATTATGCAAGAATATATATTCCATGTAGCTAACGCCGAGCAACATAATTGGACTTTGATATAAACTTTGATCGAGAACATGCAAAGATGTATGATAGCTTCTAGATAAGAACGAACAATTTGCTTTCGCTGAAATGCGATCGATGACCAGAAATATCTGGCTATTCGATTTTTTCTTGCTAATACTGAGGCAGCAATTTGTAATCGCTAAATATGTGAAAACTGCAAGAAAAAGGTGGTCAGAAAAATGATAAATTATCCATATCACCAAGCGTTTTATTTGAGAGCACCTAAACATTGAATGACGTTGTTCGTGTTACAATCTAAATTGCTAAATTACAAAGCGCGAAAGTTCATTCATTTGCAAAACGACAAATGAGCGCTCTGGCAGACGAGACGGAGCAAAAGTTCACTACGCGCGCAGACAATGTTTGAGCGCAGCGGGGAGCTTCGCGCGCTCCTCAATTTTCGACGCTCGTTTGCATCGCCGGGCTGTCTCGTCTCGGCCGATACGACAATGAAATCATTGAAGATGAAACAAAAGGCGCGTGCAGGCACGGCAAAGAGCGCAAGCTGTTCGATGGGTTCGGGGCGTATCACGTTTCGCAGTAATGCGCGTGCGTGTGCACGTGCGACGCGGATTTTCAGCTGGGAAAATTCGACATTTCCATTGTAAATTTGATCGGCCGATGATTCGGTAAAAAGTAACTTTTCATTTACCGGTTATTTTGCGAGTACGACTTCGGGGAACTGGGCGCCCTTTTACAATTTTACTTTTATTTTTATTCGCGTATCTTAATTAGCAGTTAGAAGACGTCTAACTACAATCGGTACTGCTGTACGATGATTTGACGTGTGCCACGCGATTCATGTTCTCAAACACGTGCTTATTGTTTTTTCAATTACAAGAATTTCTTATCTCAATTATTTTGTTAATAAACTTGATATTGTTTTGAATATCGAAGATTTACATAACCGGTCGCATCGTTCAAAATGAATCTTTGACCTGCGATGTTAAAACTTAGATTACTCGATTTTTTGTTGTTGTTCACGGGCACTCGTTGAACATCAATTACAATAGAAACAGTCAACTGTCACGGTATTATCAATCCTATTAAGCTAAGAAATGCAGTGGATCGTAGATGTGTTCGAGTTTATTTTCGAGTTCTGCGCAAGTTAATTTAATTTAAAGGAACGATCGAATGAATTTCGGAGATGAGCGGGGCGCGCAAACCATCGCACGTAGTCACAACAGAACAAAGTGGAACGTAAACCTTCCATTCGTATAAATAGCTGTTTTCCCAGACAGCAGAATAAATACGTCTTATCTAAGGTATTGTTGAAGAAGTGAATTTACCGTAATGAAAACAAGCTACACACTTTATGCACTTATTGTCGATGTGACAATTGTATTCATTACTGGCGTCGTGTAAATTGTGGTAATAGTTTTAAATAATTGATCAGATAGAACATTTTGTCCTGCAGATTGTTTGTTATCTTGCTGTCATAAAAAATTTTTTGCAATAATCCTTGTGTTTTAGAAAATTGATGTCGGTTGTTAATTTAGTTTTCTAATTTTATTTAATAATCTGCCTAGTTTCGACGATATATATATATATATATGTGTGTGTGTGTACACGCAAGGCACATTCAAAAAAATAATTATAGGTTAACTTACCGACTGTAAATCATCAAGCAAGCGCTTTTGCCGCTCGAATTATATATACGTATGTACACCCAACGTGGATTGAATCGCGACCCCCCCAGTTAGGTTGGTATGAGAATTCCGTCGTTTCATCGGAACGAAGAAACCGCGGGAAAATTCAAAAATGAAAATTCGTTTTAAGATACGATAAAAAGCTAAAACGTTACTAATTTGTTTTTAGGTTTAAAATTAATTGTTTGCCGAACAATGAATTTAGATGCATGATTATTTGATTTTAGGTTTTAATTATATAATTTAAGAACGAGCGTTATACTATGGCCGATCTGAAAACCACCGTTACGGACTGAAAATAGCACTCATAGTCTCATACCAACCTAACTGGGGGGGTCGCGATTCAATCCACGTTGGGTGTACCTAAAATGCACGTGGGCTCGAACTTGAAATTGTAGTAGAGTAGTGAGCATTGACCTGACTAATGTGAGCATTTCGCAATTACTCTGTACGTGTGTGTATACAACGTCTCGACGTAATCTCTGGAAAAATGGTAATCGCATTTAATTTTTCAAATTAACCGTTTTAAAAGTTATTTGGATTGCTCATTTTTGTTAAAATGATTGGAAATTCGTTTTACCACAATGGCAATGAGTAAAACCAAACATACTAAATATAACCTACAAATGATGCAATACTTTGAAAAGTTTTTGTCTTGAAAATTATGAATAAAAATAGACTTTTTATGTTTAATTTAATTTCTAAACTGTATAACTTATACTCTTTATTGATGTTGATTGTGATCACCGTGTCTTCCCTGTAATTATATTTGGAGATTTTGTACTTTGATTATATTGTATTATTTTTATATAGGCTTCTATGGTACTGGCTGGTTTAGGACTAGCTGCAGTGGGATTTGCAGGACGGTATGTTCTCAAGCAAATGCCAATATTATCTCAAAAAATGGCTGAAGCTGTTAAGAATATGCCAAAATTAGACACACAGGTAAATTACATTTTTCTTTCTAAGTAAATTATTGATTAACAAATGGCTTATCGTGTAATTCCATTTCTAGTCTTTGGCAAACAGCAAGTATTACAAAGGAGGGTTTGAACAGAAAATGAGCAGAAGAGAAGCTGCTCTTATTCTCGGATGTTCACCAACAGCTTCCAAAGCAAAAGTAAAAGAGCAGTTCAAGAAAATAATGTCGGCAAATCACCCTGATCGTGGAGGGTCACCTTATATAGCAGCTAAAGTAAACGAAGCAAAAGATTTACTTGAAAAGTGAACAATGTTTGTGAATCTAAATTAGATAATTGAATTTTATTGTTATTTATAGTACAAATAAAATTTATTTGTAAATTGTTCTGAGAGTGATACTAAAAGTATGAGTTGCCAAAGCTTATATTTTATGAACTGTAAATAATATTATGTACATACAAGCAATACTTATAAGTTTATTAAAAGATAATTTTGAATTGAATCAAATAATTGATTCATTAATATATTTCATTTGTACATGATCCAAAACCTATATCCATTAACATCCATTAACATTCGTTGAATTTGATGCGATTTCAAATGGTAATATAATTACAATATGATTTTTAGGAAATGGATCATATTGGATTTTAATAACACGTGCAATATTATAAACTTAAAATCACAAAAATTTTGAAACTGCATTATAACAATGATAAAATATGAAGATACAAATTATCGAACCTGCGATTTCTAAGTTTGCAAATTTTCATAGTACTACTGAATAGTTTTAAAAATATGCTATGTACATAAATTATTGTAACAATATGTTCAAAACTATTTAGATTGATAATAATTTGCTAAAATCTTATAATTAGTTCTCTGCAAAAGCAGTAAATCAGTACTTGTATCACAAAAACAGAAAACAAGGCAAAACTATCGAATTATGCACATTTCACAATCGTTGTACAAGAAAACATTGAAAATTGACTGTATTGACTAGACTTCACCAATTAATTCAAATTTTTTTCGATCAGTATTACCTTCTTGCTTTGTTATTTTGTTGTTCTTTATGAATTTGTTCAACTTTAGATCTTAACTTTGAAATTGTACTACTAGGCAATGAACCAGGAACTTTGAATATGCTCTATAAAAAGCTCGTATTAGGCATATAAAAAAATAAAAATATATGAAGTGTATGATTTAAACGATGATAATTACCTGCATGAAATCATGGCAGTGAAGAACAATACTGTCTTTTGTAATTTCTTTAAAACATTCTGCTAACTCCGTAAAATCTTTACAAGCTAATAAATTTTCTCTGTTCCTTTTAATTAATGTTAATGCTACTCTGAATACAATTTTACTACCTTCGTAAAAAAGGCAGTCCCATATTCTTAATGTTGTCTGTAACACAACAAAAGGAATTTCAAATTATTATATGAAAAACGTTTGTTCTAATACACAATATTATTTACTTCAGTGGGCAACACTTCTACAAATAAACAAATAAACCACTTTGTTGTAATAACTGCCCATGGTAATCCCATATTAGTTACATGTTGATGAACATCTGGCACTTTTATTCTGTCAAAATTATGTTATTTCAGTTGACTCCAATTTAAATAAAATGAATTTGCAAAAGAGTTACATAATTTCTCAAGCCTACCTCACTAATTCAGCTAGGACATCAATGTCTGTAAGTAAACCTTTCATTGTTGGCGTATAATATTCAGGTAGAATTTTATCAATTAATATTTTTAATAACCAGAAGGCTGTTTCTTCACTTTTAGTAACTATCAGTAAAAGACCTGCTATATAATTTAAGCCCTAGAATAATTAAAATAACTGTAATGTTATTTTAATAACCCATTATTATAAAAAATATTGTTATCTTTTATTACTTGGCAATATCCCACTGCTTGATTCTGATAAGCAAATGCTAACAAGATATTGTATAATTGACATTGATGACGGTCTGTGTTATTAAAAAAAATATTATCTGGAAAAGTACGTGGAAGATCTGTCTTAATGATATCTGTTACATGTGGATTATGTGGACCAGTTAACAATTGTTGGTAGAAGTTAGGAGATTTATTCTTTAATTCTTCTCCACCACTTACAGAGAGCCATACCTTCAATTAAGTATGATTTATATTATAATATAATATAAATTATTTCTAGACATAAATGAATATATTTCATACTTACTAAACCTCTATGTTCTGCAGGAATACCCTTTCGAACATAGCGTTTGATAGTAATACTGTGCTGCAAAGATCTGCCTTCTCCTATTATATCTGCCCATTTTTTTGCTCTTTTAGCAAGTACTTTTAAGTATTCAGACATAAACTCTTCATATGTTTCATAGTTGAAATCTGGTGGCCTTTCAAATCCGTACTCATCAACATTGCTGTATTTAAAAAAAATGTAAATAAAAATAATTTTTATATTCTAACATGACTAAATAAATAATAGCAGTATTATTAAACTTCTATAAAATTTTAGATTTCAAAGTAACAATAATGATAATATTCGAAAAATTCCAAATAATGAAAACAAATGAATCATAAATTCCAGCACAAGAGTATAGACACACCTACTTACATAGATGAATGTTATTAAACCGAAAACGAAAAACATTTTTAACCTTACAAATTTTTAGCAGAAATGATAAAACGCTCCCTTTGGAAAAAAAATATAGAAACAAACAAAATACACTTTTATTATTGGCGAATATTCAAACGATAGCTCTTACCTAAAACAGGAGGTGGCCATACCACAAATAACTGTTTCTGGCCTCAAAGTAATGCGATGCAGTAATCATGTGTGCTGCGGAAAAGCTCTGACGGGCATGTATATATATGCAAGCAAACTAAATAATTAAATTGATAATGAATGAACTTTCGTTTGACAGTGTCTGCCGAAAGATTAGGTTATAAAGCATTTTTTCGAGTAGGTTAGCATCGAATTGGGTCGACTTAGTACTATACTCGCAGCTACTGGTTTATTGCTAGACAAAGTCGAGACGGAATCGAGTCGTATCGATACCTACGTAAAACACCACATGGTAACTACAGAGCAGGAGGATAAAATGGCGTTGATCGTTCCGTGTGTGGCCAGTAAGTAATTTTCTTTATTTTATTATAAATTAATAATTAATTTATTACATTCATCATACCAACTTTTTATGGAACTAAAGAAATTTCCACGATATTAGGGGAGTCTCGGAAATCATTGCAGTCTCTATTTCTATACGATTTAGGTTAACCAACTTTGATTGCTTCTGAAAACATCACAACATGCCGATTATAATTTTTCAAAGCATGAAAGTGCACATCATTTATTTAAAACGGTTATGGAACATTAACAAAGTTAATAAAGCAATAATACATACTTGAATAACATGTTTGTTAGAAAATTAGAAAACTTTTTTAAGTCACTTTATTCTACATATTGCAGAGTTGAAAGTTACAATGATAATGCATATTCACATATGTATTCAGACAATTGTTCCTCAAGCATATTATAATTTTAGAGTATCAATAATGATGTCTTAACAATTCGGTTAAGTGCCATAATTGTTGTTTATTTGTAGTAAGAGGTTCCACTGGTATATCTATCTCTCAAGGCCCTCCAACTTACGAACCAGTTTCAGCATTTGTAAAAGATGACAACAAAACATGTAAGACAATGGCATTTAGCCCTCAAGGGCAATACTTTGCTTGGGCGAATGGACACACTATTAAGATTATTCTTTGCGAGACGTGGCAAGTTGTTGCTGAAATTAGCAAACCTAAAGTTCAAGCTATTCAATTTTCACCTAAAGATACTTATCTTATGACTTGGGAACCTTTCATTGGTAAGTAATTGGTACTTTTATTTATTTCAAATTAGTTATATGATAAACAATATTTGTTATATATTGTGTTACAGTATCGCAAGCTAACCCACATGGTGGACCGAATCTCTGCTTTTGGAATCCAAAAAATGGTGAACTAGTCAAAAGTTTTATCCATAAGAAACAAATTGACTGGTAACATTTCATTTAATAATAATGTACAGTTTAATTATTGTAAACTATTTTTTGTATAATTTGTAAATGTTTTTAGGGAACCACAATGGTCTAGTGATGAAAAAGTTTGTGGTATGTTAGTTAATAATGATGTTGTACTTTATGAAGACTCGAATTTTGAAAAAGTGTTACATAGGATAAATGTAGTTAAAGTTGCCAAGTTTAGTATAGCACCTGGTGCTGCTCCATATCATGTTCTTTGTTACATGCCTGGTTAGTATTTTACATTAATTAAAAGTTTAATATTCTTTATATTTTTAATATTCTTTACAATATTTGTGACAAATATGTAGGAAAGTCTGGGCAGCCATCATTTGGTAGATTATATCAATATCCTAAATTCCAAGCAAGTCAACCTGTAGCAAATAAAAGTTTTTTCCAGGTATTTTTTTAGAAATAATTTTGACTAACTCGAAAAACTTGTTCGGTGTAAAACTTTTTTTTACGTTTTCTAATGATTTATTTTTATCTAGGATGATAGAGTAGATATATATTGGAATAAACAGGGAACTAGCTTGTTACTATTAACTAGTACTGATGTTGATAAGACTGGTGCTTCTTATTATGGAAAACAAACTTTGCACTATTTAGATATTAAAGGACAAACGGCGTTGGTTATGCTGAGTAAGAAAACTTTTTATTAAAATAATATTAATTCTTGCACAAGTAGAAGCTCATCATATTTTATTAATTTTTTAGGTAAAGAGGGTCCTATTCATGCTGTAGAATGGTCTCCCAAGGGAAATGAGTTTTTAGTTATTTATGGTTTTATGCCATCAAAGGCAACATTGTTTAACCTTAAATGTGAAGCTGTATTTGAATTTGGAACGAAACATCGTAATGCTATTTACTACAATCCTCATGGCAATAATATCCTTTTCAAAACATTTTTTTATTTTTATTGCATCGAATTATTAAAACTAAATTATTATTAATAATATTTCCTTAACCACTGTGCACTTGTAATTTTGACTGGTTTCGGCAATTTGAGGGGAGGCATTGAACTGTGGGATACAAATCATAGAAAACTTATTGCTACATCAGATGCTCCTGATACTACATTGCTAGAGTGGTCTCCAGATGGTGAACATTATATGACAGCTACTACAGCACCAAGACTGAGAATGAGCAATGGGTAAATTTTTATGACTTTGACGATTATTTTATTAGTGTTTTTAATAAATGAAATTTTATTGTTAATTAGATTCAAAATTTGGCATTACACTGGAACATTGTTATATGAGCGGCCTTGGAACAAACAGGAAGAGTTATGGGAAGTTATATGGCAAAGGTATCCTGTTGATACTTTTAAACAAAAATCCATAAGTTATAAAGCAGTGGATGGCATAGCCCCCAGTCAACCTCAAGGTAAACAAAAATATTAGATTATTTTTGATAAATGACTGTTTTTGATATTACATAATTTTTATTGAATTCGTCAGCATCAAAGCAAGTATACCGACCGCCATCTGCCAGAGGAACTACTATCACTTTCAAGTTACATGATGATGAAGATGATACCAAGCAGACCGAATGTAAATATAATAAATTAAAAAATAGTGATAAGTTAATTGCATTTTTAAATTAATATTACGATTCCAAAATTTATTTACAGCTAACCCATCGAAAAATGCATTGAAAATCAAAAAGAAGCGCGAAGCTAAAAAGGCTAAAAAAGAACAAGAAGCTGCTTTAGCTGGAACTCAAAATACTAATATAACTGCTAATGGTCAGACAAGCGCTATTAGTCCTAAAGTTAGTAGTCCAACCAGTAATTCAGCAAATAATGATCTCACTGATGATCCAGAAAAAAATAAAAAGATAAAAAGAATAAAATATGTAAGTATTAGATGTAATGATTTTTTTTATATTGATATATGTAAGCTACAATTTTTAATATTTCTTGTAGAAATTGGAACAAATATCTAAGCTCAAGGAGCAACACCAGCAGGGTAAACAGCTGGAGATTAACCAATTGGATAAAATAAAGAAAGAAGCTGAATTGATCAAGGAGTTGGAGGAATTGACATTATGATGTTTGATAGAGTATAAGATATTTAATAAATGCTTAAACTTAAGAAACAATGAGATGATCTCGAAAAATCGGTAATATTTTGGGCCAATTGATAACGGATCAAACCTACAAAGCATTTATGATTCGTTATTGTGATTCAATTTTTGTCGATTCATTATTAAAACAAAATATTGGTGCACACAATAATGGATTGATGGAGTTACTACTAAGTAATCATTAAATAACTGATGTGAATGTTTCATCAATATTAAAAACTAAATCAATTGAGTTACTTTTTAATATTTATAAAAGTACGAAAAATTCTCATCTTCCAAAGGAATATAATTTACATGTATAGAAGGCACAAATGAATGACAATTTCAAGTGTAGAATTTTCTAAACATTGAAATCTTGTTCCTTTCACTTTGAACATAAGAATTGTAAATACATAAACCCTCTGTGTTCATTTGTAATACCTTCTTTCAAACTGTTTATACATTACTAACAAATGCTCATTCATCACAAATTTTGAGGCTTGGATATTCTTATTTAAATTGATTTTTTTCGTCTCAGGAAATTTTTTCAGTTCGCATCAGAAGATTAATAACTATATCTATTTTTCTTGCAATCTCCATGTTTTTTGCTTCGAATAAAAAACTACTAGACAGAATATTTCTTTGAATTTGTACAAAGTAATTAAATAATAAGGCTACAAAAAAAAAACACACACACACTAATAGATGGTAAATATAACAATGAAAAAAAGTAACATGATACATAGTTAACTGATAGAAGATTTTTTTTCTTTTTGACTGCGTTTGAAAAATTATAAAATATAATAAACAAGAAAGTTACTATTCTCAGTTTACACTATTCAATAAATTTTTTTTCAATACCATTTTCTATGAAATGGTTATTTATAATCATTAAGAAACATTACACGTTAAGACCAATTAAAAAGCTTTCTTCATTTTCAATTGTGAAATATATGAGGTAGATAATATTGTAACTCAACTGTTAAACAAATTAATTCATACTTTAATTGCAAAGCAATGTTAATTTAATGATTGTATATCTGTATTTTTTAATAATGTTTGAGGTCTTGCTTAGGTGGCTAACTTAATAGTATTAAAATAAAATATGTTTGAAATAAAAAAAATGTTTATTGAAATTAGTTTTCCTATGTAGTATGATCAAAACAATTATATATTGATAAAAAAATGTTAAAATAGCAAAGTCTCAATATTACGATTTTCTGCAAGTGAATTGCATTCTTACGTTTGTGTATGCGTGCATGTATATTGGTTGTTAAAAAAACTCAAGTTTTTCTACATTACTTTTGATATTGTCGTATTGTCAAAACAGTTTGTAAACAAAAATAAAAGTACCTAGTTCGATTATTCAATGGTCAAAATCAAGTAATGCAAAATAGGAGCAGCAGAGTTTTTAAACGTTCTATTTCGAAGGAGCACCCTTGTCCCTGCATACACATGCATAGTGCGTACACACACGCGTGCGCGGTTTAGTTGTGTGGGAGGAGCCTTAGGTTTACACTGTTTACTGATCCAGCAAATCGCCGTTGCCTCGGAAGTTCCCCGCGCGAGGCAAGATAAAAGACTTGAATTTATCACACGCAACACGAGCCAGGGACAATCACTGGTATTTCAACCTTATGAAAGGGATATAACCTAATAAGACAGAAACATCTTGCATTTTAAATAAACGCATTCGAGGAATCAGTGTATCATTCGGTCCTTTTAAACGGCTACGGTTCTACCAATCGGGTAACTCGCGGTCGCGCCATCTCCTCGGAGAGTCAAAACACACACTTACGTACACATGCACACATGTACGACCGGAGAGACAGAGACGGAGATAAGAGAGTGAGAGAGACATATACGTGAAAGAGAGTGGCCGAGGGGGCAGCAAAGCAAAGGCAGTGCCCCTTGTAATCGAGGTGACCCACGACGACGAGTTCCCGGCTGGTTGCGGAAGTAGCACCGTAGAGCGCCGATTCGCGGCCGCGCAGTGTTGGCCTTTGTTATATTGGTGGGCGCCGCGCACGGGATAATACAACAGCAACGTTGGATAGCAGCAGCGGAGTAGCAGGCAAGGAGATTTCCCTCAGCGAGTCGCCATTTTGTCCGGACGTTCGGTGCGCGAGAGAGAGAACCCGGTTTCGCCTGTAGGTCGCCGTTAAAAAGCGCAACCAGGTACATCTACGACGGGACGCTGTTGCACGCGAGAGTGACGGGTGCGAAGGGCGTGTTTGCCAGTAGTGGTATAATCGTTCAGCTTCGATGTGTACTGCAGTGCGGCTTTTGACAGTGCGCAACACACAGACACACACGCATTACTTCTTTCTCGCACTCGGAGAGTAATCGCATTGTGTGTGGTAGTTCATCGTCGTCGAGCGTGGAGGAAGTCGCGGTTTTTATTGAACATATCCCGTAGACAACGTCGTTCTTTCGCGTACGCTTTTTCTTCCTTCCGTTTTTTTTCCTCTCGCTTGCTCTTTCATTTGCTCTCGCTCTCGCTTGCTCTTTCTCTCTCTCTCTCTCTCTCTCTTTTTCTCTCCTATTCTCTCACTCACTCTATCGTTTCTCGACACCACGAACGGCTACTTTGCTGACGACACGTACATTTACGAGATAGAAAGAGATCTGTTTTTCTCGACTTGATTTTTCGTCACATTAAACGCACAGCCAGTAATGCATTCGCGAAATATTAACGTACGTACTGATGTATGTGTGCGCTTTGGAATCTGAGCGTGTAATCGTCTGCATCTCGCGGTTTTTTTGTATTACATCATTTTTTAGCGAAATCCTCTTCGTTGCAGATAATGTAGATATAGTTTAGCTGACACACAAGGCCTCTACAATTAAAAACATATTTCATGACACTACTGAATGCTCGTTGCCGCTGCGACTTGTTCCAAACCGCGCATATCCTCAGAATCAGTCTGTAGCATTAGTAAGCTACGATGACTATTGCTACAAGAGGCCAAGGGGTTGGAGTTGATCCACCCGACAGTCATCAAAACACAATGGTTAATTTCTATCAATTGCTAATTATTCATAGTTTGTAAGCCATTACTATAATTCATTACTGTTTATGTAGATATCCAGTTCACCTGGTCAGCAACAACTGGCAGACACAATGTCTAGCCTACAGATATCAGAAACTGTAGTATCATCATCTGATTGTACCAGTGAAGGGTCAACCACAACGGCTGTTGAAGATAATAATCATCAGAAACCAGAGCCCGATTTTCCTCATGCCAAGCTCGCTATGCTGGATGAAAAAATATCTAGTCCAAGATGGGTAGTGCCAGTTTTACCTGATCAAGAATTGGAGTGCCTATTACTAGCCAGTATCGATTTATGCAAACAAGGTAAGTTGCTTAATAACTTGTCAACATCATGTAACCTCTTCTATTATAAAAGAGATTTATTTATTTATTGTTATGGCTTTTACAGGAATTGATGTACAGAGCGAGGCATGTCAACGGTTTTTTCGAGAAGGGCTTACAATATCTTTTACAAAAATTTTGACAGACGATGCAGTTAATAGTTGGAAATTGAATATTCACAATTACATTAATGCTAACTGTCTACGATTAGTAGAACTTTGCGTTTTGAAATTGGATGAGGATTGGTTTCCTCTTCTTGATTTGCTTGCAATGGTTTTTAATCCTAATAACAAGTGAGTATCTTAGTTCAGCTAAAGCTTCATCTGTTGTCGTTTCGTTATTAAATCTTACAATTTCGTTTTATAAGATTTCATACGTTCAACGCATCGCGATCCTCGGAAAGTGTACCGCCTGGAGCTAATATACCTGATGATGAAGTGTACGCTCGCTCACCTCCATCCTCCATAAATCCCCGAGGTTGGCTAGTTGATCTAATTAACAAGTGAGTTATAATTTGTTTATACAAAGATGTTTAATCAGTACGCGAGTTGAAAACTAATTAGCATTTTATTTTTGTAGATTTGGTAGTCTCAATGGTTTTGAAATTTTACTCAAACGGTTTACAAGCGGCCGAAATTTGACGGTGCCAGTCATATATGCGTTAATAAAGCCATTTGGCTTGTGCTGTGAATTATTAACATTTAATACAATACGTAAATATCTTATGCCCATAGTGGTAAGTACCGCTACGTGAATTATAAAAATTCAATGAAGTTTCAACAAGTATTTTTTAACGTTCGATTTATCTTTGCAGCAAATGGTGCCTCAAATTTTAGATAATCTGACTGATGCAGAACTTAAAAAAGAAGCGAAGAACGAGTCAAAAAACGATGCAATATCAGCCATAATAAAAGCATGCAAGTGTATAGTGTCTCGAGTTCCTTATCAGGAAGAAATGATTAAAAATTTAGAAATCTTGAGATTAAAAATGATACTGAGGTTATTGCAAATATCATCTTTTAATGGCAAAATGAATGCTCTCAATGAAGTCAACAAAGTGATCGCCAGTGTTAATTATTATTTGCATCGTAATCAGGGCCTCGAGGAAGAGGAGTGGTTAACAGCTGAGCGAATGGCGGTGAGTGTTTCTAATATTATTACCATTATATTTGTTCTTCTTCTCTCGGAAGGCTATTGTTTTACGCGTTGCATTTGTCCACGTAGAAATGGATCAAGGAAAATGGAGTACTGGAAATTGTTTTAAGAGATTCGTTACATCAACCGCAATACGTGGAAAAGCTCGAAAAAATATTGCGTTTCATAATCAAAGAACGCGCATTAACTCTCGAGGATTTAGATGCGGTGTGGGCAGCTCAAGCTGGCAAACATGAAGCAATTGTGAAAAACGTTCACGACTTATTAGCCAAATTGGCTTGGGATTTTAGTCCTGAACAATTAGATCATCTTTTTGAATGTTTCAAGGTTTGTTTTTATTATTATTATAACTATTGCTTTCGTATAATTTATAAATACCAAATTTCGTAATTTGCTGTGTGTGATAGTTTTCATAGCATTTTTCGTTTTATACAAAAAAATAAATTATTGGCACAGGAGGTTTCCTGTATTAACAAATTTATTAGCACCGTCAAATTAAAGCTTAAATTTATTTATTTTTGATCGAAGCAGAATAATATGTCATTGATCTGCTGTATCAAAGTTTGCAAAACAAACTTTCAATAACTTTACTTTAATATGCAATAGTTTTTTAGGAGCAAAATCCAAGTGAAATATTTTTGAATGCTACGTGAGGCTGACGATTTTTATTGAGTGTTTTATGTTTTTAGACGCTCCTTTGTTAGTTTACGAGTGTGTATATTTTTAATGTTTCTCTATTCCAGACAAGTTGGAGGACTGCCAACAAAAAACAACGCGAAAAACTTCTCGAGTTGATTCGACGACTTGCTGAAGATGACAAGGATGGTGTCATGGCTCATAAAGTAAAAATACAGTTTATTTAGTTTTAAAAATTTTGAGAACTTATATTAATGACACTAAATTTCTATAGGTGTTGATGCTTTTTTGGAATTTGGCACACTCCGATGAGGTGCCTACAGAAATAATGGATCAGGCGTTAAATGCCCACGTCAAAATTTTGGATTATTCTTGCTCACAAGAGCGAGATGCTCAAAAAACTATATGGCTTGACAAGTGTGTAGAAGAGTTGAAAAGTGGTGATAAATGGGTACTTCCCGCGCTCAAGCAAATTCGGGAAATTTGTTGTCTATATGAACCTAATCCGAATATGGGTCATAATCAACGTACTCATCATGCATACTATAGGTATAAATAGTTTTTACTTTAAAGATGATGTTTATTAAAAGAATGTTGATTGATGTTGAAAATATTATTGCAGGCAAGAAGTTATAGAGCGTCTTCAAACTCAGCATTCCGTCGTTATACTCGTAACGAATAGTTTAACTACTTACATGGATAAAGTACGGCAGTTAATTAAGGAAAATCCGAATGTTGATGCAAATATTTACACACCTGACCGTCGTTACAATCATATAATGCAGGTGCAGGAACGACTTAATTTTTTGAGATTTTTACTCAAGGTAAAAATCATTTTTTATCAACAATATTTACGATTATTTAATTTAACACTGATTTTATAACAATAAATAGCATTCGTAAACTCGTAAACTAAATGTAAATAATTTTAATAGGATGGTCAATTGTGGCTTTGTGCCGAGCAAGCCAAACAAATCTGGCAATGTCTGGCGGAACAGGCATGTTTTACTTCAGACCGCGAGGCGTGTTTCAAGTGGTTTTCAAAATTGATGGGCGATGAGCCCGATCTTGATCCTGCAATTAATAAGGACTTTTTTGTAAATAATATTTTACGGTTGGATCCGACATTACTCACGGAAAGTGGTATCAAGTGTTTTGAGAGGTTTTTCAAGGCCGTGAATTTAAAAGAGGGCAAATTAAAGCAAAAGAGACGTGCAGTATTGATGGACGATGTTGATTTGATTGGAACGGACTATTTGTGGAGGGTAAGTCACAGATTTACTAACCTTTATTTTGCAACAAAGTAGATCGATAATACAATTTTTAACCGAAGCATTTAGTATGCTTCGTTATTGTTATTATCAAAGCATCCTATATGCTTTGAATTATTGAACCGATAACCAAAAATAAAATGATTTATAATTTTATAGGTGGTAACTAATAGCCCTGAAGAAATAGCAAATCGTGGAATAGAATTATTAAAGGAAGTAAATACCAACTTGGGGCCACGATTACAGTCATCGGTAGTAGCTTTTCATCAAACATATATCTCCGAGTGTATGGATCGTTTGAAAGTTCATTACGATGCGGTGTGTATAATGAGAAAAGTTACTTTGGACGAGAAAGAAGATAAAGATGTTATCAAATCGGAAGCCGTAAAAATGTGTCGTGTCATGAAAGTTTTACAAGAATATCTCAATGAATGCGACATGGCTTTTCAGGGCGAAAGGAGAATTCTGCCTTTGCATAGGTAAATGTTACTACATTTTAATTACTTTTACTTTTATACGAGTTCAACGTTTAATCGATATGATACGATTACAGGGCAGCAAGGGGCAAGCATTTGGCTCTAATTATAAGGTTTGCCAATCCTGCACGAAACGTCGATGATATTGAAATATTCACTCACACAAACGATACGTTGGCATCTTTGAGACGGCAAATATTGCGCAGGATTAAAGCCGGTGGTACTAATGTTAAATTAGATTTATATATTAATGGAGAATCATTAGAACAAGCAGACGATAGAAAACTTCTTTCGCAAATTCCTTTAAGAGACAAAATGGTGAGTCATTGAATAACTCAATATAGGTATCCAATGTAGAATATAGTAATGTTAATTGTTTTTTCTTTAGATATTGTCTGCGAAACTTAGTCAAGCTAATACAAATATGCCAAGTTCACCCGACAGTAGTTCAGATAGTTCTACTAGTTCGCCCCATCATCCTTATCCTAAATTAGAAGGTGGCCATCAATCAAACATCGAAGCTGAAACCAGTTTACCTGGAGTCGTAAGTTCTATTTATTCAAAGAATATCTAGTTTTTCACGATTCAATCGATTAATTCTAAATCATCACAGATTTTATCGCAAAGATCTCAATACACCGGCTTCCTGTTTCAACTAGCGGATTTGGGTTGTACCCTGGAACATGCTCAGTTGCGTGATTGTGCTCGGCATGTGCTACAATTGATTCCACCTGATACACTTACAGTAGCGCGATTGCAGTGGTTCTTCGGACGCTTTAAAGAAAATGAAGTTCCACAAATTTCTTCCATCGACGAAACCAACACCAGCGTCGGTACTTTGTTCTTTACGGCTAGTCCAAGTCAAGTTTTGTACAATTTAGAGGTAAAAATTTGTGCTATTGAATTTTTATATGAATTGGAAATTGATGTTTACGGAAAAAATTGTGTTTGAATATTGCAGGTTTTATATGCTCTTCTGATGCCGGCACTTGACCCCGTATCCGAGAAAGCGCGCGAATTTCAATTGAATCTAATGAAGAGCGGTGAAGCAGGAGTGATTTTAGACATGTTAACCAAAAACAATTTCCTGCCAAATGCCGATGAGACAACCAAGCGATTCGCTTATCTGACAGTCTTAAAACTCTGTAAATTCCTGCTCACCGTGATGGCAAATGTGCTAAAAGACTGGATAGATTTCAACACTTTGGCAATGTTAAACGATGACAATCAGGCGACAAAGCATCTGCCATTCCCTGTGCTGAAGCAGGCATTGCACAGTGTGCCCAGTCAGAATACCGAGTACATGTTGCGTTCGGTAGCCGATAAAATGAGCGGCATCTTTGTCAGTGAGATGGTACGTGAAGTTTCGGATATTGATAAGTTTCATCAGCTACTACTTCAGGCGCAAATGTGCGGATTGCCCGATGTCGCGACCATTCGTGCCATAATTAGATTAGCTTGGGCCGCGTCCAGCGGTAGTCTCAATCATGTGAACGCCTCGACTCAGGTTCTCCAGGAGATGCACGAGACCAATGCCCGGGAGCAGAGGACTTTAGATAATAACGACGTTTTAGGTATGACTTTACTTTATTCGATTATCTTTGATAATTATGAATTTATTAATCTATTTGTATATGTTGAGATAAGTTCAAATTAGTATTGAAAAGAAATCGAATACATTGTTTTACGATCAATTACTGAAGCCATGAGAAACGCTTGAAATTTCTGTCCATGAAAATTAAATTATGTAGTGAATTGTTCGTAAGAATAATTATCAAATCTATTATTCATATTTTCGCGAGACTCATCTTTGTAGGAAACAATAATTAAATAACCTATTAATAGTACATTACGATACAAGTGCGGGAAAGTAGATTCTTGTCTCGTGTGGCGCTTACGCCCGAGCGAAGCGAGAGTAGAAAGATACACGAGACGAGAAACTCTTTCCCGAACATGTGCCGTACCGTATTTTTTGATGCGACGTGTGGAAAGTGCAATTTTCAACGCACAATTTCTGACGAGCGTGCGGGAAAGACGTACTTTGCGCACGGAGTATCGAAAAATCGATTTTTGTTATTGATAAGAAATGTATTTCAAGTAGAAAAGACAAACTAAAATGATTATTTGACTTTTTATTATTACAGTTTGTAAAGAAGCGTTAGAAGTCTTAACGATAGCTTTTATATTAAATCCCCCGGCATTGGACGACTTGATGAAAGACTGCATGGTTCAGCATGGTCAAAACACTGCAAAAAATGATATGTGGAGCATCTTTTTGATAGACCTCGTACTAGTTAGCACATCGCGGGCAATCCGCGCCACTGCGGCCGAGCAATTTTTATTGATATCCACGTGGTGCAGTAGTGGTCATCATCCACTTCAATTCATTATCATTCGCCTATTTCCTCATATCAACACAACCGTCGTTGAGTTCGCCAAGCAGAGTCACGAATTTTTTCAAGTTAATCTCGTTTTATAATTTTATTATTTTTCAATAGAGTTTGAATCATTGATTATTCATTGTGTTTTTCAATTTGCAGCTGTTATGTAGGTTACTAAATTATGCACACATCTCCGGCTACCCGATCAATGCCGAGCAATGGTTGAATTTTGAAATCGTTTGGCTGAAAAACGTACGTGACCGTGTTCGAGATACTGGTGATACTCAGGTGGATGAGGCAGTCTTAGAAGGTCATCTAGCTTACGCTAAAGAACTTTTATCGTTTTTACCGGCCAGCAAAAAATACGAGTACGGATCGGATGAAAAGCGCGGTGTTAATTTAATTAAGGTCGGTAGTAGTTTTAACAATTGTCAACCATTTTATTTAAAACTTTATCGAATGATTAAAGTCTGATGGATAATTCGGTGGATGTTGCAGGAACTAGTGGAGGATTTCATATTTCCAGCATCGATAAGCATGTTGCAGCTGCGCAATACAGGTGAGCTGGGCTCATCGCAGGCGTGCCCGGTATGCACGACGCCGCAGTCAATCAGTGCGGCGTTCGACCTGCTGGTCAGTTTGTGCACGGGTTGTGTACCCAACATGAAACTTCTAGTCAGTATGCTCTGCGACATGTTCTACTCGGATAAGGATGAGCCGCTGGTCGAGTGGGATTATTTGCCACCAGTTGGTCCAAGGCCGCCACAAGGTTTCGTTGGTCTTAAGAATGCCGGTGCCACTTGTTACATGAACTCGGTGCTTCAGCAACTCTATATGGTAGAGAGTATTCGAATTGGTTTGCTCGCTGCTGAAGGAGCAGCTACCGATTCGAATGAGGATTTCTCCGGTGAAGAGAGGGTCGAGGGCGAACAGACTATTGAAGCTACCGATAACGATACTAACGAAGAAAAGTGTACTGCCGATGAGTCGCGCAAGGAATACAATATTGGGATATTAAAGCAAGTTCAAGCAATCTTCGGACACTTGGCCTACAGCAAGCTGCAATATTACATTCCTCGAGGTCTCTGGAAACACTTCAAGTAAGTTTTCATTTCGTTAACACTGAATCATTGAATTTTTAATCATCGATTGTAAGAATATTTTGGGATTTCAGACTTCAAGGTGAACCTGTTAATTTGAGAGAACAGCAGGATGCAGTCGAATTTTTTATGAGCCTTGTTGAAAGTTTGGATGAAGCATTAAAAGCTCTTGGCCATGAACAAATAATGAGCAAGATACTTGGAGGTTCTTACAGCGATCAAAAAATTTGTAAAGGCTGTCCCCACAGGTACTTTTTAATTAAAATCTAACATTTATTTGATCAAATCATTTCAATCATCTAATTATCTTACTATTTGAAGGTATTCTAAAGAAGAGCCTTTTAGTGTAATAAGTGTGGATATTAGAAATCATAGTAATTTATTGGACTCTCTGGAGCAATACGTCAAGGGTGAACTGCTTGAAGGGGCAGACGCATATCACTGTGATAAATGTAATAAAAAAGTACGTACCTATTAAGTTTTTACTCTGAATCTCAATTCAAAAAATTTTAGTCTAATGATGATATTGCTTTATTATAATAGGTTGTAACAGTAAAACGTCTATGTGTGAAAAAGTTACCTCCTGTTCTGGCGATTCAGTTGAAACGATTCGAGTACGATTTTGAGAGAGTCTGCGCCATCAAGTTCAACGATTATTTCGAATTTCCGAGGGAACTTGATATGGACCCTTACACAGTTTCGGGACTCGCCAAAATAGAAGGAGAGATCATAGACTGGGATAGCGAAGAGGCAATTAAAGGAACTTGCACCAAGTATCAATTGTCGGGTATTGTTGTTCACAGCGGACAAGCTAGCGGAGGCCATTACTATTCGTACATTTTACACAGGTTTGTCGACATTTTACGATTCTTTTACATACTGTTCACGATTGATTATAGCACGATTATATAATTTTAGACAAAGTGATGGATCGGGAAAATGGTACAAGTTTGATGATGGTGACGTTACTGAGTGCAAAATGGAAGAAGAAGAAGAAATCAAGTCTCAGTGTTTTGGTGGCGATTATATGGGTGAAGTTTTTGATCACATACTTAAGCGTATGAGTTATCGTAGACAAAAACGATGGTGGAACGCTTACATGCTCTTTTACACTCGAATTGATGTAGAGCAAAATTCACAGTTGAAAAAAGTGAATGAATTATCGCTTTGTACGTATATCTTGCTTCTTTTTCTACTGCTTTTAGAATCACTGATCTAAATACATATTACATTTTTAGATACGAAATTGGGAGTTACAAAAATGCCACCAGCAATTGAGCAAAGCGTTAGGAAGCAAAATATAAAATTTATGCATAATAGAAATCAGTTCAATGCAGAGTACTTTCAATTCATCAGGAAACTTGTATCGTGTAATCCGTACAATGTCAACCGACCTAATCACGAAAAAATTGTAAGTTTGAGATAACATACTTATTTATAACAATATACAATTTTATATTTTCAATGCCCGCAGAGCCCAGATGCCGAAGAATTGTCAATGTTATCTGTTCAACTGGCGTCAAAATTTCTATTTTTTACCGGCTTTCATACAAAGAAGACTTTGCGTGGGACTGCGACGGATTGGCATGATATACTTTGCCATCATTTGTTGGGAAGTAAAGCAGTTCGATCATGGTTTGCTCACCATGTTTTATTCAACTATCCGCATAGGTATGTTTTTTATGTAGTATTTTATAGAATGAACTTGACAGTTTTTATATTAATCAAATAATTTCTTTTATTAGATTTTGTGAATACTTGTTAAGCTGCCCAAGTACAGAAGTTAGAAATGCCTTTTTGAAAATTTTAGTTTTCTTGGCTCACTTTTCTTTACAAGATGGACCCTGTTTACCACCTCTCAATGCACCAAGTTAGTACAGCTATTGACTAACGATACGAATGTATGGATAATAAAAGTAACGTATGGTAATAAAAGTAATATATGTACTCTTACAGCTATGCTATTGGATCCGACAGCAACCTTGAGCGATCACTTATTACATGCAGTGCTAATGTTGCTTCACCGAGAAATTTCAGATCATGGTCGGCACTTACCTCATTATTTTGCTTTGTTCCTTACTTATGCGTCTATTGGTCTACCTCAAAAGTTACAGCTATTGAAGGTAATTTTGTTGGCTTCTATTTTCTTCTATCAAATACGTTCTACGACACTTGCTTAATTTTGACTTTTGATGGTTTCAGCTAAATGTGCCAGTGACGTTCATGCTCGTAGCTATCGATGAAGGTCCAGGTCCAGTGATCAAGTACCAATATCCGGAGCTTACCAAGTTGCACCAAGTTGTGAGCATTTTATTACGTTGTTGCGATGTGTCGTCGAAGGCTCAGTCTAGCAATGCCCAAAACAATGTTGCTCCACTGCCAAATCCTTATGGAGATGCAGCTTGCGGTCAAGATTATCTAATGCCTATTCCACCGTCAGCTGCTGAGATATTATTCAGTCGTACGAGTTACATGAAGAAACTTATTGAGGACGCGAGTGTTACCGAGGAGACAGTCAAGTTGTTGCAGTTCTGTTGTTGGGAGAATCCACACTTTTCACGCACGGTCCTCAGCGAATTGCTCTGGCAAATTGGTTTCGCTTATACTCATGAACTCAAACACCATACAGATTTACTTCTGGAAATGCTGCTTATGGAAGATTCTTGGCAGATGCACCGCGTGCACAATGCCTTGAAAGGTAAAATTGAACATCAATGAGCATTTGTTAAAATTGTTTGTAATACATTTAATGCGTGCCGTATGTAGGTGTACCAGACGAGCGTGAGGGCCTATTTGACATCATTCAAAAGAGTAGAAACCATTACCAGAAACGAGCTTATCAATGCATTAAATGCATGGTACAACTGTTTGGCAAATGTAGAGATGCCCATCGATTTTTATATTCGAACCTCGAGTTGAAAAAGAAGTGGGTTTTGGCAATTGATTGGCTTCAAGATGAATTGGATAAAGTTCGTATTCATTCAATGAATATCCATTGATAAATTTGTAATTGTTATTTTTTGTCGTTGAAACAGAGACCGTATACATCGTCTACACCATACACACATCCATACAACAATTGGTCACCGCCAGCTCAGTCGAACGAATCAACGAACGGCTACTATTTGGAACGCAGCAGTAGTGCTAAGAAAACGCTTGAACTCGCATACGAACTCTGTCCTGAAGAAGAGCAAGAACCCGAGGAGACGAGTGAGGACGGAACTGAGGAAGCGTCTGAAAGGTATAGTTAATTAAGAGCAGTTTGTAGAAAACTGAACTCTATTTTACTTAATTTTCTTTGCTAACAATGATCTAAAAATATATTAAAAATAACATCAATAAAACTTGTTATTTTTTAGTCATCAAGTGCAACTAGACGCTGAGGAGAAAGAAATTTTATTTGGAGCGCAAGATGACACTCGTAGGGTTAGAAAAAAAATCGTTTCGGTAAGCGTTAATTTCATCTATTTTTTTAGTCATAATTATAAGAATTTTGAAATTCTTTCCAATTAAATGTAACATTAAATTTACTATGTATCGCATATTATTTATGATTCATTTTTTAATCATTTGATTTTATAGAAAATGGATCGTAGAATTACAATTCTCGAACAAAAGGATTTTTATCTACGACAGAAGCAGCAGCAACAGCATGAACGTCAGCAACAAGAACAAGAACGACAGCAACAAGAACAACAACAGCAAGAACAACCTCAACCTGGACCGTCGCCAGTACATAAAACTCACGCTGACCATGCAAATATGAGTCCAAATCCATAGTAAATCGAGAATTTCGAAAGCCGGCGAAAACTAATCATTACCTCCACAGACACCATGTGGATTATATGATAAAATTAATAATGCCAACGCGCGTGTAAGACTTTACGATAAATGCATATAGTTGGTGTGTACATACGAAGCAAATGAAAAGAAAATGATCAACTGTCCATCGCAACTCGGAAGATTTTTAAGCGATGATTGTTAATTAACCACATTTTTAGTACTGACCAATAATACCTTCATTCATGCAGCTAATTTATTGCGAATTTCAGTTAATGCTGTACACAGATCATGGCGATAAAGTAAAATATTTAAGCGCAACATTGCATTTCAAAAGAAAAAAAGACGAGTTTGAAAAGTGATACAAAGATATATGTCATACGACGATAAAACACAAATACGAAAATAAAGACGATCGAAAAAAGAAAGCGATTCGAGTAGAGTGAGATACAAACCGTAATTTAACTAGTATTGTCATCCTTAAATTTTGCATGAAGTTCATACTATCGCATTTGTTATGCTATAAATAAGAAAAATGTCAAAAATAATTGTTAATAATGCATGTAGCAGACTTGGTTTTTTTTTGTGACAGTGGAAATCAAGCCCTAATGAGATAAATATTAATAGTTGATCCTCTTTAAACTTGTTGAATTGTATTTTTAAATAATTTTGAGTTTTTTCTATTGTACTTAAACTTAATGAAACAAGCAGGCACTTGAAATTTTACACACTAGAAAAAACTGAAATAAAGAAATTTTTAGAATTGAAAAAAAATTTGATTGATTAGATAAACTTAATTTTTTTATTTTAACCTGTGGAAATAAAGATATTATGAGACTGAATCTTTGAGTATAATTCATTTAAATTTTGGATGCTGCATACATTCAAAAAATATATAAAGAGAAGTTTTAATTTGAATCAAAATTTTGTACAAGAGTTGAGGATAACTGAAGAACCTAAATCATCTTCGATGAATTAATAATAGAGACTATGTTTTAAGAGCTTCGGATGAGAATTTGAATAGAATTATCCATTGTATCGTTTTAAGATGCAATTTGTAATGTCGGAGCTGCAGCCATTTTCATAAAAGAATAATGCAATGAGTACTTGAAACGATTGATACTCATGGAATAATCCAAGCTCTGATGTAATTTTTAAGATATGTCATGTATAAATAATTTTTCATAACAAGGAAAAGAAAAACCAAGTCAAGAATAAATATAAGTGAAAGTGATTTTATGTTCACTCCAGTTTATATAACAGGCGTTACAAAACTTTAACGCTCACGTTGTGAGATGACATGATTATAAGGATACATAAGTGTCGAATCTATTGTCATATTTGTAACTCAATCGAGAAAACATACCAAACAAATAATAGCTTTTTAAACGCGTTTACTAAAGCACTAAAACCAATTTTCAATGCTAATACTACCTAATCTTGATTGGAATATGTAAATATGCAACAGCTTTTTTACGTGTGATAAAACAAATAAAAGTTATTCTTATTACACTTGGAAGCGAGTGAAGAGGCTAGTGTAAATCTTGGTTTTGTAAACAAACATTGTATCATATGTTTTTTTACGTTTAGAAGGGCAAGTATATAGTTTAATAATATTATTTAATTTATAATTAATTCAAGCCCATTTTGCTAAGAGTAGCACTGTGTATAGTAGTTGAGAAATCCGAGTTGATGAAATCCACATACTCACAAATACCTAAAATGCATTGAGTACGTATGGAAAGAATTTAGAACTGAATGTATTTAGAAAAAAACAAGTCATGGTGTCATGAGATAGTGTCATTTTTCTAATATAATATTTTTAGTAATGCGCATGCGAACTTTGAGTATATAGATATACAAATGATTTGACCAACAGCATAAATAAAACCACTTAAACAAATGAAGTTTAAATGATCCGAATAAATAAGAAAATCATTCTCGACAGGTATAATATAATAATGTTCGCGACAAACGACAGATTTGTTACAGCGAGGGCGATATAAACTCGATTGAACTTAAAACAAAGTATCGAGATCACTTTATATATTTCATAATGACGGTATGTGGATGTGCTTGTGTATTTTGTATGTACAAGTGTGCGACGAATGTATTATCAAATAGAAATGGATAAATTGAAACAAAAAAAAAAATTAACAATATCACTATTGGATAAATAATTGTGTGAAAGATCGAAGAAAGACGGAGTGACTTGGAAAAAGATATGTCATGCGCCGTATTATCAAGTTTTCGTCATATTTAAAAGATAAATTGTTACCTATTGCAAGTTTAAAAGAAATTCATTGAATTCTCGTTAAATTGAAAGGAATTGTAATTTTTAATTGTTACATTGATTAATTGCCAAATGCTATGAACTAGTGAACGTTTATTTAAGAACGCTTTTTGCGCGTTCCTCGAATAATGGATTCATCGGAAAAAAATCATGCGCAATGTTTACTACATTTTGTTTTTAAACTATCCGAATCGTGTTTCTTTCTCGATTACGAGAACATGTCTTCGAAGCTTGATTACCGTTCATACACGAAGATAAACTATGCGAAAAGAAATGTGTAGCGCTTGGAGCAAAAAGTAAACGAAAAAAGAAAAAAAATAAAAAGTAAATTATCATCGATTATATATCTGTGTTTAATACATTTGGGAGTAATACCATTTGGAAAAACGAAAACATAAATGGTGTGCAAGCATTTGGCATACAGCTTTAAAGACAATTTATGAATTTTGTCATATAGAATAACTATGAAAGAGCGATATTTAAGCAATGTATTTACTCTGCTAATTTTGCATGAATGCGTGGAAAGTTAGATGCAACTGCTGCATGCATTTGCGCTTTAGTTTGTCAATTTTTTGTTGAAATAGATGGAATAAGTGATAGTAAAATTTATAAGAAACCAAGGATGTTCACTGCTAAATATTAGCGTAAAAGCACTGCGCTTTGTTATTTACTGTCACCTCATAATTTATTTCTGTATAAATAGCAGTTTACGTTGTTAGAAAGTTATGGATAATAACTTTATAAGCAACAGTCGCGTTTTGTTGAAAATCTAGCGTTTGAATCAAATGCTATATTGTATAATAAATTGTAAAAAAATACCCACAGATAATGAATGCGAAAAAAGCGGTAATTTTTCATCATTAAGTACATTGTAAAGAGTATTTCTCTTTCTAATTTATTTATTAGACGTTCTTTCGATTTAGTTGGATAACAGTAACATCAATAAACAGAGTAAAACATAAGTATTTAGTAGTGGACATTTTTTGCATGATTCATCAAGAAAATCATCAAACTTTGAATTTTAATCCAAGTGCATTCTTAAATTGCCTAGATCACCGACAAATAATGCACTTGGAATCGTCGACGAAAAGAAAATTAATAAATGCGTTGTTACACCTTCAATCGAATAGTTATAGCTGTCACATTGACTTCCACTTGGCGAGAAGATGCTTCGAATCGTTTTTACTGATTTTTAGCGCTCTCTACAAATACTTGACTGCCAAAAATTAGACAGATCTGTTTTTCACTTTTCTCCTTCCTATCTGCAAGATTTCTCAGTCTCGTTCACACCAATACGCATTGGAAATTATTTTTGCAAATATTTGCCCTCCGAACATCGAATGCCCAGCCAGCTTGTGAACAACTAAGTGGACTTACACATCCTCGCTTAATAATAACCACGCTGGATAGGGACGTAGTAGCCGTTGAGCTTTTATTTATTTCGAGATAATACCGCAAGTGCGAATCCAACGACGAGTCGAAGGTACAAATCCTTCGTGGAGACGCGCGCAAAAAGTTTTACTAGCCCCGTGACACGCGGACACGACATTTACTGTATTTCGCACTTGTAAATAATATAAGCTCTATTCCCGTATGTCGCAGTACGATTTATCTTTTTCTTGGCACGCGCCCTTACGCCCGTGGGAATCGTGGGAGTCTCGCTGCCATACCGCTGCTGCGATGCGCCGATAATAACGAGGCTAAATCGATGCGTACGCTGATCCTTTGGCCGGCACTCGGCAGTTTGCTCGGAATCTGTCGATCGATTAGAGTCACGCAGCCCTTTGGTTTTGTCAATTCTTCAGTCTACCAATTGTGGATCAGCAAACTGGCGGCAACGGATGATTATGTAGCTTCAAGACGACGGGGGACTAGCAACGGGGCTCGCACCACGCAGGAAGCGAAGGAAGTCGACCGCGCGTCGTCGCACTTGACGAATCGAGTGCTGCCGCGAGAGAGGACAAATCGTGTGGAAGGCGCAACAATATTAGCTTGAATAGCGATGCCACTTGGAGACTACGAATCGAAGCGAAAGCGAACAAAGCTTTTGCTGTAATATATGTTGATAGATGCGCGTTTATCCGAGCATTTCTCTTGAATTTCGCGTTGTCCGAACAAATAAATAAATGGCTAATGACCTCGCGATTATTTATGACGCTTGCGCGCGCGCGTGTGTGTGTGTGTACGTGAGAGAGAGAGAGAGGAACAACGTCAGAGCCGAATATCGATATTATTATTACAATCATATGTATTGCCATTATTGAAGAGTGATGTTGTATACGTGAGTGAGAGCGAAAGAGACATAGCTGCGAGGCAAAAAGAATGTTATATTTATGAGAGAAAGAGTCGGAGCGATGATTATTTACGAGCCAGATCGCGGCTATGCGCGCGATCGAACTACGAGAGGGCAGAGTGCGGAATTTTCGCCGAACATGTCATTAGGCGCACGGAAGAGCTACGAGAAAGAAAACCGTTTTATTTTCTTCTACTTTTCCACTCTTTATCATTTCTATTGTTCGTTCGTCGTCGACTGACTTGGCGTTTCTCCTTTTGTGTATTATCGATTAATTTCTCAAGAATGTAATAAAAATCGTTAAACTTGTAGACGATGACTTGTCGTTTTCTCATCCCTTCCGCAAAAGATACGAAAGCGAGTCTTTCACCGATAAGGCCGGGCGTCAAAGTGCGACTCGGTCGAGCAGGCGGAAGCTGCGCTCGTGCAAGTTTGTTCGCGACAGACACTGCGGCACAATGGCCAACTGTTCGCTACACGGCGAGGCGACGGGGGCGCAATGGCACAACGCTTCATTATGGAAGCTCGCGAGAACGAAAATCTGAAAGCCGCTCATTGAGCTGCAGGCCAGCGAGATAAAGGCCGACGAGAAATTCGCCGAGCTTCGAGACACACGACGATTATGCGAGCGTCACTATCGGCGCGGGCTTATCTAAAGCATTCGACGAGAAAAATCGATTCGCGCTGTTCGCGTGCTGTCCCCTATCTCGACGGAGTGGGACGAACGCGGATGAGAACTTATCGCCTTACCATTGGCATTGGACACTAGTTGGCCTCGCTCGAGAGCGCCCAGAAACCTGGCCGATCGCGGAGTCGCGCCACTCGTTCCCTCGGCTTCGAGCGGTGAGTTGACTTTCGGCTTGGCCGCGGCTGCGCTCCTCCATTGCTCGGCCGCGTCAGGCGCGGCTATCTCGCGAGCGCAGCCTCGGTCCGACGTCGCGGCGCTCGCAATCGGACAAAGGCGCGATCGCGCCGAGGACTGATATTGCGCGTCGACTTTGTAGCCCGACCATGGAGCACAAGTTCGTCTGCATCAAGGACTTCGAGAAGCACGCCCTCGACAACTTAACGCCCGCGGTGCGCGACTACTACAAGAGCGGCGCCGGCGACGAGGACACCCTCAAGTGGAACAGGTCTGCCTTCAAGAAGCTGCGGATCCGCGCGCGGGTGCTGCGCGACGTCTCCAAGAGGGACATCGGCACCACGGCGCTGGGCGAGCGAGTGTCGATGCCTCTGGGCGTCTCGCCGACCGCCATGCAGAGGATGGCCCATCCCGACGGAGAGTGCGCCAACGCGAAAGGTCAGTGGGCGAAGCCAGCCGGGGCTCTCGACTCGAAGCGACTCGAAGCGACTCAAAGCCGGGCTCGGGGGTGTTTGCGTGCTGCAGCCGTGCAGGCGGCCGACACCGTGTTCATCCTGTCGACCCTGTCGACGAGCAGCATCGAGGAGGTGGCGGCCGCGGCGCCCCGCGCCATCAAGTGGTTCCAGCTCTACGTGTACTTCGACCGGGGCGTGACCCTCGACCTGATACGCAGAGCCGAGAGGGCAGGCTTCAAGGCCCTCGTGCTGACCGTCGACACGCCGCTCTTCGGCGACAGGCGGCTCGACATCAGGAACAAGTTCGCGCTGCCGGCCCACCTCAAGTTCGCCAACTTCGAGGGGCACCTCTCGGACAAGATCAACCGCTCGGAGGACGGCTCGGGGCTGAACGAGTACACCAACGACCTGTTCGACGACTCGCTCTCCTGGGACGACGTCGACTGGCTGAGAAGGTTTGTGTGCGCCGCGAGCGCCAGGCCGCCGCGCTGATACCCCCCCAATCGACCATTGACCGCAGCGTCACCGAGCTGCCGATCGTGCTGAAGGGCATCCTCACGGCGGAGGACGCCGTGATAGGCGTCGAGCGCGGGGCCAGCGCCATTCTGGTCTCCAACCACGGCGCGCGCCAGATCGACGGCGTTCCCGCGTCGGTAAGCCGCCGGTCGCGCCGGTCGCGCCGCCGCGTCAGTCTCTCATCCGAGCGCCCCGATTGCCGTTGCAGATCGAGGCGCTGCCGGAGGTCGCCAAGGCCGTCGGCGACAGGGTCGAGGTCTACATGGACGGAGGCATCACCCAGGGCACCGACGTCTTCAAAGCCCTGGCGCTGGGCGCCAAAATGGTACGCAAGCGAAGCCTCGATCCTCGGCCCGCTCGGTCGCTACTTTCTCGCAACCACGACCGTTCCGTAGGTGTTCTTCGGGAGGCCGATGCTGTGGGGACTGACGTGCGCCGGCGAACAAGGAGCTCGAGCCGTGCTGGAAATGATGAGGCGAGAAATAACTCTGGCTTTCGCCCTGGCAGGTACGAGCCAGCTCCGACTCCGTCGCGCGCTCTGTCGATCCCTTTTGTCCGACAGGCTGCTCCAACGTCAAGGAAGTCACCAGAGACATGGTCGAACACGAGTCCACCTACAGTCGTCTCTGATCCGACGATATCCAAGTATTTCGTGCATTCGGAGGACAAACATCAGGCGACGCGAAGGGACAAACCGATCAAAGCTGTAATGCCTTTATTCGCATTTTCATTGATAATTAAAAGACTAACTATAACAATGACGAATAGACTTGTAACCGTATACCCACTGAGATACATTATCGTCGACACACACTTGTACATTCGCTCGCTATTGGCACAGTTTGGAATACAGTCGAGTCGTTAGGAAAGACGTAGCCTATTGCAGTACAATGATATGGTAAGTCTCGTGGCTCGAAATCGCGTTTTAGATAGCTCTGTGGCCGACGAGCCTACTAATCTTTTCTATTCTAGACAATTTTCAAGGTCCCCAAGTGGCAAGTAGAATATGACACATCGGTCGCTGTACGTATGCAGTCGATATATAATAATATTTATAAACTAATATCAAGAGTTACGTTTGTTGGCACGACGAGCCAAAGATACCCTATTTGCATACGAGTCTTAAAAAACGATCGCTTCATTTTTCTCTTCCCGTCTACTCAACTTGTCTCGCCTATCACAGAAGTTCTCGCGCTAATGTCACATATTTTTATACGAATTCTTATCACACTATTATTTATTATATTTACAACTTTCCTTATGATTACGTTATTGCTTGCGTAATGCTCGCCTTATAATAAAACCCTCGATTGTTATATCCATTTGGGGATTGCAATGAATATTTTAGAAGTAGGCAAACGTTAACTCAAACTCCAAGTAAGTACTTGTTATGGAAGAGTGTTTGCGTAAGGCAGTGGATGAAAGTAGTACGTGTAATATTGTAGCCAAGTCAATTCCTAGTGTATACATGTATATATAAATTGTGTGAGTGTATGTGTATATAATATATATATATATATATATATATATATGTATATACATATAAAAAACAATCATAATATAATACAAATAATTTAAACAATCCGCTTAGGGCGAAGGAGGGAGTTAATAGTGTAATTAATTTAATGTGCTCCTCGTAAGCTGCCCTAAGCTCCCTAAGCGGCTCGAGAAGTAGACGACACCACACCGGCGGGGATATATAAGGAGCGACGATCCTCACGGAAGCCAGAAGGGAGGACGCCGTCGAGCTGGCAGCAGTTGCAGAAGTGTTCCGGCACCCGCTTCTGATAGCGAGTCTAGCTTGCTTAAGCCGGGTGCAGTATATATGTACGTATGTGTGTGTGTATGTTGTTTAATTTTTAAATCATGCATGCGCGTTGTCTTAGCCGGAACACTGCAGCAACTGCTGCCAGCTCGACGAGAAGCGCATTAAATTAATTACACTATTAACTCCCTCCTTCGCCCTAAGCGGATTGTTTAAATTATTTGTATTATATGATTGTTTTGTTGTGTGTGTGTGTGTGTGTGTGTGTGTGTAAACATATACGTTTATGTATATACATATACGTATATATATGTATATATACTTATAAATATATTTATATATGTATATATATATATATATATGTGTGTATATGTATACATGGCACATTCCAGACTATGACGATCAGCTTTTCAGTGGTAGATTTTGGATTTTCTCGAGACTTGGTCTATAGATTGCTTATATGGTACTGTATTCAAGTATGGATTATTAAATCATTATAATAATTATATCAAGAGTTATAAACAATTGAAAATTTTTGGCGAAAAGTCGGTAAGTCGGTAAGTTTGATAGCAGCGCCGATGCGCGGCCGGCAAGCGTCGGAAGGCCTGTCAGCGTTCACTATTATCGCTCACTGTGTCGCATCTAATGATCGCTCGATGAATTTTAAAACGGATTCTTAAAGATAAAATGTCAAGGAATGCAATAAAAAAAGAATTTTTAAAATCAAAATAATACTTTTTGAGATATGGGTAATTGTTTAAAAAAAATGTTAATAACTTAAAAATTGATATTAAAGTATTGTTCACTCAATATTTTCAAAGTACACCCTTATATGCGTAATTTGAAAAAAATCGCTTCAATAACTTAAATGGTTGCGGAGATATAAATTTTTGAAAATTTTTCGTTAAAAATTTTCAATTGTTTATAATTCTTGATATAATTATTATAATGATTTAATAATCCATACTTAAATACACTACCATATAAACAATACGTAGACCAAGATTTAAGAAATTCTGAAACCTACCCCTGAAAAGTTGATCGTCATAGTCTGGAATATGCCCTTTATGAAATCGCTGCACAACTTGTAACGGAAGACGATCGTTAACGAGAACGCTCGAAGACGCGTAGGCATTTCATTCGAAATCCATGCGTGTTTTCAAATTGGAAATTGCCTGCCGGCTCATTATCGTGAACCGGAGCAAACGCGCGTTGTTGTTTTTCACCGGTGTTGTTCTCCGTTCGGCTTGCACTCCCCGTGGGCGTAAAATAATTTCTTAAGGCACGGCCGCACGCTGCACTTCGACGGACAAACGGAAAGAAGAGGAAGAGACGTCGGCGCTTGGCCTTCGGATGCTCGGCCCCCGCTCAAGCCTCCAGTCGGCGGCGGCCCGCGGACACGGCCCCGTCCCGGCCGTTCGCGTGCTCGACCCGCCACTTCTGCGTGGGAGAGTCGGGCTCGCAGTCGGCGACGAAGACCGCTCGGCTCGCCGGGTCCACGTCCAAGCACCTCGCGCCGTAGCCGTGCAGCAGCCGCTGCTCGGCCACGTCGTAGCGCCAGAGCTGGTTGCCCTGCTTGCCGTGGCACGGGTAGAGCGCGACCGGGGCCCGCCGGCCCGCCTCGGACACGTCCAGGCAGTCGGGCCGCCCGCCCGGCCGGATGTCCTTGCGCCAGGTCAGCGAGAAGTCCTGCTCGCCGCTGGCGGCGCCCGGGCGGTCCGCCCGGCAGACGTCCGCGGCCACGACGTCCCGGCCGGCCCGCCGGGCGACGTCCAGGCAGAGGCCGCCGGCCCCGAGGCTGCGGACCTCGCCGAAGGCCAGGTCCTCGGGCTCGACGGGCGGGTAGGCCTCGACCAAGTCGAAGGCCACCTCCTCGATGAACCACTTGAAAGGCCGGCAGCGCAGCCGGCGGCGCAGCGCCTTCTGCTCCGACAGGTCGCCCGGGTCGAGGGTCCTGAGGTGCGGCTTCCTCCTGTAGACGAACTCGGCGTACTCGTCCATCCAGACCTGGGCGACGCGCTTGTAGTTCCTGCCGAGGAAGTCGCCGCGGCCGGGGTTCGGGAAGGGCGGGAACTTGCGGTAGACGTGGCCCACCCTGGAGCAGGGCGCGTCGAGCAGCCGGCCGCCGCACTGCCAGATCTTGAAGGAGAGCTCGTACTGCTCGCCGCCCCAGATGTCCAGGCCGGGGTCGTAGCCGCCGAGCTCCCAGAAGAATCGGGCGCTGATGGCGAAGAGGCCGCCGGCCATGACGGGGCTGGGGAACGGCTCGACCGGCCGGGCGAGGTCGGCCGGCAGCAGCGGCAGCCGCTTGTAGTAGAGCTCCCAGTCGAAGGCGCCGCGCGCGCCCTCGTCCTGCGCCCGGTACTCGAAGCTGTCGTGGGCGACCACGTCGATGAGCGGGCAGACGCAGGTGCGGTGGTCGCGCGCGATGGGCTCCAGCAGCGGCGGCAGCCAGTTGACGTTCGCCTCGGTGTGCGAGTCGAGGAAGACGAGGACCGCGGCCGCGGCGCGCCGGGCGCCGGCCAGCCGGCCCCTGATCAGGCCCGCGCGCCGCGGCAGCCGCACGACGCGCGCCTGCGGCAGGTGCCGCGCCGCGTACGCGTCCAGCCCGGCGCCCAGCTCGGGCCTGGTGCTGGCGTCGTCCACGAGGACGATCTCGCGCAGCAGCGAGCGCGGCGACCGGTTGACCACGCTCCAGCAGGTGCGCAGCAGGGTGCTCAGGTGCTCGTTGTGGAAGGAGATGATCACGGACACCGGCTCGAGGCGGCGCGGGTAGCGCTTGCGCCGGCACTCGGGGTGCCGGATGTCGGGCAGCGAGCGGTTCACCGATATCGCGTCGCTCAGCGCCGCGTTGAAGCCGTTCGCCTTGTACAGCTGGTCCTTGCGCGCCTCCAGCCAGGCCGGCAGCTCGGCCGGCGCGCCGTGCTCGCCGAGGCCGCGCCGCCGGCCCTCGGCCTCCATGCGCGCGTAGTCGTGCCAGTCCGCCTGCCCGTCCGGCCCGTCCGGCTCCTGGCGGCAGAGCAGCAGCCGGCTTACGCCTCGGTCCGCGGGGCGGCGAGCGCGCGACGTACCTGGGGGGGCTGCTGCGACGGCGACGAAGCTCGGCGGTGCTCGCCGGGCGTCCGGACCGCTCGGAACACCAGCGTGGTCAGCAGCACCGTCAGCGCCGCCAGAGCCACGAACTTGAACCAGCTCGCGAGGTTGCGCCTCATGGTCTCAGCGGCGCATCGCGGCTCGCGCGGTCGCACTCCACCCAGCGCTTGGCCAGCTGCTTCGGCCGCGATCCGTCCGCGAACAGATGATCGACGCCGCGTGGGGGCCGCGAGCGCGCCTGCGCCGAGCTCGTGACGTGGCAACCGGCTGATCGCCGACACAGTGTCGAGTAGCGTGGGATGTCCAGTCGGTCTTGGGACTGATTGCATCGCGCGATGCGTTACTGATGTATCGTTTACGGGAAGAGAGCTTTAAGCCGTTAATCAGATATCGTTTTTCTGTCTATGCAACTATTTCGCGTTCTTTTCAAAACGCCAACATATTTATCGAAATGCTCTTGTCGTCGGATCTCGTCAATAGTCGCGTTCACTTCGATCGCGGCATTTCTTTTCGCGACATCCTATGGAAAGTCTTTGCGAATTCTTACGTATATGTTTCAGAGTATTATTATGAGTTTCGAACGTAAAATGAGTATCAACTGAATCGAGTTTTCTTTCGACAGAATCGCACCTTGAGCATCATCAGAGTCCGACAACCAATAGAAACAAAGAAAAGAACAGCTTCGGTATTAATGAGATCTGATCATTGCAAGCTGATGGAGTAATTATATTTCGCTGTTTTCAATAAACTTACTAATAAACTTTATAGCCGTACTCTACGAGATTCGCATCAAATATTTGCTGGAACAATCGAATAATTTCTTTCGATAGATACAACTAACGATAAACAATGTGAGCAACTTTCGAACGTACGTTTGTATAACGACTTATATTACACGAAAGGCGCATTACGAAAAGCTGCATTTTGGGATTCAGGAGAATGATAAAACCTACTAATGAAATCACCAGAGTTAGTTATGTATATATATATATATATATACATATATATGTATATATATATTATGTATATATTTTTTTTCATCTTCATTTCATATACAGTACACATGTATAGAACGCACAGCATTGTCCGTCGATTGAAATATACGAGCGGCCCATACAATTATAGGATCTCTTTTCACAAATTTTTGTTTGTTTCTTTTGGTTTTGTTAAATCTATATCATTTGACTAAACTTAATCTCACATCTCTCGGTCCCCTGCTCAATTGCCGATAAATATATATCACCAATCCTTTAAGGAGCTAAGCATCATTTACAATATATCTCTGTTGTGTCTTTTGTATATCCTCGCCTCGCTTCTGGCTTGCAAGTTGGTCAATGCAACGCGTGGTATTAATACTTTGAATTTACTTATGTGAATATAATCGCTATATTGACTGTTCCTTTTTCTAAGTCGTCTGTTAAATTCATAATCTTTTTTATAAGTTTTCTTTAACTATAAGAACGCTATGTGTTTTTGCGCATGAAATTGGCATTGAACATACGCAGCTTTTTCCTCGAAAGGAGATCACATTTCACCTCCTGTCGCTGTCGGCATACGTATTAATTTATAATTTTTTGCTCCTCTTTAGTTCGCGATCGGCTCGTCCTGCAACGAGTGTCTCGCGTTTGTTTCGTCGCTTGCGGGATTTCGCTGATGGACTAGTGTGTTCCTACGTGGACAGGGATGGATACGCTTTCAGACGGTAGTAGAGCTGCATTTCTCTCCAACGTTGCGACTCGCGTAAAATTTGCTTCTCGCTAAGCTCGCCCCCTTTCGCTCCCACCCAATGTATTACAGTCTGTCAGCGATGCCAGCCATCGGCAAAATCAGCGTTTCCTCCCGTTTGCACCTCTATTCTCTATTCACACCTACGTCTCTTGATCTCGCTCCACCTAATCGTTAAAATTTTCCATTTGTAATCATGAGATGTGAGATGAGAAGTTGTGTTGACACACGTACAATCTACAGGCTTAAATCGAATTTCCGAAGAGCAAAAATAAATATCTCTTTGTATATCTTTGTTTACTTTTTGTCTGCTTTCCCTTTTCTTTATAATAGTTTTTCTTTTAAATATTTCATCTCTGTACACAGTGCATTGTTCGACTGGCTAATATATATATTTTTCGTACAACTCTGGCTTACATCTCGTGTTTTTTTTATCGCTCATTACATTATTCTGTACATGGTTTTTTTTAATATTAAAATCTTTTCAATATATTCGGAAAGTCGATTTATTTACAATAACATTTTTGTTCTCTCTTTACAATATTTCCGCGGTCTCTATGTTATTCTTTTGATACTGCATGTGCTCGAGCACGTTTATGAATCATGTATATAGCATCATCTTTAATGTATATCGCGTGTGTTTATATGTTGTGTAATATTTTGAATGTATGTACGAGTTTGTTTGAAAACGTAACGCGCTGATCTTTTCTCTTTCTTTTGTTTACTTATTGTCGAGAGATACTCTCTGAACGATTTTTCTACTGATTTTTTTCTTTCGGAGATTCGTTTGTTTTTCTTTTTGTTCTTTTGGATCTTTCATCGAAAATCGTTCGTTTTTCAATGCATCGGCAACAAACATGCTTATAAAAGAAAATCTATCCTTGCATGTTGACGCTGGACATCGAGCGTGAGAATCCAACGACGCATCAGCGCGTCTTGCCTAGATTTACAACTACGCGATCGCGTTACAATCTGCGTCTCGAAAGAAACGTAACGAATCTCTCGTGATCCGCGCTCCGTTCGGTTTCTGGCATCAGTAGCGAGCGGCACGACATTTCCGTCCTCGAATTTCCCACCGCGTCGAAAACTGCCGCAACGCGCCACTCCAAAGGAAAAGTCGGACTCCGTACAACGCAAGTGTAGCATTCTCTTTAGCCCTTAATTTTATTTTTTTTTTTTTTTCGTTTAAAATTTTTTTAAACAACAATACGCAGTATAACCTAGTATCGATAGTACCTAACACTTACACAGTTAGTAGATTGGATCTGCCTACAGACATAAGGTGCGTCCGCACGCGGAGGAATAAAGATGAGACGTGCGCGTCTCTTCCGTTATAACTATACTTCGAAACTTTATGCTTTCTTTTTCTTGTTTATTAAAGTCGAAGAGAAGGTTCACCTGACTGTATTATTTTTTTTATAGAAGTGTAAAATTCTTATTATTGGTCCAGAGAAGTTTTTTCTCATGGCATTATATTCGTGTCGTTTTCTCAAATGGGATTCTTATTAATATTTTGACAAGAGAGAGAGCGGCTCGACTATATGGCTTTTATCATTTACTTTGACTAGATCCAACGATATGTACAGATTTTCCGATGGGATATATAACGAACTTTGAGAGTTTGTAGATAAGAGTTATGAATTATATGTTTGTCTTGTTTGCTTGGAAATGGTGTACACGAACTACGTTCGCTTCTTCCGCGGTCGACTGGCTTTCATATTATTTTCCATGATCATTCGTTCCGATATTTCTTTGAGCGCTGTCAGGAGAAACGAAAAACTGAAAAACAAAGTTATTTTTCGTCGTTTTTTTTTGTTCGAGTATACAGTCAGTCGAGAGTGTTTTGTATGTTTATTTGTTCGTTCGTTCGTTCGTTCGTTCGTTCGTACGTTTGTTTTTTAAGGTGTGATTACACTTTTATACATCGATCTGATTAGCTCTACTTGTTACATAATATACGTAGTCGAAGTAATTGTCTAAACATCGAATAGACGAACTAAAGCTCTACGCAGAGTCTGGTTTGTATGAACTATCGAACAAAAAGGAGGCGATCCGTTTGTTGTATTCATACAAAACGAGGGAACGAAACGAAGCAACGCTAATTTGGGAGAGCGCGAGGCCTGAATCAAGGTGACTCGTGCTCGCGGCGCAATGGTGTCATCGCGTGTGGCTTATAGGCTGTCGACAGGGATACCTGCCAACTTGAAATCTATATTTACTTAGACGCGTGTCTATGATATATTTTTCGCGAGGAACTACGTTTCGCTTGCTCGCCTCAACAAAACTAAGATATTTACGCGAGGCCCGCGAGCAACCTTTCTTGATTGTTGATAGCCGTGAGCTTCTTTTGCATGCACGTCTCTCGCGTGCGAATTTCCTAGACGCTCGTTTCAATGATACTCGGCTGTTTTGCTCTTGCTTCTCTCAGATAAGAACGACGACATCAACAACAACATGACTATAAAGAGCTAAGAAACACCGAGAGAACATCAAGTGCGTCTTTGTTTTTATGCGTTTTCAATCCCTGCAGTCAGTCTGAATCTAATTGACAATGTAACGAGAGGTTCTCTTTTTTTTTTTTTATTTTGCGATTGACGATTTGCGGTTATATTTCTTCGAACTATCTTCGTCGAGAGAAAAAACTTAATTTTTTTTTTGTTTTTTAAGTCTAAATCTTTTTTTTATACCAAAAATTGCATTATTCCGATGAAAGTAACAAAGTGTCAAATTATCGAAAAATCACAATTGCGCGTTTCTTTCTCGCTCTCTTCTAGAATTCCGTAACCAAATAGAATTGACTTTTTTGGATTTCGAAATAAACGCTGATAACGCTTTTTCCTCGTCTGTATTCATCGTCTCTGTAGAATTATTTTAAAAACTATGATTTATCTGCAATTTCTTTTCGTCAACAATAATTACGCATCTAATTTCGTACAGCGTGTTTGAATAATAAACATCAACAACGTTAACATTCGCCGATTTTCATCTATACGCAAAGCACGATATCTCTCGATTCGATTTTCAAAGGATTTTCGTCAGTAGAGCCGATAAACTTCTAATTGCAAATCTTTACTGCGTGACTCTTCAGTTGTTTGTTTTTTATAACACCTCGATAACATCGAACATTAATATTACATTGATTAAACATTAATCGTTGTCCAATGACATCACGTGATTACAGGATCTACAAATTAATCCGAAATCTTTTGCAATTTTTTTGTTAATCAAGTTTATAAGGAGTATGTTTTTCTTTTTTTCCTTTCTTATATCGATAAAAGCATTTGTTTTCTTTTGTTTTCACCTCATTTGAACGAAACGATGATATATGGAACTATCTTTCAGGATTATAATCGAGATCTGAATTGAATCGGTTAACAGATTCGGGGCAGTGTGCTAATAAATCTCGTAAAAAAGTCGTAGTTTTCCCGAAATTTCTTTTATCAGAAAATCGATATGACAATTTATTTGTTTGACCGTGTAACTAAATGCTTGCGTTCATATAATATTAAATTTCAACCTCGAACGTGTTAAGTTTGTTGAGTTACGTACGAGTTTCATTGTTTTCCAGATGTTTTCTTTTGTATTTCGACGACAATAAACGGAATTTCGCTTATGAAAATTATGCGTAACTCAGGCAATTTCATAATTCAGATTCTCGATTACAAAGAAGTTAATTCTACAGCTGATTCCACAAACTGGACCGTGTAATTTATAGTCGATTCACATTAGATAAGCTACATTTTACAGTGCTTAAAGGCAGTAACATGATATTATCTCATTTTTTTTATAAGTTTTCTTCATTTTTTTGTTAAATCTCGCAAACTTTTCTGTGCAGGTATTACGCATACTCCCGGATTGTTACGAGCTAGCTGTAACAATGTCAACCATTATCGACAACAAATTGATAACTTTACTTTGGGTTAAATATGAAATGACTTATATAGCCTTTATATAAAGCGTATATATACATACGTGTAAACTAATTAGCCTTTACCTACTCTCTGCGTTATCCAATTTAATTATTTTCTTGTTTATAAGTATTTTTTTTCATAAAAGATTCAAAAGCAGCTTAGTAAAACATCAGGGAGTAGCTTTGGTATCACAAGATACCAAGGGCACGTCTAGTTCCCTAATCGTACGCAGTTTCTAGACAAAACTAATCAATATATATTTTTAACGCTTATAATTGTTTTGTTTTACTATGCGGTTGTACGACGCATCTGTACTGCGACTAGCAAGCTGCCGATTATAATTGCTATTACAAAAAACGTTCTAATTTTCACTTCGTTTTTCATTCGATTTATTTAATCTTACCATCGAAACCATGACTGTGCGCAACGTCTACTGCAAATGTATTTTCTTTTATTTTCTACCTGCCTCGTCTTCTTCATCACAACTCACATCGAATCCTTGTTAATAGTTTTTTTTCATAGATCTCGATTCCTTCGAATTCTATGATTGTTCAAGCTGTACCGACAGATTTCAATTTGTCTTCCACAAGCTTGAATACGTGATTCATTGTCGTGTGCGCATGTTTTGTCGTAAGTTTCATTAGTTTGTTTCATTATTGAAAACGTGTTACTTTTTTTCTTCAGCGCGCGGATAGAAAAATCACTTCGAAAAAACTAGAGGAGGATCGTTTTGACTCCCTAAAGAGCCCCAAGATCAACAGTTCTTATCATCGAAAAATGCTACTCGCAGTTCGATTATAAATTTAGCGAGGATATGTTCTCAATGGGCCAATATAGGAATTAGCGCAACGATCCATCTACATGAAAACCAGTAAATTACGGCTCTTACGTAGAATTTTAAATTTCTACATACATGACACGTCGATCGTGTAGACAAACGAAATTAACATTATACAATCTGCATTTTCTCTGAATAAATTTATATTTTTTTCTCTTTATATACGTTCCATCTTTAATAGGTATACTTTTACACTTGTACATATCTTTTTGTCTTTAGTTTTATTTTTATCATCGTTTTATTTTTTTTAAAAAAGAAAAATATGTTATTTGACAGCACTGCTTTAATAATGTCTTATTTCTATTAGGCTCTCCCACTTTTAAGTTACACTCTTATAATGACACACTTTGAGTGAGCAAGATGACAATTGGCTTAGTCAATTTTGTTTTTAATCAATGAGCTTTCTCTTAGCAAGGTTTGTTTGGTGATTCGATAAAAGTGACTTATTAATAACAAAATGAAGCCCCCGCAAATACCAGGGCATGAATTGTTCTTTTTTTCTTTGCCTTCGAAGATCTGCGTATGTGACGACAGTATAACTACTTCGCATGTAACGAAACGCAACAATAAAATTATGCATATGGAGAAACAGTCGTATATCTCGAGTAAAAGTGAACATATTCTTTTTTGAATGATATAATGGAAATAACAGCAATGATATTACCATCTCTTTTAAAACCGTAAAATATTCTCTTGTCTGCGCGATTTTTTTAAATTCAATGAACGTCTTAAATAGATAAGATAACTTGATTTTTTTCTCAGATTAACACTGGCCAAATGCGCAAACATCAGCGCTTCGAACGCGTACATATAATTATACGTTTTTGTTTATTTGTTATTCGCATGTGTTTGTGAATGTGTATCGTGTTGTTTTTTATATAATCCTTCTGTCTGTTTTATATATTGTTCGTCCATAATGCATAGCGCTCAAAATTAATCACTGTAACACTATTATAATTATAATATATGTATATATTTACATTTACTATCTACATATCTACACATTAACAAACGGTTAGTTTTTTGCGTTTTTATATTTTTAAATATCTCCTTTCTTTTTCTGTTTCTAACAAGCGTACTAATTGGCCAATTTCATATTTAAAACATCACAATACGTTCTTTGTCTTTCTAATCTTCCAAAAAATAATCGCACTCTTTCAATACTTGTCGAGTCATAAGCCTTAATCGTCATCTGGCAATTCAGTTGCAAATTCATTTGTTTTCTCACAATTACAATAATTAATCGCACACTGTTTTCGCAATTGAAGAAAACAACAATCGTATTTTTAGGTAAAAAACAATCAATCGAGCTGTAACGCATTCACGGCGTATCCAAGTAAATGTCACCTGAAGTACACCACGCGTCGCTCATATTTATTCACGGTAATGCAGTACACGTATATAAAATAATAATAATAATAATAATAATAATAATAATAATAATAATAATAATAATAATAATAATAATAATAATAATAATCATAACATAGTAAAATAAATAGCCTAAATTAAAAATGTAAAAGAAAGAAAACAAAAGTAAAATAGTGAGATGCCGAGGAATTAAAAGGGCAACATTGAAGGAAAAAAAAACAATAATTGAAATCTATATATGAATCGCACTCGCGTGATAAGGCAATAAACTTTCGCCACTGTTAATTCCTCCGCCGAAACAATCACGCAATCACGCAGTCTCTTTCTTTCGTTGGGTCTCTTTCTTTCTTTCTCTCGTACAACAAACGATTAAAACGGTATGTATACAATAATAACGCGTATCATCATTATCATCATTTTTCGCTCTCTCTCTCTCTCTCTCTCTCTCCCTCTCTCTCCTTCTTTCGCTCTTTCTGTTCACATTGACTTGTGTGTATTTATGAAATCTGTGGTTTAGGGGGCGGGGTATGTGTGTTGGGTGGCCGATCTCTTTGCAACAAGCCTCTCTTGCATGTGTCCACCCTCGGCCACGTTAATATATAACATATTTATATATCAAGTCTTCCTCCGTGAGTCTCTCCTGGGATATTTCTTTGTTCTCGAATTAACTGTTTGCTTTTCATCTTCGTGTTTGTCTATTTGTTTGTTCAAGCGTCAGCCAGATAGCCAGCCTACCTACAGCGATGGCGTGCACCTGCGACCTGCAGTGGTAGCTTCGTAGTAGTAGCAGCATGTGGCTAACAACAGCGTGTGTGTATATTTTGTCGGGGGCGGGATATAGTTGACTTGTTGTTGTTGTTGTTGTTGTCGTTTTGGGCAAAAAAATTGACTTCTTTTCGTCGTCGACTTTAAGGGGGTACGAACGCTGCAGGCTGGTACAAGGCCGAATCCTAGATGAACGCCCAACACTCGAGCGTCTTTACTACAAAGTCCTCGTGCGGCGCCAGGGGCTCGTTGCCGTATGTGCTGCACGACTGTGTCCTGCCTTGGTACAAATCGCCGTCCAGCCATAGACCAAACTTGCCGCTGCGGATGCAAATGAAATGACATTATTCGCGAAAGCTTGCGAGCCTAACGATCGTTATAAATAAACGTCATATTCATTGACTAATGTTTGTAACTCGGTCGTCAATTGATACTTCCGCGGATTATAAGCTAGGCTTATACTGGTTATTTTGGCCGATAAACCGATAAAGCTACTCGATTCGCAAACTCGATAATTGCGACAAACACACGGGTTCTCTATAAACGCCGGCTATAAATAAATGAACACGATATGAAAAGGCCGACGCATTTGCAGTTGCTCGATCAAAAATAAGCTAATCAAACCTCTCTTCGAGCGAGCAAACCGGAAAATAAAAGTAACTTTCCATCGTCGGAGCAGAGCGCATGAATATGCAGAGAATCGTCGTTGGAAACTTACTCGCCGGCGCCGATAGCCAGGCTCTCGTTGTTGCCCTTGATGAAGTAGAGATTGTCGCCGGTCCAGTTGAATGCCTGGAACCTCGGCGTGAACCTGAACAAGAGGGACTCGCCCGTGCCGTAGAAGTGGTCGCTGACTCGCAGCGAGCACGAGGTCAAGGCTCCGAACACCTGCAATGGTTGAGCATCCGTTAGCGCGATCGCGCGAGTTGAAGACGGAAACAGCTCGGTCGGCGTGACCGACGACTTACATTGCCCCCGGTGTCCTCGATGACCAGCAGAATGGGGCTCTCGACCCTGGCCATTTTGCGGTACATGCTGTTCAGGCTGAAGCCGTGCTGACTGGTGCTAAAGACAAGAGTCCAGAGGTAGCCCTCGGCTCTGGCGGGCAAGTGTCGGCACAATTGTTCGCGGTGCTCGTCGCTCAGTATCTCCGTCTGGCCCACCAAATCCGGCACTATTATCTCCGCGTCCAAGGATATCGCGCTGTTGGCGTAGAGTGCTCGCCTTAACTCCTCGCTCATCGACAGTACCTGCGATTGTGAATGTCGCATCGTTAGTTCGCGCCACCTTCGGCTTGGAAACAACCAACCACGAGATTCGCGAGCTCTTTTTCTCTTTTGTTAACGCTCTCTCGCGAATCTGGCCGTGTACGCATCAACTAGTTAATCTAATTATGGTGCTGGACTATTTGAACGATCCGCCATAAACATCCACACCCACACACGCGCACGCACACATACATTTATATCAGCGCCGTTTTGCAAGGAGATTCGCTCGCGAGCTATATTTTACAAAAATCGTCGACTCTCGTTGCAAAAACGTCGATCGCGAGGTTGTTTGGTGCTCGACGTTCGTCTATACATCAGTAATGTGAGCGTGTCTGGAAGACTACATCGAGGGAGGGATTGCTAAGACACATATGTATGTAGATTGATATCTCTCTGTTACTCTGCTAATATGGGCACTATCTCTAAGTGATATAGCTACAGCTAAATATTAAATATGTATAAGGCCAAACACACACGTATATACACAACAGTGTTTTCTCAAATGCATATACAGAATCACTACTGGCGTGTTCACGTATTTATCGTGGCGTGTGCTATTGTTTTTCGTCGATCGTGTTAGATTTGGGTCCCCCTCTTCTCCTCCCGGTCCGCAAAAGTCCAAAAGTACATGCTCAAATAGACAAGCAGCGTAGCGATGCGTCGTTATTCGTCGCGATCGCGCGGTCAGTCCGGCGCCACAGCTGACCGCGCCGAGGTCGCGAGAAGAGATTTTGGTTTTGGCGAGCGACCTCGAAGGAGCCGAGGGAAACGCCGCGGCGGAGCGAACTGCGCAGCCGTGTGTACAATCGGGTTGCGCGCGTCCACTGCCGGTGGCTTTCTCTTCCGAACGGGGGAGCAAATCTAAAATTCCAATCCCGCCGAGCGCTGCAGCCGCGGCCCAAGGTCTTTTACGCAACCGCATCCCTTGGAGCGCGCGTCGCGAGACCGACTGTTCGCGCACGTGACGGGGTGCGTCACGTTGGCCCGACTCCCTCTCTGACGCAAACAAATTTTGAAAAGGGAGATGATGCCGCTGCGTCCGATTGCCATCGAGGGATAAACAAGGCGACGGAGAGAGCCGACTGCTAGCCGTCGAAGGTTTTTCCTCTACTGCTTTGAGCGCTTCGCGTGAAAACCATTTTCTCGTCTGTATATTTTCAGCTGATACCCGAAAATAGTCGACGGGAGCGCGGGCCAAGAATTTATTAATTCGGAGGGAGGGAGGGAGGGAGGGAGGGAGGGAGGGAGGAGAGAGAGAGAGAGAGAGAGAGAGAGAGAGAGAGAGAGAGAGAGAGAGAGAGAGAGAGAGAGAGAGAGAGAGAGAGAGAGAGAGAGAGACTTAGTCGCTTGGCGACGAACAAAATGGAAAAAACACGGTGATCCGTCTGCCTCGCGAGAGCTTCAATTGAGCACGTATGGCTCGATTATGCGCTAAGGTATGTATGCGTTCCATGACGACGGTCGCTTTGGTCAACGTCCGATGCGCGTGCGTGCGTTCTGCCACGACGACGATTCGCGAAACAAGTACGCTCTTTTCTAGCCAGGCGCGCTGTCGATCTACGCGCAAAGCTCAGCTTTTGAGCTTTTACCGATAGCGTCAGGCTCGAGCAGCGAAACACGTGGTTGAGAGTGCTGCGCTGCCAGCCGGTTAGCATTGTCGAGAGACAGCAGGAGCTTTGCGAACCCCAGTGCGTACCGAGGCTGCATTAGATCGTGCCGCCGACTTTAGCCAGGCCTTTTAGGGAAAGCCTTTCTCTCTCGGCGACCGCGTCAACGCCCTCTTCCAAGATCAGCCTCTCGTTCGTTCGGGGAATCGACGCGACGCGGTCTCTCTTTGCACGCGCGTGCTTTTTTTTCCTTGGAAGCATTTTTAGCGAGGAACTGGAGCGCCAAGTTTTCCCGACGAGGTAGCGACGTAACGCGAAAAAACGCACGGAACATTCGAATGACCCTGGCTTAACGAGACACCCGTGAAATAGTTGCAAACGTCGCGAAACAATCGGCCTGAAGCGAGATCCATGATACGCGAAGGTCGACGACCCTTTTCATCCCCTTTCGATTGGACCTTTTGTTTTTATGTTTTCTTTCGGAACGCGCAGACGGTGTTTACTCTCGATATCTAACGAAAACCGATTGCAATTTACGAGCGACGAAGGCTGGCTCCAGCTTGTCGCAGTCCAGCGCACGGCGCCTTCTCTATTTAAATCCAGTTGTAAATGGTCACGAGAACAGAGAGAAAAGAAAAAATACAAAACAACGAGGCTTCGGCGCGCGACGGAGAGAGCAACAACGGATGCAGGAAGAAAACTTCCTGGATCTAAAAATACGACTTGCACAGGCCAGCCGAGCCTTACATAAACAAAAGCATTCGTTGCGGACGACGGGAAAGCGCGCGCGAACGCAGCTCGCGAAGGTTCGATACCGGCGAGCAAAACCTGGACTCCGACTCGGCTCGTCGACACCGCTGTGCTCTCCTGGCTGCTGCTCTTCGCGCCCGCGCACTCACGCGAACCGACCACTGGTCGTACCTTCGTCTTCTGCTTGAGAAACCTGCTGATCCTGGCGATGGGATTGGGCACCTTGTGCTTGGGCATCTTGCTGGCGTCGCTCTCGCTCTTGGAGCGTGCCCCGAGTTTGGGATTCGCGCTGCTGCCCGCCGTCGCCGTGGCTGAAGATTCGCACTGGTCTCGACCGCGGAGGGAAAAGCGCGCTTACATGTCACTGACGCGGGCGCGGATGAGAGCCACAGCGTTGCGCGCGCGACGTGTTGCCCGAGGAGCGGAGAAACGATGACTAGGAGCGCGCGGCCAAAGTCGCACTGAACGCGCTCAGAGCGCCGCGAGCATTCATATAGAAGCGACCACGACGACGACGACGACGACGACGACGACGACGACGACGACGACGACGACGACGACGACGACGACGACGACGACGACGACGACGACGACGACGACGACGACGACGACGACGACGACGACGACGACGACGACGACGACGACGACGACGACGACGACGACGACGACGACGACGACGACGACGACGACGACGACGACGACGACGACGACGACGACGACGACGACGACGACGACGACGACGACGACGACGACGACGACGACGACGACGACGACGCACCTCCAACTGCGCAGCACGTGCCGAGCTCTCTCTCTCTCTCTCTCTCTCTCTCGCGCTCTGCTTTCATCGTCTGCATAGGGCGCTTCACCGATGGCACGCCTACTCTCGACCTTTCCCTTTTTTTCATGGGCACGTTACAGCGGCGCCGTGCAATCAAGGCTTTTGGAAATACCCTGTCGTATCTGATAATGCACGTCGAAGATAACCGCGCTTACTCGACTGAGCGTTGATTGGCGTCGATTGTTTTTGCCAAAAAGCCGCGCGTACGCGTAGCTCGCGGGCTAGAATCGGATGATCGACGCGCGGGCAGCGTGCGTCTGGTCGCGCGACGAGGTACGCGATCGGCCGAGAGAGGTGCCGGCGTGTCAATTGAAACCGGATAAACGGAGATAAGCAGGCGCTTGGCTTTGGCGGCCAGGTCGCGGCGGAGCGGAGGCGATAACGATTGGACGATACCCGAAAACAAAAAAATGGTAAGGCTTATTTTTAGCCGACGCTCATAAACAGCCACTTGTCGATATAATTCCTCATTATACGCGCTCCCTATCTAATCGCTATTTGTTTAACGTTCACGGCGCGCACGACATAACTAATTACTCATCGGGAGTCAACAGAACAGATCATCGTTCGAATTGGCCCGTCGATTACTCAGGCACCCAGGGAAATGCAAACGACATGCGGAGGATCGCGAGGTCCGGCGGCCCGGGGGCCAATTTTCGTCGGCTCTTTCCGAGTCGCCCGCTGCCCGTCGTCTCTTCTTTGATTGATCGTCGCGTCTGACTCGCTCGTCGCCTCTCGTTGCGCAAGACCTCGCGCGCACGAGCTTTCCACCGTATGCCAAGTCGCAGGCGCGATGCGCGCAGAGGCTCGTCGGCGCGAGCCAATGCCCAGATGGCGGACGTTCGGTCGGCGGCGGTCGAAGAAAAGCAGACAATCGACGGGGGGAGGGGCGAAGAGAAGGGAGTGCTCTCCGTTATCCTCGAGAAGCCGAGATGAACATTCGAGCGGTCGGGCGGCGACTCGCCGAGTCCGAGCGGACATATAAATAAAAAGTGGCCGGCAGGGAAACCGGCCAACCAGCGGCGACTCCCTCCGCGCGCTCGACTTGTTGCGATCTGGCTTACGTACGATTTGCCGCGCGCGCGTACGCACGTGCGCGATTCTCCCTTCGGCTTCTCGTTTGCGTCGCCTTGCCTCAGCGACGTTACGCAGCCACGACGGAGAAGGCTCTATTTTCGACTGCGTAAGCGGGCTGCTGCGTGTGCGGATCGGCAGGCGAAGAGAAGTCGAGAGCGGGGATAATGGACCGTACGGGAAGGCGTGTGCACGCGCGCACGGCCCAATTATCCAGGCAGTTGTTCAAGGTCGGAAGCGGCGCGTCCGCCAACTTTACGACGAGTCGCCGAGCGGCTGGAGAAGATAGCGGTGCAATCTGGCGATTCGGCCGGGAATCGCGCGAGTATTCGCCGAGCGAAAATCGTCGAGCGAGAGATCGTTCGGAAGGTCGGGTCGTGCGTTTCGGCGAGCAGGAAACGTTCGCAGTCGAAACGACGGGGTGGGGGAACGACGATGCGCAGATCTATCGAGCAAAGTTCGATTAAAGCGCGAGAGAGCGATGAAGCTACTCCCAGCGGCGCTTCCAACTTTTAGCAGCTCGCGCTTCGAAACGCGCTAAGCGGAATCGCGTGGCACGGCACGTATGCACAACGCGCACACCCAGCTGACATATACACACGAACAAACAGGGTGCTGCTGTCCAAACAAATATACGAGTCTACTGTCAGCGGCTGGCTGTGTGCAGATGTCTGTGTTTCGGTGCGCTGCATGCAATGCTTTATGAGTTGTACAGGTGCGCGCGACACATATTTTCGTTACTTTGATTAACACCACTACTCGCACGCTCCGACCATTTTTGCCCCTGCCGTACTGTGTGTTTGCTGTAATGTTGTTGCTATGTAGCTCCTGTTTCTATAAACTAATATCATGCATCGTTCGGACAGAATATGAAAAAAGTATGGTGTGTCGCTTAGACTACACTTGTATAACAGGTGAGGTGTACGTATATAGACACATCGACACTCAGAGAGAAATAACGAGATTGTTTTGTGGATTTGTATTTTGTTGCTGTTATTAGGTGTTGTTTGGGTTCTCTACCTCGGAGTCCTGGATCTGCTCGGAGTCAGCGGACGTGCTCGAGGTCTTCAGGATGGTGTAGAGCTTTACGTACGGAGCCTTGATCAGCTGTGATCAGTGGCGCACAAGTTTTTATCAATTTTTCGCTTTTCTCCTCAACTTTTCGTTCGAGATCTTGCTTCTACTTTCTTTCTTTGTAATTTTTTTGCTATGTCGCTCTATCGTTTGCGCCGAGACGAATATTTTTTTTTCGATGAGCGATTGCGTCATTAAAGGTTCTGTCACGACAACGAGAAGCATTCGCATAAAAGTATCGTCATTATATACCGAGCAATCATCGAGTTGAAAAGAAGCATATATCCTAGCCCATTGCGGCGAGCGATACAAAAAAAAATAAATAAAAGAGAGAAAAAACAATTGATCAAATTCATGGGTTTCGCTCGATTATCATCTCGTCCCGATCGACAAAGTCGTGACGAGCGAGTATTTGCAAAAAATTGCTCGAGAGGGGATCCTCGTAACGTACGAGGAGAGAGCTTCACAGAAGTTACGAGCCCAAAGCCAAGTGTGCAGCTGCGAATCCGTGCCAAGAAGGCTATTTTCGGGCCTCGCTCTCATGTGCTGCACGCGAGAATTCGTATGACTTGGCTGCGATGATTCGCGTTCGCGCGTACTTCTGGATAGCTCTGTCGAAATTCCCCAGCGGAAATCCCAATGGCATTGTTTTCCTTGCTAAGCGTGAGGCTTTCAACGTTTCGTTTACTTGGCATTCGCGACGAGATAAAAATAGAAGAAAAAAATCTCTTTCTAATGTATTGCGAGTATCGACTCGGTACACCAGATAATAAATATCGAATAATTTGAAATTTGTTGTTATTAAGAAACGAGCGACGAGAATATCTGACCGAGAATAATATAATTTACATTTGAAATCGAAACGTCAAAGAAAGATTGGCTTACCTCCCAAGATTCGCGAGTAAGCTCGCTGACTTGTTCACCAACTTTGCCTTCGGAATCCTTGCTTTCATCAGCGCCAGACTCGCCAGCCTCACCAGGTGTCAATTCGGGTGACAAGTCGGTATCGGTGTCCGACAGTATGTATCCCCTCTCACGCCACAGCTCCTCGTCGAGCTCACCGTACAACTGCGGCACCCACGCGTGAATGAACCTGTAAAGGTCGTCCACCCTGTGGCAAGTAAATAAAAAAATTTTAGCATACGCCGACTCTGGCGACGAGCTTTCTGTTTAGCAAGCGCATTATCGAGTGTGCACCTTGGATAAACATTACATTTTATTGCTCTGTGGGACAATAAAATTGTCGCTGCGCGCTACCGTTTACAAACAGTACTCATGACTTAGCTCGGTTAAATATCTACCGACGCGTGCGCTCCTTTTTTACAATGTACGCGTGAATCGCACGAGACGTCGAGATTATTCCACGTATATTACCTGATAATAATAACAATAATCACGAAAGTTGGAAAAAGAATACATTACCTCCGCGATATAAAAGGCATCGTGTGCCTCGCGACATTCGCCACGCTGGGTACGTAGTAATTAACAAATTGCGACATCGTGCCAAAAATGGCGCTCATCTTTAAAAATAGCTCGCCGAATTGACGATGCCCGAATCCAAGTTTTTCTCTTGTACACGCCGTCTGCTCGTGAGCTCAACAAGAGGCTGTAGCGCGTTGCCTCTGTATGCAGCGACGGCGAACACTTGGAATAAAGCGACGGCGATAAGCTGCGGCTGCAGCTGTACAGACATTCAAGAACACGTTGGCGACCGATAAGCGAGCGCGATAAAACCGCGAATCGTTTGCTGGCACGTCGTTGCTTTGGAATAGCTAAAAAAGCGGCGCGGAGTCCGCAATGGAAAAGCCAGCAAGGCACTGAGCGCTAACTAGGTGACCGTGTGTGCTATAGTGTGTATTACGCGTCACGTGAAAACGCGATAGAGCACGTGCTCGCGCAGCGCTCCATTCGCGCCTACCTCCGCTACGCACGATTTCCCGCTGATTTTTCAAAAGCAGACACCGAGAAAAAGTCGTTGAGATCGCTTGGCCAACTGCGTTTTCATCGAATTCTCGCCATCGCAATTATCGTCTCGCAAGCGCGACGAGCTCGAGTTATCCTTCTGTCTTCGGCGCTAGCAAAGCGAGAGTAGGACTTTCAAGTTACTATAATTAACTTGTTTTTGTTCGCGGGTTTCGCTAGTGTCTATAGTCTCATTTGGCAACGCTCGCCTTCTCTTCATCTTCTTCTTTTTCTTCTTCTTCTTATCCGATGGCGCTGATGTTTTTCGCGCGCGGTACGCGTGTTTCTCGAGCATATTATTAGCCTGACTCATGCCACGGTTATTTGCTAATGAATATTCACGATGAGTTATCGAACGGAAACAAAAGCGTGTGCGAAACTTCGAACGCTACCTGTTCCGCGGTATGCTGAACCAGTACTCCGGTCTGATTTTCTTTTTGCCATAGCTCATGATTGGCGTTGACCAGGGGATCTTCTTGTCCTTAGGTCTGCCGGTTCTTAATCTCAAGTATAATGGCGGGTCCTCGCAAGAGCGTGCTGGCCTCGGGATCAGCTCTGCAGAATTGAGACAACAGATTAGACACGGTTGCATGCATGCCAGCTTCAAGCAAATGGTATATTCCAAATGCGTTAACATAATCGTTTTCTTAACATTGTATTTACACAACGTAAAAAGTATTGTCTAGTCGATATCACAAAGAAAATAAATAGGTAAAATCATGTCATCATATGTATATATATTTACTAAGTGACACTAAATTTACTCCATATTCATTTCAAAATGCTCAAAATAAAGTCTTCATTCTCTGATTATGTCTTCTATTTTTAACGAAACTCAAAGAAATAAAAAAAGAAAATGACAAGCATTATAATCGAATATTGTTTGATGCATTATAATATATATATATATACACACATACACACACACACACTTCTCTAAGTCTGGGTTTTTTTATACAATTATTATCAATCAACATACATTGTCATAATACTGTACGTATATTCACAGCTGTAACAATAGAGCTACGAGGAAGCGTTTTAGAAATAAAAAGGAAACTCTGCAAATTAATTAACTGACTCAATGATGCGCTGTATCGCGCTCGACTAAGCGACAATGATTTTTTTGTTTGTCAGGCAGAGAGCAGTCAATCAACAAACTGTTTTGTTTGACAAACAAAAGTGAAAAAAAAAATAAAAATTATTACAGTCGACAAGCAAGATTCATTGCACTCTTACGCAATCATCGTTTCCTTTTTGCGCTATTACATTGATTGTGTTAAGTGATGAATGAATTACGACATATTGAGAAAATGCATCACGTGATTCTAAGAGTGATATTCAGGTACACTAGGAAAATACAAGAAGCTTTTGTGAAAACAAATGTCGGAGGAAAACTGAAATAGGCTACTCGTTGTGTATTTTTTTTTACAAAAAGCCCATCTACGGAAACTTCGTAATATGCACAAATTAATGTCGTAAAGCTAATAATAAGAAGCGTATAATGCAACAATATTTGACAGAACGAAAGTATATTGTGATTAAGCTAATTACATTATGAACCTACCGAGACCTTCGAGCTCGGGAAAATTAGGTGCTTGGACTAGAGGGACAACAAAAAGTTGATGATAATACAAGTATTATTATGATTTCAAATGATTTATAATACGCATTATGAATTCGGCTGAGCGTGTGTGTGAAATGTGACAATTATAATAATTTGGCACGAACTGAAAATCGATTTATGATGAATCCCGTGATGGTGTAGCCACGCGCAAGCATGCTAATGAAGATGAAAACGAGTTTTTTTTGTTTCCTTTCTCTTTAGTTTCTGTTTTTCGAATTTTAGACATATCAGCGGATTTCATAATGCTGAAAGAGACGTTCAATTTCGACGTGATGGAAAGCTTATCCTTATGATAAGCAGACAGCAAAAAAATTTTTGATCAATGCAATTTGGCGTGTATGAGTGTGTGCTCGCATGTCGACTCTCAACTAATTTGACAAAATAATTCTAGAACAATACAAGCCGGGAAAAATTCGAAAAAATGTCCACGCTCGGTTTTTTTTTCATCTGACAAAGGTAGATGAGTTGGAAACCACAAAATATATTAAAACACAAGTTTATGCCAATAATGCGAGCAAAAAAATACCGTCACAGCAAAAATATCGTACTTGTACAAACAGAAAAAACGTTATCTTTTGCTTGTCTCTGTTAATCCTATAATTTGACAAAAAGTAGTTTTTTTTCTTTGCAAGAAATCATATAATCGTGACAAGGGTTAAACACTCACTGTCAAAACTGACAAAAAGTTCAGGCATGTCATCGACTGATACCATACTACGATAGTCGAGGCGTGGTGGTGCTGTAGAAGTTTTGCCACCTCGATTACTATCGACACTACTGCTTCCCGACGAGTTCAGAGGTTGCTGCCTGATAAAAGTACCCACGGACGAGCGTCTGTAAAATGATGAACAAATATTAATACGTAAACTCCACAAACATTTGACAAATACTTTCAAAGCTACCAGCAGATAATCTTATAAACTTTTAATAATTGTATTGTCTCTTCTGGTAGCTTCAAGATATACACATAATCTGTATTCGACGACACTTAGAAGTTATGGCAAGGGCATTAAACATTCAAAATGGACAATAATTCTTTGGGTGCCAGGTTTATTCAGATAGATATCTATATAGACGTGTCTCGTGTACTTTTGTTGAATGCTGAAGAGATAATGTGTTATTATTTTATATATTTTTTTCGGTCATGTCTGTATTATAGAAGCGCAGGCAAGCTGTGAGAGACAGAGAATGACTTTGATTTTATCTATGCTGGTGTTAGAGTGACGCTGAAAAGGTGTCTGATGTAAGTTATACGATAAAGAGTTTACCGGCCCATCGAGTTTGCTCGCTTATTTTTTTGCTCATTTATTTGGCTATTCATTTTGATAAAAATATATTTTGTAGAATTGAAAGAAAAAAAATCTCTGGATAATGTGTAGTGGATAAAGATAATATTTGCACAGGTATAGTTTAGTTTCGTTTCGGTCTGCATTGAAAACAAATTATGAACAAAAAACTCGGATGAATCTGAATATCTTAACATATATATTTTTGTGAAGTTCATTACTAGTCTCGGATACAAGAAAACATTTACGTGATGCAACATCAAATGTTTACAATACACTCAAACTATTTTGAATATGTCTACATATCTTTCATCATATAACTACGATTAATCTTGCTCAGAGAATTTCACCAGAAAATGAGATAGCAATAATCAACTAGAACAACGTAAATCGAATGAATTTTTTAATAATTCAATAAATACTCTGAGCAAGATAATTATTTTCTGAATTATTTTATTATTTTAATGTGTAGTATAGATGGACAGAAAAGACTACACCATACGATTACAAGATAGCCAGATAGTTATAAAACGGTAAGTTACATAGTTGTTTCTGGGAGACATAAGTTATACATATATATTGGAGCAAAAAAATATTGAGTGAGACTATATAGTTGTTGGTTGAAGGGAGGGCACTGTAAACTCACCCGAAAACACCAACCGGACTCGGTGAGAATACGGGATTGTATGAGTCCTGCGATAGAGAAGAGGCGGTGAGTGGAGGTGTGCCTCCAGCTCGACCGCCGCTCTCTTCACTCGGAGTCTTAGCGAACAGGCCGGAACTAAAGTCACTCACCAAGTTGATCGGCGAGCTTTTATACGGCACAACATCCCCCAGACCATTCAATTAGTATTGTTAGTATTTTCGATTATTGATATGATTAAATGTTATGACGATCAAGTGGGTTTAAAGTTCATAGTCGTTATTTAATTTTCACATTCATCCAATTTGTTGTTGAACGCATGACTGATGAATGCTCTTGAAGCTCTAGTACGTATAATTAGCTTAAAATATGTATATTTACAATTTCACGTCGATAGTTAAAATGGGTTAAAAAAAACATGCTTTAAAAAATTGATACTGATCTAACAAAAAGTGCTGCCAAAAAACAAGGCGATTTGTATCTTTCAGCAGCTATGTTTAAAAAATTAAATTTAATTACAGAATAAGATTTAATAAGAGAGAAAAAGTTAATGTAAATACTATCTATGTACCTCGAGAAAACTTTACTGAACATGGAAGAGTGATGACTGTCAGCACTGTTCGGAAGACTTGACATTTTGTCTGACGGGGGCTTGCTATCTTCATCTTTGGAGTCTCCAGTTAAACCTTCCATCCAGGAAAGTGGGTATGATAATCGTTTCAACATCTAAAAGGAAAAATTATCATACAATTAACTAGTGACTTGTACGTATCAGTAAAACTTTCAAGAAGAATCTTAGCTAGCAACGCACTTTATTTTTACGCGTCTCGTGTTTGTCATCCTCCTTATGTTCTTCCTCCTTTTCTTGATGTTCCTCATTGTTACTGTCGAGGCTGAACGATACCGAACTGGCCTTCTTCCTGCCATTGATCGCCGAGTCGGTGTCTAGTATGTTTGACGTAACATTCGTGGGAGCAATCGTAATAGGTGGTACCCAGTCAGAAGAAAGGACAATATCCGCGTCGGAGTAGACCTTTTTCGCGGGTATAGGCTGCACTACTGGAAGAGGCGTATTGGGCTCGCGAATATCGATGCCCGAATCGTGGCACGACTGCTTGACTAGAGAGCCTTCTTCGTCTTCGGGAATGGCATTTGATTTCTCGGCCTGCAATAATGAAAAACGCGACTCAATTATACTGTTACGTGAATAGAGAGAAACTTGTTTGCAGTAATTTACTTTGTCTGAGTTTAAAGAATCCTGCTGCTCATCATCCACAGAAAACGAACATCTATCTTTGCTAGGAACTGCCCAGTGATGATCGAGCATTGAACGCCTGCGCTCTTCTAGAGTCCTGCTTGATTGACCTCCACATGTTTCGTCTTTGGTTGAATTTTCATTGTCCTTCTTCTTATCCTTATCTTTGGTTGATGTTTCATCCTGTAACAACAAAAATTAAACTCTTAAGTTTAACCGCTTATTATATTTACAGCAATTATATTTATATTATTAAATCAGCTATCAATTACTGATATACTTTTTTATCTTATAATAACACTTTAATTAGTTCTTAATTAGTTTCCTCGTATTTTATTTTAACAGATTGATATGTAGTTTTTGGCACATTATGCGTGGAGATTCGACTTTACGTATGCTAGAGAAATCGAGCCTGCTTAAAATCTCATCTCACACATGTACCAAAAAATAAAATTAGATACTTGTGCGAGAAAGAGATTTCTCCCTCGTATAGCTACTTCAACCACGCTTAGCCCGAACACAATTGTCTGAACGAGGTTGAAATTAGTTTTTCGGACTAATAAATATACTAGCATGACTTGAGTAACTAGTAAGTTGTAATACTGCCTTTTGATATCGAGAGATCAACATAATTTAATCTCAAATTTACGCAAGACAATAAGTTCATAATTTTCCTAGATTTTATCGGGATTTTTGTAGATAATTTTCCGTTTACTGTCAACACTTGTCAAATTTATTAAGAGTACTCAAGATAAAAAACTAATCAATAAAAGCACTTCAGGAAAGGTACTTGCAACGATTAGTAATTTTTGTTAATATTTTTCTGGCGTAAACAAATTTCTCGGTTTGTAATTAATGTAAAAAAAGAATGGTAATGACTGTTTTACAATAATATGGAACCATTTGAAAATACCAATAATAATATTTAAATTTCGAATTATCCAAGAACTTATTTTTCTTCGCAAATTCAATGAATAAGGTTGTGACACCATAAAATATCAGTAAAATTGAACGTACGTTAGAAAGATTAGGCGGGGTGATGAGATCCTTATCAAAGGCCTTGGGAAAAGCGTCGCCATCACGTTCAGCATTGCAGCTACAAATACTTTCGCTACCGTCGTCAACGACAAGCTCCGGAAAATTTTCGTCTTTGCTCGGTGGCGAAACACATTTGGCGCTACTCGGTTCTCCTGTTGTCGAATCTTGCGTTGACGCAGGTATCTCAGGTTTCTTCATGTAGTAAATCTCGGGCTTTTTATCCGGTTGGCCGGCATCCGTGTGGCCTACTCGCATGTGCGCTATGTCGTAATATATCGCTGCATTAACAATGAATTCCATTGGCGCGATCACACCGTACGACTCGGCACTGTGCTCGATCACCAGTGGATCTGACACGTTCGGATCGAACATTACGGCGTTTGGCGTTACCAGCAGCACACCACCGACGACACCCTGAAATATAATTAATCGTCTTCAATTGTAATGACAAAATACATTTGTAATTTCTGTTGAGTTTGTGATTCATGATAGCTATTTATAAATTTTATCAATACGTAAAAAATCAAACCGTCTGCTATTAAAAGCATGAAGTACCTTAAATTCTTTGAAATCGACAATTATATCTTTTTTCATAAATACTCGACTTAAGCAATTTGTAACAATTAAAAGCAAGCCATTATCAATCGTAAGTCTGGTATGATGTTATCATTATCAATCAATCACTCGATATGAATTATCAACTCGTGCAAACGTAAAATTAATCAATAATTATGCGGAGCAAAGAATGGCGTATTCACATTGTGATATTAAAATTAATATCTCATGTTATCTGTGCGACTTTGGTATTACGCGCAAGAAGAGCAGTAAGGAGAAAAACAGATAATTTATTTCGTGTTTACTCGGCGATATTGTTACTTCTACGAACGGAACAACAGAGTCATGTCCTCGACTTTGATTTTAGCATCAACTTCAAATAAGCACAATGAGGTAGAGAGAAAGAAAAATCGATCAAAACGTATATTACCTGTCCATCGGTTATGTGTCTGACTGTAATCTTGAGGAATCTTTCTTTGAAGTGATGAACACCTTCTCCCGTGGCATTAACGTTGCTGCCGAGTGGTGTTTTCACTCGCTCGTGGTGACCTGGCTTTGGCGACACTGGTCTTAGGTTATCTAGCAACTCTGTACAGAAAACCAACATCACAATTAGCAATCTGCACAACAGACTCTCGTTTACAATAAACCTACGCGTGCAAAATCGACTCATTCAGAGCGCCAAACAATTTTCCAGATGAGAATAATAATAGGAACGACAAAGTCGGCCGAGTCTCGCACGTAGCAACTGCACGCAGAGAGAAACCATGCCGACGAGGGAAGACCACGTGAGTCAAAAGTACTGGTAGTGGGGGATTTACCACCCCAAGCGCGCGATCAGCTGATCGAGCTTTCAGTTACCCACCCCTCCGTCATTTTCTTCTTCGGAAGCTCTACTGCGTCGTCCCAAATTTTTCGCGTGCAAACCCTGCTTTCCCATACCACAGCGGCGTCAAAGAAAAAAAATGGAGCTACTTGATGGGATTTGTCTCGCTTTTTTTTCGGGATGTGTAAGAAACTGTGATCGATTTTTCATTGTATAGAATGTGTCCGCGTTTTCGTGATGCTTCCATTTCTTTTATGAAGATTGATGATTACGTCGGAGGGTTTCGAAATTGAAAAAATACGTAAACGACAAGATGATGCATTAACTGTTACTCATTAATAAAACGAACTGATAATCCGAAGGTCGTTTGTACGTGCACTTCTCATCAATCAAACACGGATAAAGCTTATAATAAGTTAATCCACGAAGTACTCTGCAAAGCTGGATTTCAATTACATTACACACGACTAAACTTCGGTCAAAACGATCAGATGCAAATGTGTTTTTTTACCTTTCTCCTCGAGCGGCAAATCATCTTGTGCATCGTGTGCGCCTTCGGAGCCCGTGGACTCGGATTTGGCATCAGCAGACGCGGTTTCGCCTTTCTCCGGTACCCATAACTGCTGTCCAGGATAGATAAAAGAGCCGACCAATCTATTGAGCTTGCTAAGCTCTGATGGGGTCGTGTCGAAACGTGCTGCCACCGACGTCAAAGTATCTCGGTCTCCCACCTGAGTGCAACGACAAACATTTTAAAATATGAACTTTGCTTGCGACCACCGATAGACAATTTCACGGGTCGTCAATAATGCTCGAGCTAGTGCGTATCCTTCCCCTTGGTTTCTCTCGGGATGGAAACATCGTGTTCTATAGATTTCTTTCCTTGTTGTTCGTTACGTAAACTGATTAGGTTGTCAGTAACACGTGACTGCTGACGTTTGCAAATGAGCTTAGCCATTCTTCATTCGACAAAAGCGAAATTGACGGTTTGCAAACGCCTTCGTCAAATATTCGCGATGATATATCCAAGGTTTGATCGGCTGTCAAGCAGAAGGTCAAATTTCTCGCGCAAAATAAGAGCAAGAAAACAAGGCAGATTTCTCCATCTCGCAAATAAGTTGACTGACCGAAAATATGACACGGCGAAAGCTCGCGAGCGACGGGCTCATGCGTGACATTACATTGAGATTGAAATTTCAAGGTAGTGACGACAGCAGTATATCGTTGTATCAGTAAAAAAAACAATTGGCAAACGAAGAAAGGACGAAACGTAATTCTTATATGCGTGTGGTTCTTTACGATAATTTTTTTGCTCATTGTTTGGGTTAAAGAAAAGAGCTTAATCGTATTTCATGTACAATTGAAGCGACAGCTACATTAATAAAAGATTGAATGAAGGGGAACACATAACCTTCGATGGTAAAGAGTACTCGATGAATATGTGAATTTGCGCGTTGGTTATGCGCGAAAGAAAAAGAACGTCTTGCATTCGTAAATTTATTTTAATCGGTTTCCCTAGACTCGATTAAGCCTCGCGCGCTTTTAATCATAATTATGTGCCAAGCTTTCTCGCGATAATAGCAAAGTCTAGCGTTGGACCTAAGTTCGACAAGTGCGCGCAAAAGTCAGACTAATTTACAAATAAAACTGCTCTCAATCGTGGCTTGGCGCGCAGCTTCCGATTTGAAAGAGAGAGAGAGAGTGAGTGAGTGAGTGAGAGAGAGAGAGAAAGAACGCGCGAGTAGTCGCGTACGAACAAACAACGGCATCTACACACGCATACGCGAGCACGGAGCTGGTGTCGTAACCGTCGACACCGACGATTCAATTGGCTCATCGCGTAATCTGGACTTCCTCTGTCCCAGATACTCGCTAAATGGCCAATACACGTACGGACCCTTTTTTACATTGCGTCTAAATGCTTTCCTCGCTGGTACGTCCTGGTGGCTTTTCTCTGTCGTCCATTCGGAGGCTTCGTTTCGCTGTTCTTTTGAAATGGATGCGCGCGCGGACACCGATGCCCGACAGTTTATAGGCGCGCGGATAAACAAACGCAAAGTAAAACCACGCGATGGCAATCAAAGGCGATCAACGAGCTACGATTGCGTAAAAATAGCGTTTTCGCTGCGGCGTCGCTCCTTGTTTTCTCGCTCTCCACGCGCGCCCGATTCCTAATTGCTCGGTCATCGGAAAATCATTAATTCGCGCGGTCGACCAACCGCACGGTTCTTCTCGTGGCTCGGCGAGAGACCGCGCCAAAGTCGCGCGACCTACTTAGGCCTGACGAAATGCGTGGAGAGCGATCACGTCGGGCGACGCCTGTCGCGAGCGACTGATAGCGCCGGAAGGCGTCGGCCTTCTCGATCGAGCGAGCTTCGGGGATTAATCCGTCTGCGTAGGGCAGAGACGCGAACGTCGCGTTGCTGATTTCTCGGTCGTGTGTCGGGCGAAACCAGTTGGAAGAGGCTGACAATGCTGTTTTTCGCGTTCTGGAGGTCAGCTGTAATTTATGCCTCGGGCAACTGTGCGCGTCTCGTTTGCCACGTTACAATGTCATATCGACGATTGCCGCTCATTTCTCTCTCGCGAGACAGAGAGAGAGATGCTCAATTAGACCCACCGGTTTTCCTCGTTCGCGTTACAATGCCCGGTTCCCTCTCGGACGTCGTGGACAAGCGACGTTTTGTATTCGTCAAAGAACGCAAATAATGGCCCGAACGAGAGTCATTACGTACTCGCGGTCGCCTGTACGTATATAATCAAGACAAACGTCCGCGGCACGGATAGCCGCAGCGTCGGCAATTGATCATCGTGGCATTAGAGGCGATAAAGCAGCAAACGCACAAGCAGGGGATAAAGCCACGAAGGCCTAATCCTGGATTAGAAGGCACACAGTCGCGCTCGAATTTCCCCGGAGGCTCGCTCGCTTTTCGGTCACGCGCGCGTCTAAATAATCCCGCGCATAGGTGTTAGGTGGGGAAGTAGCAGCTCGGCCGATTCATCTCGCTGGGAAAAAGTAAGGAGAACGAAGAAAATATTAGGCAGTACAGAGTAGAGCGCGGGCGGGATCGGGCGTAACGAGCGCAAGAATGCCAGTGCGTTACGTGCACTCGCGGCGAGTTCTCGGCTTTTTCGCTGTCCTAAATGCGCGCGCCCGGTGATTTAGTTACCCTGCGCGGCGCGGCGTGAGAGGGCGGGAGGCGGAAACTAACCAATTTTGGCGATCAGCGGGTTTAATGCAACTCTGCGGCGATTAATTAATTAATAGGATGCTGCTGGTTAACGTTTATGCTCGAGCTCAGCGCAGTTGCCAGGCTCGGACGAGGGGCAAAAAAAATGTAACGACGTAGAGCCGGGCAGCGCTAGTTTCCATTAGCATGATTGTTCTCTCGTGTACGGCTTCGCGAGGGCGTATATTGATCTTCGCGTGGATGCGCGCAGGTTAGCGCTCTCTACTCTCCCCCTCATTGGTTTTAGCGTATTGACGAATGATCATTATCGTCGGACCGAACACACCACGCCTGATAATGATTGCGCCTAGTTCGTGAGAGAATTGTCGCCGTGAGCTTTTTTTAGTTTAATGAGATTTTTGCCCCCTTCCTTCGCGCGCGATTCGGATGCTTTATTTTTCAACGTTCGAAGCGAGCGGGACAACGCGCGTTTACAACGAAGAGAGAGAGAGAGAGAGAGAGAGAGAGAGAGAGAGAGAGAGAGAGAATCGGCTGTGGGCGTTCGCAGTGCGCACTTGGCAGCTTAGCGCGAGGAGAGCTTGCACTTTTCTCGCGCCGCGGCCTTCCTGCCGTCGCGATCATAAAAGCTCCGCACTCGCGTTCGCCCCGTTATTTATTAGCTCTATTATTAACGAGGCTAGACCACGCTGCTCTTGTTCCACTGGCACGACGCGTTGTTTTGACGCTCGGCCGAGCGTAATGAGTTGCCGTTGCTCGACTCTCGACGCAAATAATCAAAATAGCGAGAACAATCGAGGCTGCGCGAGACGCTCGCATGCATCGATGACAATCGCACACGCGCGGACGTGTTTCCGCGAACAAGTTTGATCATCTGTCCAAGCGGCACCAAGAAAAACTCGATTGGAAGTTCGCTTTGAGAACCAATAAAAATTGATGAAGGCAATTTGCAATTGGTATGGCCGGGAGATCCATCGACCGCGGCGCTCGCGAGACAATACAAGACTAACGGCAAACGTTTGCCTACGCGGAAGGAGGACAGCGACAGGCGGTCGACGGCAACACAGCCTTCGCGCATCGTATGACGGAAGAAGAGGAGCAGCGGACGGGCCAAACTCACCGTGTACTTGATGGTGTTGATTGGTTGGGACGATCGGCCGGACTTTTTCTCCTGCGAGCTTGAGCCATCCTTGCTCTCGTTATCGGAATCTGCAAAAACGCACAGTAGCAGTCATTATCTGTGTTTACTCTGCGTCGACAAAGTTCGCGCGCGCGCGCTCGCGAAGGGAAATGTTTCTTGTTCTTTCTCGCCGACGTTCGGCGTAAGCTTACACCGGCAAGGCTCGAGTGACTCGCTACCGACTACTGTTGTCTCGTGCTCGCCGCTGACTCGACGTTTTCATTCTATTTTTTTCTCCTCGAGGGCGAATCAACTGCGTAATTTCCGTCGATTGCATCAGTTGCTCATATTAATTGCCAAACCGTTACACGAAGCGTGCCTGCTCGGAAAGCTCACAGAGTACTGTACGTTGCAATCACACCAACGATATTCCGCGATAGATCGATCGCGCGTGTCCGACGTTTTTTTTTCGGTTTCGAGTGCACCACAATCGCGCGGACGAATCATGACCAAACCGAACTCCGGGAAAAAGTGTTAGCTAGAGGGGTTGCTTGTAGTAAGCGGCTTCGAGGCTAGGGAGCGCTTTTACGGCTAGCGCTGCGCGGAGAGTTTTGAAAGATACTTTTGGTAAAAAGGAAAAGTAAAGAGAGAGAGAGAGGTAGAGAACCGCCTGTAACCAACCTGTGGCTGGCTGAAAAAATCAATCAATAAACAAAGAGCGCCAATTTGCTATTGAAAGCATTGGAACTTGACAGTGACTGGAGCGCATTGCGCCCTGGGAATTTACGACTAACCGAGCTATTAACGCTCGTACACTTTCAGTTTCTTGAAAGAGAATTCCTCGACTGTTTTGACTTTTAGACAAACAGCGTCGTGGCAGCGAGACGTTTGTATAACTTATACAGTGTTTTTTCTTCGAACGCTGATAAACTGACTTTTGTTATCAGCTTCACTCTATACTTCGTCGCTTTTTTTTTTAAATTATTTGCACGTTGGTTTCAAGTTTTATGCGAGGTTTATCCTCAAACCGTATCAAATGTTATTTCACAGTTCGCTATTATTAGTTAACTGATGGTAACTTAGATTTGAAAATTAATATAGCTTGAATATAAAACTTCAGTGCAGCCGAGGTATAAAAAAACTTATGAACCAATTGCAACAAAAGTTTAAACGGGAATTACTCTTATGGTTCAAAAATAAGGTTTCGCTAAAAAATTTTAATATTCAAAGTCTACTTTCAAGTGTATTTAACACGCGCACTGATAAGCCTCACTTAAATATCCATCATCAAACATCGAAATCTACGTTATCAGCAACTGAAGTCAACCGAAAGTTAAAAAAAAAAAATAGATACACCCAGCGAGTGACGCGTATCATCGATATCATTCGCATATAATTCTAGGATCGATATCCGTTAATAGCACCTTCTTTAGCAGCGAAATAAATCACGTAATCTTTCCATTCCTTGGTGAAAATTTTGACTTTACACCTATCCAGCGGTGCAGACAGGAGACTCCACTCGGACGCGGTAATGGGGAACTCCATCGATGGAGTATCGGGAACAACCGACGATTGCGATTCACTTGACATCTTGGCTTCGACTGTGGACTGTTCCATTGTAGTATACGCGAATTTTGCTCTGTTATCGCCACTATTTAATCATCGTTTCCGTCCGCGAGAGGGGATTCTCTTGAAGTCCCCATGCTATTGTCCATGTCCATACTAACTGCAATACGGAGGTCAACGCGGGAGCTTGGCGAGGCGCGCAGAGCAATTGCACCTGTTTACTACAAACTGAATGCTTTCGACAGGTGCAACACAATGGATTTACATCAACGACTGGACATGTCGCAGAGAAAGCCAGTTTTTCAAAACTTTAGCAACAACGAACTACTCGTCGTTCTCCAAATCTTGGCTTTTACGGCGACACGCACAAGCTCGCTCGGCAAATAACCGGTTCTTCTATAGGCATGCGCACGCACACATACGCGCACACGCACACGCTTGCTCGAGAACTTTCGCAAAATGTCTGTCGGCTCGCGCGCTCGCGTCAACATACCACAATCACTTTGTACGTGTACACTGATCGCGAGAGCAAACGATACGTATTGCAAGTGACGAGAAACTGGATCGGCGCTCGTCGTGAGAGAGTGAGTGAGTAAGTGATCGAGAAAGAGAGAGAGTGAGAGAGAGAGAGAGAGAGAGAGAGAAAAAGAGAGAGAGAAAGAGAGACACGGCTGCGACCACGACCGCCGGTCGAACCAACGACGAACCGCGGAATCAGCGCGCTGCACGAAACGTCTCGACTTGCGCAGGCAACAAACAAAGTAACGAGAAAACGTAAAGAATCCTTGCTTATTGCTGCGCAGGCGCGATACATCGAGATGGCGCTGCTGCTGCTAGACTTGCAGGTTCGGGCTGAGCGAACGCGAGCGCTGGTTGCAGATAAAACATTGTACATATACATATTTTCATACTACTTTACCCTCTGTGAAGAAATCACGCGAGGACTTGACGTTGCGAGAGAAAATTTTGAAACACTCCTGCTTTCTCGAGCCTGCGTAAATCGAATCCTCGCGAGTGCGCGGACCGATGAAAAACAAAACGCGCTCGTTCATTCATTGCTGGTATCGCTTCTTTTCTTCTATTTTTTCCGTTCGATCCAAAATGATTGTTAAGTCGGCAGGCCGACAGGGCTGCGTTGTTGCCGTAAATTAATTTGAAATGAATCCGCGCTGAAATCCGTTAACAACGAAAAGGTTCTGCTGTAATCGTTGATTGGCAAATAATAATTCGGTCGAGCGAACCGCGAGGCTGCGAGCGTGGCAGATATCAATCAAAACTTTCGAAGAGAGAGTTATTATTACATTGGCGGAATACACGTGCGGCGTCGGAAGTTTCACCTCGTGACGCAAATGTAATAGCCCGCCCGCGATACAATACGGCAACGCGCGCCGTACATTATCCGCGTTATCGTCTGATATAATTGACGGGGAGTGGACGTTTTACGCGACACAACTGTTCCGACTATTGCAAAGCTGATAAGGTCTGATGTTTTCGCGCTCGGTCGCGCGATATTGATTCGATATAATAAAGAAGAAAGTGAAAAAACGAGCTTCAGCGTCGTTTGTCAAAAATGAACAGAGAAAAAATGATTCGGATTCGGTTTCGGGCTGAAAACAAAAAATAATAATTTGGGCGACCTCGCGTATCGGTTAGCGTCGCGCGCGCGTTTATAAGTCACTCACGGCGTTCCGGCGGCAGCTCCCGTTGATTGATCGTCGCGGATCATCAAAGCGTTATTGCGTCACCCTCGCGCCGCGAAAGTAGGAACGCGCGCCTCCAGATCGACGGGGAGAGAGCTTTGATTTTTCTTCTTCGTTCGCGTAGGAGCGTCGGCGCAAAGACAATCGCTGCACTGGGAGTTTGCACGGAATCGCAAGCCAATTCGAGGAAACAAGCTACTTTGCGCGAACGTGCAACGCATACCGCCTCGCAGAAGCGAAGCCTGGCCGGCTTAATTATTCGCGCTCGGGTGCATGCTCCCGAGTCGCGAAGTAATATTTTCAAATATGAAGCAGTCGGCGCGGATTATACCGAATGCTCTTTTCCGGGAATGCCAAAGTGCAACGAGAAAAAAAACACATGGCGAGCACATATGTGTCTCAAGTCAGATGTTTACCCTTTATAGCATCCGCACATGCGATCGATCTCTCTGTCTTTGTGTGCGCGCACACGTATATAAGCGTTTGATATCGACGTTCGTGATTATTTAGCGCGGAAAAGCAGTCGACGACGTGCAAAGGCTCGCATCGTACCAACGAGAGCAAACACCGTAGGCGTTAAGTGCGGGAGGCGCGCGCGTCGCTGCTGTTCCAAGGAACTTTTCGTATTGCCGAAAAATGAGTCAGACGCGCGCAATGTCCTCACCGCGCGACGCAACCGTTCGAATATGTTATGTCGCTCTAGTTAAGACTAAAGTAAGTCAATGCAATGCAATTAAAGTGAAACTGTCGTGGTCGTCGCGCGTTCAACCTTCGGACACACGCGCGCGCGACGTACACCTTGTCGATATTCATTTGCGCGCGATGCTCATCGCGTTCCCCTCGTCGTCGACTATCGATTATGAATTCCAGGATAAAGCTTTCCCAGAGCGAGGAGGCCGTCGGAGGACGCGACTTGCCGCTCGCTTCTCGACCGGTCTTGTGGGACGCGTGCACCTACCTCTGGAGAGTTTGTCGATGGACTCGAAGCGACCCTCGACCTTGTTGCGCAGCGAGTCCAAGTCGAACGGCGCTGCGAACCCATGGTCCACGCTACGACTCTTGCTCCTGCAAATACAAATGCGTTCGGGATTTTAGACATGTGCCTTCGTGAGAGTCACAAAATCGATTAATAATATTAGTCTTCTCTATCTACAGATTTTCTCGGGAAGAGCCGTTGTTTATTATTTATTCCATTAGTAGATAGATTTGTCTTAATTCTGTAAGATTAAACTCAGATTGGTGTATAGATCCTTGCATATATATAGATGCCAAGGCCAGTGGTATACATCACGCGCCGAAGTATCGGCAAATCAATACTATAAGATAATAATTTTTGTAAAAAACGTGTGCTCGAAAGCCTTGACTCCGTGCGACGACTGAAAAGATGACGTTTGGATGTTAATGCTAAAAGTATGCGCAGTTATAAAAAACAATCATGATTGTACGAAGCGTTACTACTAAATACGCACTGTCTAGATGTTTTCATGCGGTGCGTCATGTCAGAAAAAATTTTTAGAAGAAAGCCATGCCATCAATTACCATGCGAAAAATACTTAAAAAGACTAATGATTCGAATTTAAAATTTAGTATACGATTCTTTCGTTGTGGTTTGGAGTGAGTGTTGTAGATTGTGGTGTGCTTGTGTGTGACAGAGAGAGAGAGAGAGAGAGAGAGAGAGAGAGAGAGAGAGAGAGAGAGAGAGAGAGAGAGAGAGAGAGTGAGTGAAAAAAAAAATACATGACAAACCTGAAGTAAGAGCTGAGATTCTCCGTAGATCTGGTGGTTGCTACATCAGTGGACATGCGTCGTGACCTGTTCGTTCGTTTATCCAACAACAAAACGAAAACCAAAAGAGAAAAAAAATGGATGAATAAAAAAAATAAAGAAATACGTGAAAAACATGCAATTAATATAGGTGCCAAACGAAATTTTAAGAATAATACGCATCGCAAAGAAATGGTATAGAGCAAAAATAAACGATGATACGTCTAAATGACATATATATGTAGCAACCATATCTAATAGAAATAATAATAAAATGTATTCTCGTTAATGTGGGCGATTGTCTTACGGCGATAATGACGAATATGATGCACAAACACAAAGGGGGTTCAGCTCCTTTTTTCGATCGGCTAATTAGGTAACATGTAATTACGTGTATGAACACTTAGCGCACCTAATTGGATCCCGGGCGCGGAACACAAACGAAAATCCGCGCAGGCAGCGTTCGAGATAATTTAATTAGCCGATCGCGCGGGCGAGAAAACAAAAGTAACAAGAAAAATAAAAGAGAAGCGGCGAAAATAGACGTGACGAGCGACAGAGCGCACTGCCGAGTGAAACATTTCAATTGCTGGCGTCCCGAGGATAAATCAGGAAGGCGCTCGTCGCGGAATCCATTACGAGCTGCCTGCGCCCGAAAACTCGTCGCTCGTCGCCGCTTCGCGCGGCGTCAGCGCGGAAAAGCTCGTCGCTGCCGGCCAGAAATACGATTGGCGAAGCGCAAATAAGGCAATCTCGAGGAGCGAGGCAACGAGATTTCCTCGCGCGACAGGGACGCAGCGAGCGATCGACCAAAAGCAATATCTTACATTGTTTCATTGACACGCGGTACTTCTATAAGTTACGTGTTAAATTTTCCTACGACGACCGCAGCTCTTCCACGCTCGGTCGATTTTCCGCTTCGCATTGGTGCAGGCGCGCGAACGGAGCTGCCGTGCGGCTTCCATAAATTGGCGCGAAAGGTGTGCGCTTCCCAGACGCGCGGTAATGTGCGCGCTTTTATTTATTCTTTCCGACGATAGACCCGCGTCGCCGAAAAAGTCATTTGTAAACTTGACAGCGCTCCGAAACTACACGCTCCTCGTCAAGGTTGCTGCGTCCGAATGCAAGGAAAACATCGTCGGAACGACTGAATTCGGAGCGCCGAAATCGCGCGATGTTTTCGCAGGCGGAGGTGAGCAAGGAAAATTCGCGCGAGCGGGATTCCAACGAGTCTGCTGGACGCGATCGCTCGTTCGTTGCCGATAGTTCCTCGACGCAGCGATAGAAGCCGATCGTTGGCAGTTGAGAAAAAAAAGCGCAATTCTAGAAGCGCGCGCTCGGAACGTGCAGGCGAAACGGCCGGATCATTCAAATTAATCGCAAGTGAATTAAAGCGTATTGCAGGTCAACGTAGCAGCAGCAGCAGCAGCAGCAGCAGCGGCAGCGACGTTGGCATGTCATTGCGTAACGAGCTGGGCCTTTTAATTGAAACCTGCCTCTGCGGCACGCGAGCGCGAGAGAGTCGGCGCAACGACAAATTCACGTGGAAAAAAAAAATATACGCAATTGTCTACTCGTCGTTGGGAAATCGTTGTTGCGCGTCACTCGCTTCGCGTGCGTATTCTTTCTCTCGCACGGACGTCGCAGCGCGCACCGTAAACAAACCAGCGCATCAGGCATCGCGAATTCGACGACGCCGCCACCGCCGCTGCTTGTTTTTCCGTGGCGGCCACCATCTGTAACGTGACCAGGCGCACGTTGCGTGAAAGCGCGTTGCGATACGTGCAGGCGCGCGTCCTCGGCCAGAGAGAAAGGAGTTGACCGGACTCCGAGAGAGCGAGAATTGGCCTGTGCAGCGGCGTTCGGAACAAGAGGTCGTTTGCCGATGCAACCGCCGAGCGATTCGCCGTGTCGAGCTCGACACTGCGATCGCCATTCATTTATCGACGCTTGACTTACGTAGGGCGTCTTCGAACAGACGGCGCGATCAGAGGCCTCGAGGAGCGTTTCCAATTACAAGACGATCCGGATGCGCGCGGGGGAGCGGATTTCGGCGAGGCTACTCGGTAACACTGACTGCGACATGGATTTCCGGCGGCCGACCTCGTCGGCGAGCACCGCAAGCTGTACACCGGTACACATACGTGACGACCTCGTATCTCTCGCGCGGAAAGAAGCGGTTCATTGCCTTTCTCTCTCCCTCTCGTCGCCTCTTTGTTCGGCTTTACGGAAATCGTTGGCGATGCTCACCTGTGCGCGCGCGAAAACACTCCAAGTGACTCATCGTCGCTTGCGTGCACGTACGTGCAACGAGCCCCGGCATCGATCTATTTTCGCACATCATCTTCGCGCGTCGCCGATAATGACGATCAAATATGCATGAGCGATTCTCGCAACAAATAACTCGACACTGGTGAATATTCAAGGCGCGCGTGTAGGCAGCGCGTCTGTCGTGTCATTAATTCTTTTCAAATTTCAAATCGCGAATCGAGCAGCGCGGCTTGTGGACGAGAGATAAAAAAAAAATTGAAAAACACGTCCGCGAAAATTTGATTTGCGAAGACGACGCTCGCTCGCTCGCTCTCTCTCTCTCTCTCTCTCTCTCTCTCTCTCTCTCTCTCTTGCCATATTTTACGTGTCTCGTTTGAATAATCCACGCGCGCATCCCAGAAAATTGCGCGGAGAGCGTGAGAGCCTTCCGTCTCTCGGCAAAGGAATTCGCGAGAATTGGCCCGTGCTCGAGACTCCTCGCAGCCATCGGAGCGCGAGTCGGTCGATGGCTCTTGCTCTCGGCAAATTGCCGGTAGGCCGGTGCGCCCCTATCGATCGCCGAAGGAATCCCTACGACGGCTTGCTCGGGCGAAGCGAACGACGTCGCGGCAGAAAGCAGTGGGGGCCGGACGGTGCACCGGCCGGCTCTCTCGAAGTAGGCTCGCCCGAGCTGCCCGCGCACTCGGAGGAAGACCTGCGGCGCGGCCTGCCGCCCGCGGGTGCAACGTTGCCCGTGACCTCGGGCGCGGACGCGCGCGTGTACGGAAGAAAGCTTCGCGCCTCGAATACCTGAGTTCCTCCTTCGCTAAATGCACCCGGGATAATTGGATTCGGGTGGGATTTAGCCGATGGAAGACGATTATGCGTTTACGCAATTAATCAGCCTGATCGGGAAGACGGCGAGCGGGGCTCCCGTCTTTCGAGTGTGCGAACCGTCGGACTAATCTCAAGGACGTGATTTTTCGGTGTGCGCGTGCGCGTGCTTCGATTTCATAGATGCGTGACGACAGACATTCCAATGATTCTTTTTCTCCCCTCTCACATTTTTGCGTTTGTATCTCTGTTCTGCGAACACAGCTCGCAGCTACCGCCCAATGCTTCAACCTTCTAGATTTCGAAAATTCGCCTCGCTTCTGAAAAAAACGCACGCGCCTGATTAATGGGTCGTCTCGTTTGCGCTCCGCGGGGATTTCATCTGCATTCTAGAAACGGTTCCACGATACTGTATCGTGTCGCTTCTATTCAAATTGAAAAATGGAAGAAAAAATCTTCCTTTCACTTTGACTGTATTCACTCGCAAAGCGCAGGCGTGATCCGAGCCAGTCGAGAAATTGAGACGTTCCAACTGACACGTATCGATAAATCATATATTTGCCGTCAAACATGTGTGCGAGAGAATGATAAATTTCGTGGAGCGTTGCGAAAAGAAGCAAGAAAAAAGCAGTTGCTCTGCGATTACGATAAAAAAAGACCGACAGATCTGAAAGAAGCACGTTGCCAAAGTTCAATTAAAAGTCAAATCTCGGCAAATGTAGCGAGGGAAGAAACGGCCGAGATGAAAAAGTAAAGAAAATAAAATTGCCATCTCTCCCTGACTAGCGATTTATAGAGATTAGCATTCCCTACGGGCCAAAGAATAAACGTTTTGCCGATACACTCGTTATCTCTCCCCCTCTGCTTCAGTGCCGTTACGTCGTATTTTACAAATTTAACTTTCCTTCTTTTTTCGTTGAAATTTTCGTTTTTTACTTCGCTTCTGCGTGTAATCGAAAGCGAAAATTTTCAATTGGATGTTGTATAATTGTCGCTCCGTCCGCGCGTTTCGGCCAGTTTGCAAACGTCAATTGAGGCATGAAGTGAATAATTGCGAGGAATTACCGTAGAAGCACGATGGTTTTACATAACGGTGCAAAATTGTTTCCCTGTGAAACGCTTTTCATACACCACCAGTGTTTTTAGAGTCTTTCGAATGAAAGAAAGGCCGATTTATTCTGTCGAGGTGACGAGCTTATTAAAATAGTACGTAATATTTTCGGACGCATGGTCGCCTAGTTTCGCAATATACCGGCGTTGAAAAGCCAAAAGCCGAGCTCTTTCCATGCTCTCTTAAGTTGTTTGATTGACGCTTTGTTGATCGTATAATCGAACTACCATCCGCAATAAGTTGACGTTCCTCGCTCCAAAGCACAATAAAAACAATTGTCGACACGTTACGTTCAGTCGTTGCGTGCGAGAAGAAAAAACAACACACCATTGACAAATGAATCATCGTCGGCGAGCAACTTTCGGGACTAACGGCTAATTGTATGCAAATTGAATTTTTAACCGTTCCCTAAGCGCGATGGATCAATCGCCAGTGAATGATTGCTCAGCGAACCTCCCAAAGCAACCATTTCCACTGATCGCAGTGAATTTTTCATCGAACGTGTGTGCGTGTTTTTTTCGCATCGTCAGGAAAACAAAAACAGCCAAGTTTCGCGTACAGATATCTACGGTCAATTACTTTAGCCCCTCAAGGCTTCTCTCTCTCTCTCTCTCTCTCTCTCTCTCTCTCGATCTCTCGGAGTAAAAGTTTTTCACTCGCGAGCAGCGGCGGAACCAATCAACGACTCGCACATACTCCTGGGAAATATCGTGTCTCGCAACAAACAAGTTGATCGAGAAGGATGCTGCATTCTCTTTTGGTCGCTTGTAAACAAGAGGCCGCGAACGAGGCGCTCTCTTACGTAAAAGGAGAGAGAGAGAGAGAGAGAGAGAGAGAGAGAGAGAGAGAGAGAGAGAGAGAGAGAGAGAGAGAGAGTGAGAGAGATAAGAAAAAGCCTCCTCTTCCGCTTAACGCTGAATAATTTTGCCTTGGCGAGTTCGTGACCCAGAAAGAAGCAGCAGGCGGAAGAGCTCGATCGTCTCCCGATCGCAATAGAAACGAGTCAGCTGTTCCGCGCGCAACGATCCTCCAGGGCCGCGCGGCGCGCGCCGCGCTGGCGCACGGGCGAAGCAGCCGAGCGAGGCGGCCGAGAGGTTCGACGAACCTACGCTCGCGAGATCCGGCCGAAAGATATTTTGGTCGGACGGCCGCGGCAGCGCAGCGCGCGCGCCTCGTCAGGTCGATACTGCCGCCGATCGAGCCCGCCGGCGGCAGTGACAACAAACAACAGTCCGACTATTTTTACCAGCTCCGCCGGCCGCTGTTCGCGCGCCCGTGGCGCGACGACGCTCTTGCCCCTCGGAGTCGCCGGCGGCGCGCGATTACCTTGCCACGGAGTCGGGCACGAAGATGTTCCACCAGGAGGGCCTCTTTTGCCTGACGCTGTACGGCTCCTCGGCGACGCCGTCCTCGCTGCTCTGCTGCGCGACGCCCTTCCTGCGCTTGCGCTCCGCCTTGGGCGGCTTGCCGACCAGCGGCTGCCACGACTTCCTGCGGCCCTTCTTCGGGCCGTCAGCCGCGGGCGGACTCGCGGGCGCCTCGCCGCAGCCGAGCTCCTCGGCGAGCGAGTCGTGCGACACGTAGAAGACCGAGCCGCGCCGGGCGCTCGCCTCGCTGCTGCGCCGCTTCTGTTTGTTTTCCTTCGCGCCGTTCTCCTTGTCCTCGGCGCTCGAGAAGATACTGGAGCGTCGCGCCTTCTGCAGGAAGCTGTCGCGCTTGGCCTTCAGGTCGTCGAGGACGCTGTGGCGCCTGGCCGCGCCAGGGGCCGCGGGCTTCTGCAGGGCGCGCACCGACTCGGCCAGCTCGAACGCGCCCAGCGGGCAGACGGCGTCGACGAGGGCTGGTATGGAGTTGGTCGAGGCGAACTTGGGCGACGGCGTGGTCGGGCCGTAGCCATTGTTGCTCTCCGCGCTTATGTACATGCTGCTCAGTTCCATGCTATGCCTGCGCACTGTCGGCAGAGTCGTACGATCGGTCACCGAGTGCTTCGAGTGCACCGCCGGCATCGCTCTGCCTGCCGGTCTCGCTGCTGCGGAATCGACGTCGCCGAGGAAAGAGGAAGAGAGAGAGCGAGAGAGAGAGAGAGAGAGAGAGAGAGAGAAATTTGGGCACACACGTCGTTCGCTCCTGACACACGGACGCAGACTGGTTCGCGCTCGTGCTGCTCTCCGTGTGTTTACAAGCCGCAAAGACGCTCGTGTGCGCAATGAGCCGCGAGAGGGAGAGACGCCAAGGCAGAGCGCAACCAGCTGCAGCTCCGCGTCTCCCGCTCCCTCTCTCGCTCTCCCTGCGACCGTCTCTCCGTCGGTCGGTCGTCAATTTACCCAATGACAAGTGGTCGCTCTGTCGCAGCGCGAGGCAGCCGACGAAAAACGGAGGCTCCGCGCGGCTCGTGCAAGGCGAAGCCGCCGTGGTGCTCGCCGCTGGCAGGTCGCTGCGGTGAAAGCGGCCGCAGACGGAGGGACCCGCTGCTCTACTCGCGCACACGGCTCACTAGGGCGCGCACTGTCGACGACACACGCGCACGGGCGGCTGGCCTCGCTGCCGACATTGCTCTCGAGGCCCCGCGACTCGACGACGACGACGACGACGACGACGACGACGACGACGACGACGACGACACGATCCGTTCGCACGCAGGACGACGCAACCGACAAAGCGCGCGCTGGCGACTCGATGCGCTACGTACTAAGCGCGAGTCGGCCGCGCCACTTGTATTTATACGGAGCGCTTCCCTCACTCCGCAGCCGCCAGCTCCTTCTCCTACCGCTCGGCCGAGCGCGAGGAGTGCCGCGGCGACCGGTTCGCCGCCGCCCGGCGGGCTGTCACCTCGAGCCGAAGCGCACCTGCCGCGACTCTTGTCGGCGAGCACCCTCGCCGCGACGCCGCCTCGAGCGCGGCGACGGCCACCCCGGCGCGGACCGGGCCGGGACCGGGCCGGTCGATCGGCCGCCGCCGGCGACTCGGGCGCGCGGCCAAAGACGTCGCGCCTCGGATGAGCTTCTCGCTCCCAGGCTGTGGCGCATCGATTCGGCGCCGACTCTCGTTGCGTGTCGCCCTCCACGCCGTAAACACGTAAATGCCGATGCTCGCTGACGATCGATCGAGAGTGCACGCGCGCCGCTCGCGGCAGGCTCTCGCGGGCAGGTTCGTTGAACCTTATCTTGCGTTTTCTCCTTTCTCGTTGATGCTGATCTGGCCGATCGACGGCGACGGCGACAGGCGCCGCAGTAAACATCTTGCCTCGGCGTTTCTTCGAACTGCGGCAGCGCGCCCAATCTGATTTATTGATTCGGATAAGGCGCAGCGACGAGCTGCCGATAGACTCTTTTCGGAGTATCGGATGTGAGGATTAGCCGGGGGCGAGCTTACCGAGCGATAAGCTGCTTTGCGCGATGATGAGCAGTCGCCGTGACGGCTGTCCGTCTATGCGACGCGCCGGAACAGCTTGCTCCTCCATCACGAGCGGAGCTCGTACGCGCGTGGCCGCTCGCGAGACAAGAGCGGCTCGCGCGTCGCCGCCGCGACGGCATGTGCAATCGCGGTGTTTTTCTCCGCGCGCGCTGCCTCGGCCGATTCCCGGAGCCCTTAATGCCTGCCTTATCGCGGCCGCGCGAATGCGACAATTATCAAGATGCGCGCGAGCTCTTTTACGATCGCGCACTGACAAATCAAAACAGCAAGCCAGCACCCGAGGAGGACGATCAACGATGCGCTCATACCTATAATTGTCGCGCGCTGCACACATGCGGATTGATAACAGTGCGCTCGCGCTCGACGATATCTCTCGTTGAATTCCGAATAAGGTCACCATCGCCGAGATGAGCTGTTACGTAATGCTTGAACGAAGAGACAACGGCAGACGAAAAATCACGGACGTTGCAGCGTGTTATAGGAGGACGGCCTTCGAGGAGAAGACGCGTCGTGCGCGCGCGGGCTACTCGTTGATTAATTGGGGGAATCGAATTAAGAGGACTTGCCTTTGCGTGTTTTCGTGAGCGACGACCGCGACGAAGACACTCAATTGACGGCAGAAGCCTGCTAGATCCTCTCTCTCTCTCTCTCTCAGCGTGCACCGCTAAGTTGGCAAATTGTTTGCACGCGAGAGTCGCACGTGCGCGCTCGACGCGTATCTCTCTCTCTCTCTCTCTCTCTCTCTCTCTCTCTCTCTCTCTCTCTGTTCTGTTGTTTTTCGACGATGCATAATGGAGCTTTTGTGTTCTGGAGAAATTGAATTTGACTATGATGCAGAAGCAGACGGAAACAAAGATATCTGGGTCGTCAAGCTTTACATTTTGAAAAACAAAAAAAATTAAAAGCTCGCGTTACGACGACGAGATGGAAACTTTTTCACGTTTCGTTTCTTCAAATTTAATTTACGCCGCTCGTAAATTATCTGGTTATAACACGTGAGCATACAAGCGATATTTATTGCCCCGCTGCGCCTTAGACGCGCTCGAAAACAAAGAAAAGCGCAAAAACACGTTTCAGTTTCAGTTAGGGTAGCCCGTGCTAACGTTGCGCGCTCGAGAGCGTCGGAAAAAACGGAAAAATAAAGAAATAAAAAAAATAACGCGCACAGTCCTCGGCGGCAAAAGGACGCGAGCGAGAGATAACGAGATTGTCGGTTTACGACGACGAGACGTCGAACGTATGGGCGACTCGAGTCGCAGTCGCGGTCTCGTACGTCGTGAAATCGCGCATCGGCGAGTTCCGCGACGAGTAACGCGTAACGAGCGCAGCGGCGAAGACATTGATATGATACGTGGGCATTCGACGGTGCACGCATATTTACCAGCGCGACGAACGCCTCGCGCTCCTCGCGTATTCGAAAATACAAGCAACTTCTGGCGAGATTTACGACTGGTCGCGGCTTGGAGAGACTCGCTAACGTCGAGCTTCTCAGTTTTCCACGCGGGTATGCGAATACGGCGTAACTGGCGCGCGACGTACATCGAGCCCGCGAGCGTGGATAAATCTCGCGATAATATCTCGCGAGCCTCTTCACGAAAGTCACTCTCGCCGGCAGCGCTGGCGAACACTTTCGTATCCTTTATCGCTTTGTGGCGCGGCGAGCAGCCGGGCGGCTGGAATTCAAATTGGAGCGTCCACCTTTGCGAGAGCGAGCGCTTCGTAACGCACAGGTGCATCGCCAGAGATAAACGGCCGAGGCGAGGTTCTTCCCGCGAGTCGCGGCCGAAGCGCGATAAGAGAAATCGTTTGATCGAGGCTCCGCGCGCCTACAAGTTGTAATTCAGCTGTCGTCCGATTTTCGGATCAAGGCTTGCCATTATCGCGATTACGCGCGCGTGTACGAGCATCGCTACCCTGGAACTTTTCACCGTCGAGCGCGGTTTGCAAGACTTGGGAGTGCCCGGGAAGTCGAGCTTTCGCTCCGCTCGCCTCGGAAACTCGGCGAAGCAAGCGCAGATTCGCGCGACGACAAAGCGAGCCGAGTGGCGCGATGTCGCGTCACGCGCGCAGAAGAAATGGATCACCGCATGAAAGAAGAATTGCGAGAGAGAGAGGGGGGGGGATTAACCAATTGAGAGTGTGTCCGTGCCAATTGCAGCGACTCGTCGCCGTCGTCGCTCACCGCGGACTCTTTGAATGGGTCGCTGCTTTCGCGCGAGTTACGTTCCATCTAGCCATCATATTGTTAGGACACGTTCATCGCTGTTTGTTCTATAATCAGAGCCCCTTGTCCGACGTTCTTGACGCTCACGCGTGCGATATATTGCGCTGTTCTACTCTTTTTCTTTTCGTCGCAGACACTTTGTATTCGCGATTGAAATCCTTCCGGAACCAAGATCTGCGCTTTGACGGGCGACTCGCTTGCCCTGCGCCTCGTCGGTCGTGAAACTTCCGTTTGCCGTCTATTTTCACTCGCCGAATCACCGTTTGTCATTGGAGTTCGCTCGGCAAACATTCGCTTAAGTGTCTTCGCGATCGTCGTTTCGGAAATATCCAAGCGAATAAAAAGTCTAATATTAAGACCCGATCGCGCATAACGGAGCGGGACGAACGGCCAAACGAGCCTCGAGGCTGCAGGCGGCGCGGGTGTTGTTCTCCGAAGGCGTCTGGCGCTGGCGAGCGACACCGAGACGGCGGTTCGCATATTAATAAAGGAAGGTTGCTGCGAGGTCGTTCTCTTTGATCGAGAGTAATTATCCATCAAGAGGATTGCCGTACGTGCGGGCCCGCGTGAGCGCTTAACCGAAGATCAATTACGTTGCTGCTGCTGCTGCTGCTGCTGCTGATGCTACTGTTGCGCGCACGCGTCAACACTGTCGCGCCGCTGTACACCAAGTGTTTGCTCGACTTACCGTGCGTCCCGCTGACTGTCGCGAGATACGGTCTACGTCCGAAGGAGAGCTACTCACCAAGAACAGAAAAGAAGGCCGGGATCAGTGCTGAACGGTCACTCGGCGTTGGCCGAGGCGGCCGGTATGCGGCTGCGCGCAATCGAAATGGACTCGGCGAAACGCCCGCTTGAATGCTAAACGCTCTCCCTCTCTCTCTCTCTCTCTCTCTCTCACGGTGATATGCGGCGCGCACAGGCGCACAATGGACAAGCGAGCGAGAGAGGAATGCCTAATGCAATGCGCGCGGCCGGCGGTTGCGACGCGCCGGCTTCGATCGCGTTGCCCGGCGGCCGGACACCAATGCGATATCTTTAGCGATCAGGACCACAGGCGGCCGAGTACTCGCCCCGCCGCGCGACCACGAGCCTCTCTTCGGCTCCATTGTCGATTCGCACGTGCAAACTTTGGTGCCTCGCAGGCGCCCGCCCAATCGTTCCGCGAGCGCTCTAATCGATGTGTATGGCCCATTGCCGTACCTCTCGCTCCTTGCGCGCCGATTGTCATTGTCGCGCACCCGTTTCACTTTGCGAATTTCGTTTGCCTTCGGTGCGTCCGTTCGAGCGCTTTCATTTCGCGAAGAGACCCGCACCGGTCGTCGATTGGAGAACGCTCCTCATCGATCGACGTTGTTCGACGGAAAAAAATGAAAAGATGAAAAAATGAAAAAAAAATCACAGCAACAAGCGTGGAAGCTTCGCACGCGGACGAAAGTCCGGTTTCTCGCGAAGAGAAATTGCGCTGCGCGCTCGTGAATTTCCCTGGACGACGTTGACGGCGTCGACTTTCCTGGCGCGGCGGCGCGCGGCCACGGAAACCTGTTTCTCGGCGAGGCTAAAAATAACCTTCTTGGAAGCCGACCGATCCAAGAGTTCGACGCTTCTTCGCTCGACGGCGCGCGTGCTTCGGAGAGAGGTACGCGCGACTTGCTTATTGTCTCGCGAGAGGGCGTTTTTCGGGTGAAAGCAGGTGGCGATCGCAGCCAGCGCACCTCTCCCCTTCGCCGGGGCACGCGCGTCGCGCGCGATCAGCGACGGCGGATTTGAAAGCCGCTCGGTCGGCCGGCTTCCGCGTTAATAACCCACGCACGTGGCCGTTTTGCAATCTGAAATATTAAGGAGCCTTTGCCTCGTCGGCACCGCACGCGCTTATTCCTCGAATGAAAAACGCTCAAGCGGGTCAAGAGAACAGTGTTGCGCTTGGCGGCTGATACGATGGAAAAAAAAAACAAATAACACGTATATTTTCGGCGCGTGGCATTAAAACGTTCGGCTCGCGAGAATGAACGACTCCGAATCGTTGATTCTGCCGCTCG